AACCCCTCCTGTCCACTCTGCTGGGCGGCCCTGCTCAGCTACCATCAGAGCAGGGGTGCCCAGGGCTGCGGGGGATACTGGGACAGAGGATGGAGACAGGGAGGTGTGGAGCTCTCCTCCAGGGACCTTGGGGTGACCCAACACCAAAGACCCTTGGGGTCGGGGCCGCATGGGTGCTCCTTCAGGGGCCCAGCTGGCGCTGCTACTTGTGTAGTGAACGCCCTGAGCAGCTGTGCACAGTGCCGTCTCTGCATGGTGTAGGGGTGCAGGTGAAGATGCGGGTGGTGTAACGTGCTGACACCCCGTGGCTGTGACCTGTGGCAGCAGGCCAGCTGGAGAGGCAAGAACCCAACCCGAGGGGGCTGCAGTCCCGACAACTCTGGGGGACGTGAGCCTCACCCTCCCGCCTGTGATACCCTGCAGCGGCTCAGGCTCCTTTCTGCTCTTGAACCCTAACGAGAGCACACCAGACCCGTCGTTAGGACATTTGTCACGTTTGAAACTGGAGCCGAGACGTGCTGGGATGTTAACTGACGTAGGATAGCAATGACAGAAGAGGCCTTTCTTCTTTTTCTTTTTTCTGTCTGGGTAGTGCTGGGGAATTAGACCGGGGCCCCTGCACTGAGCTACACCCGCAGCCCTTTCTTATTTTTTATTTTGAGATGGGCTTTGCTAAGTCACTAAGTTGCCAAGGCTGGGCTTACCCTTGTGTTCTTCCTGCCTCAGCCTCCCAGATGCTGGGATTAAGGTGTAGCCACCATCCTTGGCTAGGAAGTGCTTCTCAGTGAGAAGTCAGCGGTCGGAACAAGAGCCCCCGGAGAGGCCTGCTTCACCCCACGCCCAGGCCCTGAGGTCGCCTGGGCACGAGCTGCCGTCTCCCAGACGACGCCAGTGACGCCTCCGCTGCGAAAACGGTCTGGCGTTGGGCTGGGTGGATGCTTTCAAAACACAAAACTCAAAGCTGGACGTCAGTGGTGAGGGCCTGGTTGTCTGCCGGACGCTGCCTCCGTTGCCCCGTGCAGCCTCAGCCCCACAGGCGCTGTGCGCAACGGCACGAGGGGGCAGAGGGAGCCTGGAGACCTCCCGCCAGCCCACGGTGACCTTGCTGAAAGGGCTCTCAGGGACGCAGGTCTGCTCGTGGCTGCGCCCGGACCAGGGCAAGGGCAGAGGGCGGCAGAGGTGGCCTGGCCGATGTCCACCTCGGGCACCACTCAGAGGCGAGGCCTGACGCCTGCCCGACCCTGTCAGACCCAGCAGGGTCCCAGGCCCAGGGCCACCTCCTGGCATTCGTGGAAGGACCTGCAGGATTCTGGGGCCACGAGTTGCCCCACAGAGGGCCAAGCTGGAGCAACTGTCCCCTGCCCGTCGGGCTGAGCGTGAGGCCGGCTGCTGCTCTCCGCACCACAGTGGCTGGGCTGTGGCCCTCGGGCGAGGGCGTCCGTCCTCCCGCTCTGTCTGATTCCTACCCGCTCAGTGGATCCCTTCTCCCTTCCTCCACAAGCCCGCAGTGCCTGCACCTCGGGAGTCCCGGGCTGAGCTATGGGCCCCGTTCTCCTTCCGTGGGGCCAGGGGAAAGGGAGAACATTTCTTGGCTTGGTGAGTTTGGGTGCTGTGTTTGTGACCAGAAATACTCACCTCGGAACAAATAAGAACGCAGAGAGGCTTGGGACTTAAGGGGACAGTTCTGCTCAGGTGTCCCGAGGCCACATCAGCACTCAGCCTGCATGGCAGTGAGTGTGGACGCCCTCCTGACCCTACGAGACGGGCATGGGTGGCTGTGGCATCGTGGCTCTGCAGAGCCTGCAGTCTCAGAACCCTGCCAAGTTAGTTCGACTCCCACCCCTCCTCGCGGCCGCCTTTCCTTCTCCTGCCCCCTGTTCCTGGACGCCCTGTCCTTGGTGGAGACTCGAAGTGGGCTTTGTGGAGCAGGTGTCCCGGAGGACTGGTGACATCATCCCGGGTGACCCTCAGCCCTGGACTCTGAATGGACACAACTGTTACCTTTGATTGACAGTAAGCAAAGGCCCTTGGGTGCCGGAAACAGATAAGCAGAGGCGATTAGCAAACAGTGGGCTATTGTGTGTGTGGCCCTAGACACCCCCTCAGCCGCTCCCCCACCCCCTTCTGGATGGGAGGGCAGACGAAATACAGCCAGTCCTCTGTAGACCTGCAGGGAGACCCCAGATGCGGAAGAGCTGCCCTGCGAGCCGAGCGGCAGGCCGGCTGGAGCTCTGGGCAGTGGCAGGTGGGGCGGGCTCTGCCCCTGGCCTGGACTGACCCAGCACCTAGCTTCCCACCTGCGTGGCTGTGTACCCTGAAGAGGCCGCACAGGGCAGTCAGGCCTGGCCTCAGCTGCCTGCCACACAGGGCCGGAAGGAAGTGGCCCCAAAGTGTGGAGGCCCTGAGCTGCGCCCTCCAGCCCGCCGCCCTGGGGCCTCCCTTGCTCTGGGGGGCGACAGCCCTTGATGGCAGGGTCACAGAGAGGGCTCTGTGAGGGCCACCTGCCCTGGCCCTGGACCCCGTCGATGGCAGGTGACCGCTTCCTGCGCCGGATGTCTGATCACGGGAGGGCCAGGCTTCTTGCTACATATGTCTTGGCCTCACATCCACAAATGAAAGACCAGAGTGGACTGAAACCTTCCTGTCCTGTAAGTACTGCCCATCACTCAAGGGCATGAAGCTCAGGGATGGCGGAAGGTCACAGGTGAAGTGAAAGAAATGCCAGAGCCCCTGCCCAGAGCAGCACAGCCCAGGGCTCCAGTGTTGGCTGGGAGCCATTGCATCACACCTGGGGACTGGACGCTGGCCCTGCGCATGCGTAGTTTTGATTTGTGTGGGCGGAGGGGAGCCGGCTGGGGCACCTGGCTTCTGCAGGGCCAGGGTGGGCAGAGGCAGCATCTCAGCTGGGACTGAGGAGGGTCAGGATGCCTCCAGCACAGGACCTGCCCAGGCACGGCCCACCAGGGCCAAGCTGGATGCACCGGGCATTGGAGGAGCTCTAGACTGCAGTGTGGGAGCCTGGAGCAATCTGGATGTCACTCGGAGGACCCAACGCTGTGTCCACCTATCCCCGTCCGTGGAAGACAGAGGCCAGCAGGCGAGGGGGCGCCAGGGCAGACGCTGTGAGGTCCAGGCTATGCTGGGATGCGGGCCCACACTCATCAGAGGACGTGTGTCCCCACAAAGGCGCCTCAGAGCCACAGAAGGGTGTCTGCAGACCCCTCAGGGATGCCCACCTCAGGCCCTCGCACTCGGGCAGGTGTTCCTAGGACCCTCGCTGGGTCCTGGTGAGCCTCGGCCTGCCAGTGGCTCAGGGCTCGACCCCAGCTGCAGAGGACTGCCTGGCCCACAGCACCCACGAACTTCCCAGTGGCCCTGGCGTCTCAGGACCTAGGAAGACCGTGAGCCCCATGGCTCTGTTCCGGGGACCTGTTTCTCCAGGTTAGAATTGGGTTGGAGCGGGTCCCGGCCTTCCTGATGCAAGAAGGAACTTCTGAGGCAAATCTGCACATCCGGCCTCTTGCCTGGGACAGGCCAGTGACCCCCGACATGCACCCCACACAAACTGGGGAGTCCACAGGCCTTAAGTCACTCACCTGGAACCTTGAAGGCTTTGACAGAGCAACTGTTGCTGCGTGCCCTGCAGAGGTGGCTGCTGCTGAGCCAGGTTCCAAGCATCCGGCCATCCTTGAGAGCACCCTCCTGACCCCTGGGTTGGGTGAGCAGATGACTGGCGTGTGTGCTTCTCAGGCCTCAGCTCCCACACCCCCAGAAACAGACGGCAGGGTCCCGGGCCCGGGTTGGGTGGCTCCCACGGCCTCGGCCTCAGGGTGGTGTTTCCCGGCCCTGTCTCCAGGACTGGAAGAGCAGGATTCGAGGCCGAGGCAGGCAGCCCAGATCCTATCTGGGGCCCCCCCCCGCCCCCGGCACTTTCTGGCAGTGGCGTCTCTGGTGACCCACATCCTCCACCACTTGCTGCCCGGTCTTCCAAGTGGAGAACTGGATGTTTTTTAAATCTTTATTTGTAAATTTCTGTTTTTGTATTTGTTTTTCTGAGGTGCTGGGGGGGACCCCAGAGCCTTGTGCTTGCCAGGCAAGCGCTCAGCCCTGAGCAACATTCCTGGGCAGGCTGACCTTGAACGGCCTCGCAGGCCCTCAGCCTAAGTCACACTGTGCGGCAGAGACCTGGTCCTGTCCAGCACTGGCTACTGCCGAGCAAGAGCACAGGACTGGCCAGGGCGCGGGAGCAGGGAAGCCGAGCCCACCCGCCACAGCTGTGGCCACGGTAGCTCAGTCCTGTGGCACATACAGAGCCCAGCCAGCCTCCCAGGCTCCTGCGAGCACCAACCCAGCACAGCTGGACGTGCCGCCCACTTGTCCCCAGACACCGGGTCTAGAGCTGGTGGGGACACTGGCAGGAGCCACCTGCCTGTCACTGCTGGGGTTAGGTCGGGCCTGCTGCCGCCTCGCCTCTCCCGGACAGAAACCCCAGGTGCTTGCATATCTGCAAGGGTCACGGCCGTGTTGGGGACCCCGGGGGCCTGTGTGTGTGGGGACCGCGGGTCTCTGGGGTGTCGGGGACCCTGGGCGCCTGCGTGGGGGGGGGTTGCCATGGCCGAGGGATGGCCGGTGTCCCTGCTGACAAGCAAGGCGCCCATGGGCAGCAGGCTGGGCGGAGTTGCCTGGGCCTCAGGGGAGCAGGTGGGCACAGGGACGCGTGCGTCTGTTCGTCCTGGGAGAGCCCCGCTCTCTCGCGCTCTGCCCTCTGCCGTGTCCGCCTCTCTCCTTGTCCCCCGCCTTTCTCCACTCCCTCTTTCTCTCTTCTCCCTCCTCCCTTCTCCACTGTCCCTCCAGGCTCTCCCTCCGTTTCTACCCCCGCCGGCCTCTCAGCCCGTGTCTGAGGAATGGAGGCGCCCCCTGCTGGCACCCGACACCTCCACTGCCGCACTGCCATGGCTGGACGTGGACAGGCCTGCTCCCCATGACCTGTGTCTTTTTCCCCGCAGATGAGATCATGCACCAGGACCTCGTCCCGCTGTGTGCTGCCGACATCCAGGAGCAGCTGAGGAAGCGCTTTGCCTACCTGTCCGGTGAGTCCCGGGCCCTGACGGGGTCAGCAGGTGGTTGCAGCCTGGGAGCTAGAACAGCCACACAGAGCTGCCTGCCTGCTCTAGGTAGTGGCAGCCAGGTGGCTCCACACTCCCTGGGCAGAGTAGGGCAGAGGCCTGGCACCTCCTGTTGCCCTGGACAACACACTGGCCCACGTGTGTCCCAGGAAAGAGGTCAACTTTGGTTCTGGAGACCCAAGGCCGAGGGCCACATCTGGTGGCAACCATCCTGCTGACAGCCTGGAGGCAGTGTGGGGTAGCTGTGTGAGGCACAGGGCGTGCATGTCTGCACGTCCTATGGTCCTTCCTCTGCTTGTGAGGCTGCCAGGGCTCAGTCAGGGGCCCCAAGACCTTGTCTAACCCTGGTCACCCCAAGGACCCCTCTACACACCATAGCTGGACCGAGCTTTCATCCCTTAGGCCTTCATGTTGGGCATCAAACCCCGGGACACGTCAGGGCCCCAAGCAGGAAGTGCCCAGGTGGGCCTGGCCTAATCAGCCAAGCCTATGGAGACCCCCAGGAGGGAGAGTTTTGAGGAGAAGGCTTCACACCATGCAGAGCTCTCCTGCTCTGAAGGTCGGGGGTCACCCCGCTGCCCCACCAGCAAGAACAGAGCCACAGGGAGCTGAAATCCTCTGTCCCCTGCAGAGCGGGGGTGATGCTCTCGCCTGCCCCTCTGCATTGGAGCCTCCCCAGGATGTGTGTGGGTGTGGATGTGTGCACATGCATGTACATGTGTGTGCACCCCGCCTGCCACAGCCTGGATAGTCTCGGGCAGGTGCCAGCGTGCAGCTGGCATGCAGTCTAGGAGCCAAGTTGCTTCACTGCGGCTCCAGGGACAAGCAGGAGGCGGGGCTGTGTCCAGACGCATCTGAGTGTCGGAGGGGGAGGGAAGGGAGTGGGAGAAATGTGGGGGTGGCCATCCCTGGGCAGAAGTAACCTGCGACAACTTCAATTCATCACGCTTTTCGGGACACTGACTCTTCTTCAATATGTGTCCATTTCTTCACCCTAGAAATGCGAGCCAGGTGGAGTGGTACAGGTCTGGAATCTCAGAACTCTTGGAAGCTGAGACAGGAAGACCACAAGTTTGAGTCCAACCTGGAGAACATAAAGACCCAGTCTCAGAGTCAAAAATGAAAAGGGCTAGGGATGTTGTTCAGTGTAAAGGCCCTGGGTTCAGTCCCCAGTGCTGCATAAAAATAAAAACAAAACCAAACAAAATCCTATGGCAATGAAGAACCCTTCTTGTTTCATTTGAAACCCTGGTGCTTGGGGAAAGCAGCGGATGTTGTTGGGGAACAGAGGTCCAAGGCCCTGCTAAGTGTCTGCTTCGTCTCTCCAGGTGGACGGGGGCAGGACGGAAGCCCGGTCATCACCTTCCCCGACTACCCGGCCTTCAGTGAGATCCCAGACAAGGAGTTCCAGAATGTCATGACCTATCTCACCAGCATCCCCAGGTGGGTGCTCCAGGCTGGGCACTCAGGGAGTTTGGGAGGTCACCCGACCCCAAACCCCAGTGGCTAGCAGGGTGAGGTCACGCCATCACTGACAGCCACCTTTAAGGGTAGCAGCTGTCACTTTTTCAACCAAGCATTGGTTTTGTCATGTTGAAAAGAATCCCACTCCTCCTGTGGTAGGTGGAGACAGGTGCCCAGTTCGACCGTGTCGCCTGGCTGATACCGATGGCTGTGGTGAAGTACTGGACTGAGGGAGACAGGTCCTGTCCACGCACAGGGGACATGTGTGATAGAGCGGACGCTGGGCTTCTGACTGGGACTCGGGCATGGCTGGAGGGTGGCACCCTGGCATGATGGCTCAGAGCTCTCCCTTCCTGGGAGCCGAGTCTGCTCTCCCAGGAGCTACAGGCCACACAAGCCCCAAGCATCCAGCCCTGGAAGGGGTGGCCCTGCGGCCCCGTATGCCTCAGGTGGTCTGTTCTTCCCTTCTCTCGTCACCGCCTGGGACGAGCTTAGAGTGGGTGCAAGGGGGCCAGGGCTATGGGGATGAAGGCGGCTGTGCACCTCCGGGACGGTGCAGGCACACACAGCCCTGGGGACCACAGGGAAGGGCGCCACAGCAGGGGAGGGTGTGGGGCAGGGGTGAGGGCTGGAGCAGCCGGGTGACCAGGAGACGTCACTTGGAGGGGAGGGCCGGCCTGGCCCGGGGACGGTCATCCCAGAGCTCTGGGACCAGCTGGCCTGCTCAGGGCCAGCCCAGGAGCCGGCAGGACCCGCAGGGCGGGCCGAGCACAGTCTGGGTGAGGGCCTCTGAACCCCTGGGAAGAGCCCTGTGTCCAGGGAGCTGGGAGCCAGGCGCCCTCTGATCCGAGCAGATGTGGATGGGGAGACGCTGGAGGGGCCCCGGGCCAGGGCCAGCAGAGGGGAGGTCCTGGCGGAGTATGGCTGTGTTGAAGGGCAGGGCATGGCGTCTCCTGGGGATTGGGTATTTAGGGTGGCCCCGGTTCTTTGGTGCAGTCGTCTTTCCAGAACTGCCCCATTGTGGCGGCCCCTGAACACAATAACAAAATACAAGTTAGAACCCAGACTGCGTGGGGCTGGCCTGACTTCAGTTCATGTGCTGGGCGGTGTCGATCCAATCCATGACTCGGTCACTTTCACAGCCGCCACGCCCCTCATTTGGGGACAAGGCAGGCATTGCGGCCCTGTGTCCTTCCTAGGGAGATGGTGGCCATCACCCATGGATGCCGTGGCGCTGCTGTGAAGGAAAGGGGTGGTGAGGGCAGGGCCTGAGCCTGTTAGCTGCCACCCCTGGGGCTGTGGTGCCAAGGGGAGCCGAAGGACATGAGTCCTGTGTTGGGGTGGAGTGGGGAGCCACTGGGCTCCAATGATGAGGACAGCGATGGCTGTGCCCAGGCCAGCAGCCTGCAACTCTGGTGGCTGGCAGAGGTGGGCACCTGGCGACCAGTGAGCGGCTCGTCTCGTGGCACAGGCAGAGGGATGAGGTCCAGGCCAGGAATCTGTGGTCAGGGCCTGGAAGGATGCTCAGGAAGGCCTTCCTCGGGGCGAGGACGGTCCCCAAGACCGTGGGAAGAGGACAGAGGCTGCTGGCCTGGACCCGCGAGTTCAGGACGGTCATTTCCGGAGGATTCTCTCTTGTTCTTCCTTGTCTTCTGCAAGCTCTTGTGGTGTCTGAGGCCACCGTGCCCTCCACAGCCGGCTGCCCACCCTGTGACGCCTGGGCCTGGGTGCCATGGGGCTTGGAAGGTCTTGCAGGGGCGGGGGGTGGGGGACACCTGCCCAGGGACCGTGTGAGACACAGGAGGTGGCCGCTCCCGACTCTGGATGGCAGGAGTCTCCAGAGGCCTCTGCCTGCTGCTCCCATGAATGACAATCCCTCGCCAACCCTGAGCCTGTGGTCCTGGCCCCCGGAGGAGACCCTGTCCTGCGAAAGCGGCCCCAGCCCCTCGGTCAGAACCACACCGGCGCCCTCCCTCACGAGGAGGCCCGGAGGGCTGGCTGCCCTGTCCACACCAGGCCTGCGCCTCCTCGGCAGGGCAGCCTCGTGCCTGCCCCCGGGGGTGCCACAGTAGGGCCATCCTCGCCCTGCCCCAGGGGGTCTCCCTGAACACCCCGCACTCTGCAGTCTGGCTACTCCTGTAGGCAGTGCTGCCTGTGTTTAGAATTGCGCATATTCTCCTCTGAAGGACCCTGCCCGAGAAATGATCCTAAAACGGTGAGGTGTTTGGACTTTTATAGGGTCTCCTGGAGGTATTTCCTGTCAGCAGAGGTGTTGCCCTGCCAGTCTGTCCCCTCTTCCGGTCCCTCCCGGCCCGTGTGTCCCATCACACAGCACGGCCGTCTCCCACCGGGCGTCAGTGCAGCCCCCAGCCCCGTGCCTGGGCCCGGCACCTCTCCTCCAGGGCTCCTGCCCAGAACTCGCCTTTCATACGCCCCTCACCTCTCACCATGGGGCTGAGCACCAGGCTCAGCGCTCCAGCAGCCAGGCCCTGTCCAGATTCCCCTCTTGCTGTTTGGCCCTGAAGTATTAACATCTCCAAGCCTCAGTTTGTCCACTTGAAATGGTGGTGACCCTAGGCAGGGGTTGTAGTTCATATCTAGATGTCCCCCAAAGCCTCCTGCCCCCTACGTGGGGTGTGGGAGGTGAGTGGTCGTGGGTGTGATGCTCGTCACCAGATTAGTCCCCTGTGAGTTTATAGCTGTGCTGTTGGGAGGCGGGGCCTGGTAGAGGAGGCGGGCCCTGGGGCGTGGCCTGGAAGGCTCCTCCCTTCTCTCTCTGCTTCCTGTCCTCCACGCTCTGAGCTCTCTGCCATGGCCCTGTGCCCTGCTGCCCTGCCTTGGAGCCGGCCAACTGTGAACTGAGCTTAACTGAGCCTCTCCTCTCTTGGGTACGGGTGTGGAGATCTGTGTCCCAGCAGTGAGGACTGGCTGTGACAGCAGTCTCTGTGCAGGGCTCACTCCAGAGGGGCTCGGAGAGGCTCAACCCCCACTGTCCAGGATGAGCAGGTCCTTCCACCCTCCCCACCCCAGGGTCGGCCACAGGCAGCGGGACAGGTCCTGGGAAAGGTGGAGCCCGGCGTACACCCCCGTAGGCCCAGCCCCATGCCCAGCCGCTCTGTGCCCTGCTCCACCCACACCCAGGGCCAACTCTGGGCCACGGGGCCACAGGAGCCACGGCCCCTAAGGAGGCACTGACATTCCGAGGCTGCTTTGTTCATCTGAGCCAAGAGGGACTCACTGGCCTCGGGCTCAATGGTGAGCAGTTCACAGCAGGGCCCTGCCGAGGCCACTGCTTCAGAGGCCTCATGGGCATCTGTGGGCAGAGCTGCTAGTGCTGGGCCCTGCCTTGTCACCTGCTCACGCTTTCCTGCAGAGCAGCCAAGGCTAATGACTCACACTTTCTGTCCCCTACAAGATAGGGTCTTGGCCTCGCAGGGTCCCCACAAAGCCTTGTGAACAGGGGCTCACAGCCACACTAGGGAGCAGAGAATCCTCCCCAGGATGAGGAGGCCACCTGCCCTCCGTCCCCAGTGCCCCAGCCCAGCTGTAGCAGAGCAGGCGCACATGCGCTGAGCCCTCCTGCCCTGGGATGGCACAGCAAGCACCCGTAGCCGATTTCCTGGTGCAGGTTTCTGAGAATCTGTTAACTCCCAGCTCCTGCGCTCCACCTGTAATTCAAATTTGAGTTGTTGGTATCTTGGCTTTCCTGTGAGAAACAGATGCCCCCTTTGCGACACTGGTGGTGCAGTGGCCGTCATGATGTGAAGACTTCTGTGTCGTGGGACTTGGAACCCAGAGTGTCTTCCGTATGGAGAGTGCAGACCCCAGTCAGGGCCCTCAGAGGGGATGGCTGCATGGCGGAGGGCACCAGGTGCCAAGGCACGCCTGGCGGCTGGGCAGACACGAGATGACCAGAGCGACCCACATGTGAGTGGGGCCAGGAGCCGTGGCAGTGGGGCAGGGACCCGGGCCAGTGGGGGGGGGGGAGCGCAGACGTGGGCCACAGAGGCACAACAGTGGGGTCGGAAGCTCACCAGGGTGTCAGGCCAGAATACTGAGGGAATCTCGGGGTGCAGAGAGACTGGAGTCCGAGGCTGCTGCCCACCGCAACCAAAGCTGTTCAAATATGAGGGAGAAACTGAGTCAGGCTTTGCTGCTCTCTGAAACGAGTTCAGCAGCAGCAGTTGCAGCATTGATCTCGCGCTGCTCCACGGCTCCAAGCCAAGACACTGTGCTGCCCCCCACCCGCATATGCAGAGGACTGCAGGTGGCTTGGCTGGCTCTGACGTGACTGCGTGGGGGGCCACTGCAGAGAGGCATGTCCCTCCCTCCCTGTGCACACCCTGCTGCAGCTGCCCTCAGCAAACCCTGCAGGCTGCCCTGGGGGCTTCTTGCTCCCCTGGTTTGGGTGAAAGCGTGCTGCCAGCCTGAGGCTTGCTCCTGTCAGGGCCAGCCCTGGCTTGGCTACACAAAGGCACCCCAGGCATGTCTGCAGGGAGGGACACGGGGAGGTGGGGCCCTGCCAGCCAAGCGTCTCCTGAGCCCAACACCTCTGCAGCTGCACACAGACTGCGGCTGGGCGAATAACCTCTCACAAGAGGGTGTGGCTGGGGGCCCCTCAGCAGAGCACCTGTCCCTCTGCCAGCCGCCACCATGCCACCTCCTCCCCACTGTGTCCGGGCTGAGTTGGGGATCTCAGCTGGGGCAGCAGGGTTGGGTTCGCCCCCTGCTGGCTGGAGTCGGGGAAGCTTCAGCAAAACCCTGCTTGGGGGCCAGGGAGGGGCCAGGCACCCACAGCCCCAGGCTGCGGTGGACGTGGGGGTCTCCTCTGTCTCCTCCTTGCCAGCCTGCAAGCCATTCGGTGCAAACGAGTCTGAAACCTGTGTGGAGCAGTCAACAGCAGAGGGGCTGTTTTTGTTTATTTTTTGGTACCAGGGATCGAACTCAGGTCCTTGCACTTGCACAGCAGGAGGCAAAACCACTGAGCTAAATCCCTGGCCCGGGAGGGGCTGTTTTAAGTGAAAGCTTATGTTTATGTGTGGATTTACCCAGAAGTGCTTGGCTGTCACTGAACTAAACCCCCCCACTGTGTGGGGCCCTCGCTATGCAACGTGCAGTGGGCACAGCCGAGGGCACAGAGCGTGCTCTGTTAGACCGGAGGCAGAGGTGTTTATGGCACAGCACACGGCACACAGTGTTGTAGGCTGCATAGTGTCGAATGTGCTACAGAATTCTGAGTTTCACCGTAACCCAGGACTGGCCCACTCAGCTCTGCTCAGAGATCAGAAATTAGCAATGCAAACCAGCGTCGTCCTGGGCTGTCTCCTCGCTTCTGCCATGCATTGGCTGGCAGCGGCTGCTGCTGGTATCACACAATTGGCTTGGACGTGAAAGCCTGGCGGAAGCAGCCCTCCTGCGCCCACGCTGTGACTCAGGCTCCTGCTGCCAGGCTGAGCCAGGGATGTGGAGCGGTTACACAGTGCGGGAGTGCAGCTCCCTGTGCCTAAATGCTGCTGTTGCAGAGGGCGAGAACCCGCTCCGCGCTCCTGACGGATGTGTGTGAGCCTTTGGGAGCCTGGGGGGTTCACACCCAAGCCCACAGCAATGGCATCCGGAGTGATTTCCTAACGTGGAGGAACATGGGGACCTGAGATGCTGGGGCCGACGTGACTTACGGGTTCTAGCCCTTGGTTTGGAGCGCAGCGAGCCAGCCGCAGGGGAAGGAAGTGACCTGCCCCTTGTCTTGGATAAGATGCCTGGGCTCCAGGGAAGGATGTCTCGGCTGGGCTCTGAGCGAATGAGGCTGATCTTAGGCTGAAGGTAACCAGCACCCCAAAGATCTCCGCCCTCCTTAGAGGACGCAGGCCCTGGACGTGACAGGGCGGGGCTGCCCTGGCCCTGGCAGGCATGTTCCTCATGCAGAATGGCACAGGAATGGAAGCCGGGCGCCCCCTGCACACACTAACTGCAAGCCTCTCTCCTCGTTTCAGTCTGCAGGATGCTGGCATCGGATTCATCCTGGTCATCGACCGGAGGCAGGACAAATGGACCTCTGTGAAGGCATCGGTCCTGCGAATAGCCGTGAGTGTCATGCCAGCCCTGCCTCTCTCCCGGCCGGGCAACATCACTCAGCTACAGCTCCTCTCCTCAGTGCTGGAGCAGTGGGTGCTCCCCGGGAGGCCTTGGCTGGAACTGGGCGGCGTGTGTGTGCAGTGTGTGTACACGTGTGTGGGTGTGCAGCATGTGTTCTCAGGTGGTTTGCTCTTGGGGAGTCTGCTATGATTGCACTTGCTCTGAAATCAGCACAAAGTTCTGAATAGGTATGATGTTGAGCATAAGCCACCTTCAGGCTAGAGGTTGGAAATTACATGGAACAGCTTTTCTAAACAACAGCTTCCTCCTACCCACCTGTTTTTCCTTTGACTTCCTTAGCATCCCCTTCAGGCCCCTGGGGACCTTCATTTCCAGGGCTGTCTCTGCACCACGAAGCCCAAAGCTGGGCCCTCTGTGCTCCCTCCATGGCAGTATGAACTGCTGGTGTTTTGAGCCCACAACCACCATCCGAGGAGGGAGGCGGAGCACCCAGGACGCCCCAGCCTCATCTCGCCAGCGCGATGCTCCTCCCACAGCAGAGGGGTGTGCATGACCCAGCACCCACGCACCCTGCCTTCCCCGTCAGCTCCCGGCCTGGGAGGCACCAGGAGCTGGGTTGTCTGCCAGGAGGGCGCCCTGGCTGTGGCAGCTCAGTGGCGGGACAACCTCCCTCCCGGGTGAGGCCTCCTGCTCACCCCTGGGCTCACTGATCTGCAGTGCCTGGATCCCCTGCCTCTCAGGGCTGTGCCAGGAGGAACCCACCTGTCCCCACAGGAGTCATCCAGTCCTCCTTGCCTGAGCTCATATCCCACGGCTGAGCCCTGGCCAAGCACTGCCTGTCACCTCCCGTCCCTGTCCCCACCTGGCATGTGCCCCCCTCGCCCTCGGTTCCTGGAAGGGATCAGCCGCCCGAGCTGTCTCACAAGAAATGGGGACCTGGGCAGCCAGCCTCTGGCCCGAGTCCCCTGCGCCTGGACAGCGCTGTGATCGGCAAGCTCGCCGTGCCCCAGTCCCCACTGCACGTGTAGATCCCCAGCACATGGCTCCGAGGCAGGCGCATCTGGAACCCAGATGTAGGAAGCTAATGTGGGCACCATGGCCTCTGTGGTGGCAGTCAGTCCTGGGTGGATACCACAAGGCCCCTAGCAGGTGTGCATTGCTCCAAGGGAAGGCCACAGGGGTGTGACATGTGTGACAGCAGCCTTGTCCCAACCAACCCAGAGCCCCTGTCAATTACCAGAGTGAGGAACCGTGAGGTCGGCACCCTGTCCTGGATCCCTGGGTCAGGACTGCTGGCCTCCACTCCCCTGGGGCCAGGCCCTCCACCAACGGCCACCCGTGGGTCCCACGCATGCTCACACACGTTCACACACACCAGCCCAGCCTTCCAGCCACTCAGGGCAGGCTCCCTCCTCTGCCTTGGTGCCTAACTGTGCTCTGGCCACACGTGCATGGAACCTAGATCACACACACCACACGTGCCACGGTACCATCACCCCACACTTCGCTCCCGCCTTAGGTGACTTGAGGTCCCTGAACACAGAGCTGCTTTTTAAGAAATGCAGCTGTTACTTTCCAAAGCCCTAAGTGGTCCTGTGAGACCGGCCCAAGCCTCTGGCAGCCTGCAGCAGTCCGAGTCCAGCCAAAGTGCGGTTTCCTCCTCTGTAACACTCAAAATCAGGATTTCCGAAGCAAGTGCCCCCAGCTTTAAAGTTTTGTTATGTGGAAACTGTCACTGAAAACTCAGATTTGAGTTTGTTACTGCATGAACCCTGCACCCACCCTAACAGTGCTGGCGCCAGCATCTACGAGCGGTCTAACAGCAGAGCTCAGCGCCCATCCAGCAAGCTAGCCCGAATTCTCTTTGGACTCTGTGCTTTCCCACCCTCAGGACCTGCTCATGGCTCCAGTGTGTGTCTGGCATGCTCTGGCTGCCAACGCCGGCCTGTGCCGACTCACAGGGCACGAGTGGGAGGAGAGCAGCAGGGACCCCCAGGGGTCGCCGGGCGCAGGCAGCACATGGGAGGGTGCAAGGCCCAGTCAGGGCTGGGGCAGGACTTGAGAGCCAGGCCCATTGCTGTTCCATGCAGGAGCCCCCCATGGGGGTGGAGCCCCAAGAGAAGCCAGGGCAGAGGGATGAGCAGGAGACCCCAGGCCTGGGGCGCTGCTGCCTGGGAAAAGCCAAGAAAGGCCTGGAGGAGGGAGCAGGGTGGAGGGCAGTGTGGTGGCTGTGAGGCTCTGCAGTGAGGACAGGAAGCCCATCTGGGCTCGATCCACACACGCTGCCCACGGCCAGAAGGGCGCTACACTTCACCCTTCCAGGGTCTTGGCTCTGTTTCAGAGCCAGTGGTGCCGACTGGTGTGGGCTGCAGCCTGTGCCTGGGGGCTGGACCAGGGGTCCACCCTGGAGCACAGCGTCCAGCCCGGAAGCTGGCACTGCAGAAGCAGGACTGGGAGCTTCTCGGCGCCACTGCCTGGCCTCCCACGGGACCACACTTACGTAACGCCCCAGACTGCAGGCTATTCTTAGCCACCGTGCATGCTACCTCCTGCGCTCAGCGGCCCCCGGGCTCGGCATTTGCTTTTTCTCTGTTGGGTATCTTCAGCTTGGCTAGCAGTAGAAAAATTAGAGGTGGCAAGAGCCAAAGTCCAATGTTCCTGAACTAAGACACCCTGTGCGGATCCAGAGTAGAGCTCAGTTGATTGCAACCAAGTGTTGGATGGGGGTATCTCCTCAGACAGGTCCCTGGGTCACATCCAGCAAGCAAAGGCAGTGACAGTGAGAATAAATCCACGGATCCAGGCCTCTCTCTCACTTATGTGCTGGGTTCAGGGTTTGGGCTCCCCAAATGGGTGTGTGTTTTACAGAATATCTGAGTGCATGCTGGTAGCTGCTACTGCAAAATCTAACCCCTGCTCCGTCCCAGGTGTGTGTGAGCATGCGTGGAGTATGTGCTGATGCTTAGGGCTGGCCTCATTCAAACGGAACCTATGTCCTGGGGTGTTCCCACAAGGAAACTGACCCCAGAGCAGATTCCGAGTAACACTGGTCCGCATGGGGCCAGCACGGTGGCCCTGTGAGCTGCAGTCTCTGCCGGCAGGAGAGATCCAAACCAAGTGCCCTGGGGCCTCTGGCCAATGGTCTGAAGTGGCAGAGCACCGCTGCTGGACCCCCGGCCCTGTGCCGGTCCTAGGCTCAGGGAGGAGCAGGCTGTAGGGCAGGGAAAGCTGCCCAGCACCAGAGGGCTTCTCGGTGGAGCGGTGCTGGCTGAGAGTCCAGGGGGGCTGTCAGTGTTGTCCTGGCAAAGGGCTGATAAGTGTCCCTGGGAACACAGGTGCAGGCTCAGGCCAGAGAGGCACCACCCACAGACCAGGCAGCGGGGCCCAGGCCGCAGGGACAGGGACCTTGTGACAGGCGAGGGCGGCTGGGAGCTGTCACCCAGATGGCCCGGTCCCCAGAGCCCAGCTGTTGTCCCAGCGCAGGGCCCAGAGCTCCTGCAGTGGTGAGCTGGTCCCACAGAATGTTCCAGAGGAAAGGGGTCAGCCTGTTGAGAGGACAGCCCTCCCTGCAAACCAACAAACGTCGCGCAGGGACGAGACCACCCGAGCAGGCTGGTGAAGGCAAAGAGGTATGGGCTGTATTCACGGGGAGAGGTGGACTGACGGCAGCCAGGAGGCCACCGGCCCGAACAAAGGAAAGGCAGAACGCTTTACAGGGCATGGGAAGAGGTCGGCCACGTCTGGCACGTGTAGGGGCAGAGCAGACATTCGTGGCGGGGTCCGTGCACTGGGCAAGGCAGGTGTGTGGACGTTTTCAGGTGACTGGGCACTGAGAAGAGGCTGTGCTTGTAGCTGGTGTCTATGCTGGGGACATCCCGTCCTGCGTTCTCCATCCCAGGCAGCACAGCTTTGTCGGGCAGGGACAGCACCTGCCTTGGCCGCCTGTTCTGTTGTGGCTTTTGTATCTTAGCAGACTGTAGCTTGGGTTAAAGAGCAATCCGTTCAGCATCTCACAACCAGGTCAAGCCTGACACAAACATTACCCCTTCCTGTTGTTCACTAAATAAAGTTTATGCACCAAACCCAGTGTCCATCACCGTCTCAGCCGTTAGGGGTGGTGGTCCCGTTAGAAGTGGGCTCTCCTCACTCCCTCCTATAGGACCATGAGCCCCAGGTGTGGAGAGTGAGGCCCCAGGCCGCCTGCTCCTCATCTGCACAGCGCCGTGCTGTGTATCCCGAGTCGCTAACAGAGTGCCTGTAGGCGCACAGTGTGGGTGTAGTGTGGGCCTGGAGGTTCTGGCTCCGTCAGGCCCTGTGGGCCGTGCCCTCCACGCAGTGGGACCTCATTCCTCAGCCCACTTCCTGGGTGTGTGGGGCTCCTACACACACAGAAGACACCTGTGTCCTGTGGCTGAAGATGTATCTGGAGGGCAGGTGGCCCCCAGCAGAGGAGAAGAGAGGCCCATGGGTCAGTGCCTCTGTTCCCGCAGTGCTCATCGCAGAGAGCTTCAGACCTGTTGGGAGGGTGTGAAGGGAACACCATCTCCTTAGGGACAGGACACACAGGCAGACACAACCCACACGTGCAGAGATCCAGGAATACCTGCATACGTGCACATGCATAGAGACACACGTGCACGGTCACACACTCAGGACACACATGCAGAGATGGAGAAACCCGACACACACACACAGGGACACACATGCACACAGAAGCTGTCTGCTGGCCCAGCCATGGTGATCAGGACCCCGAAAGCTTAGGTGTGCCCTATGGACAGAGCCGCCCATGTGGCCACCCGTGTGTCCTGAGGACGGAGCCGCCGGATTGCCCTGTCTGCACTCGGGATGTCAGTTCTGCAGCAACACCTCTGTCCAGTGAACTGTGCACATCTAGCCCTCCACGCCCTTACTGCCCGTTCGATCTTTTGCTAAAGCCCAGGCCTGACTGAGGGTGATGGGTGGTGTCAGCTGTCCCCCGTCAGTGTCTGGCCTACTTCGTCATCGTTGTATTTTGGCTTGACGCTGCGGTCTGTGGAGACCCGAAGCCAGCCTTGTGCAGCGCTCTCCACCTGGCTCCTCACACCTGCCCCCAATGGTCATCCCAGCTGAAGCCCTCATCCCAGGGCCCCGGTGTCATGGGTCAAGTCTGCTCCCTGGGTGGTGATCCTCTCCTCTGTCTTCACCAGGTCCTTGGAGACAGTGCCTGGGGTGGGTGAGGTCCTCTCCGAGTCCTCCATCCCCGGGCTGAGCATCCACGGGTCAGTTTCGCCTGATCCGTGGGGTGACGGTGGCCGCCACATGGCTGTGTCTATGGGTTTGTGGTCTGTGCCAGGCTGTGGGTGTCATGCCCTGCCAGTCACTCATCACTCAGCCGTCCTCCTGCGGAGGGCAAGGAGTTGCCTTGATCCCTACGGAAATGCATACCTTACAAGGCAGAGACAGGAGCTCTGGATGTGACGTGGGGGCCATGCAGCCTGGGCTTGGTGAGGTGCAGCCAGAGCGGGAGGAACCCTGCACTCGGACGATGGGTGTGCATGGGCCGTCCAGGGTAGGAGAGCGGGCTGTTCCCGGGGGGGAGGGGGGGTCCTGGACCCCCAGGCTCACTGTCACTCCAGGGTAGGTAAGCAGGGTCCCACATGCACCTCATCCCTCCGAGTCTCAGTACCGAGAAACACTGGAGGATGTGCCGTGAGACAGGGCCGGAGGCCGATGCAGGCACCCGAGTTCCCAGCCAGCGTGTGTGGGCTGGACAGTCCCCGCCCATCCGAGGGCTTGAGCACCTCTGATTCAGACTCAGAGGTCTCTTCGTCTAATGCTGAGGCACAAGTGTCCACGTGTATTTTCAGTATCACCTTCTGCATGTTCGTGGGGAGCTGTCAGATAAGTCTGCCTGGTCAGCTTTCAGCTGCTGTTCGAGATTAAATAAAACTGAATAGGCAAGGGCAGCCTGGATGCAGCATGTGGCCTGGCGCTGGGGAGAGGGTGTGTGGGCCTGGAACAGGTCTGTGCCTTTGTGCCCCGGTTCTCTGGTGTCTGAGGTGCCCTCGGCCTTGCCTGCGCTTGTGATTTCTCACTAGGTCTCCAAAAATATTGGCTGACAGCCAGTCAGCACCTCTCTTTCTGCCTCCGTGACTGTCAGGTCACCACCCCGTACTCCTGCTCCTGAATCAGCATCAGCCCAGGAAGCAGGCGGGATGGCGTCCTGTTGGGTAGAAACCTATTGTCGTTTTACGATCACTCTGTAAATTTACAAAAGGACATTGTTTATAGTCTCCACTCCAATCTTCCATCTGTTCTTTTCTATTTTTTAAAGTTATTATTTCAGACCTTTCCTCAGCTTTTAATACAAAAGGTTGAGTCCAGAGCGGGACGCCGTGCATGGTGGCACATACCTATGGTCTCTGTGCTCTGGGAGGCTGAGGTAACAGGATCGCAAGTCCCAGCCCAGGCTGGCAACTCTGTGACTTAGCAAGGCCCTGTCTCAAAATTTAACATTTTAAAAGGGCTGAGGATGCAGCTCAGTGTGAACGAAGGCCCTGGGTTCAATCCCCAGTACTGCCCCCAAAAAGGTGGTTCCAAACCAGAGAAAGCTGAACTTGCTGTTGTTTATATCACAGGTGTTTGTGTACACAAGTAACGCCTCCTCCCTTGGCTAGAATCTTACAATTTTTCTACTTAATATGCAGATTCAGTAACTTACAGGATGGAAATCTTAAGGCAGAGGGATGGGACAGAGAGGACCATGCTCATGTTCCACCTCCGGTGGGCCGGAGGGTTCCCGAGGCTGCCCGCCCTGCTGAGACCCGGTCTCTGTGCCACGGCTCAGGCAGGCGAGGGCCTGGCTTTGTCCCATAGGCTCCATCACTGCCTGGCCCAGAAGCTGGTCTGAGACGTGTGAATCCAGGCAGTAAAACCACAGAGCTGAGAGGAGTGTGGGTCACTGTCGCCTCCAGGCAGCCTGCTGGGAGCTCGGCTGGCTCCCTCCAACAGCGGCCAATGTCACCAGCTGTGCAAGGGTACGGGGGTCCCCTGATGGACAGGTGGCCCTGAGCAACTTCAGGTCCAGGTGCCTCAGTGGGGTCCTCTCCACACGGAGCACAGCCGGCATCCCCAGCTGCAGGGTGCAGGGACATCGCTGAGCACAGCACAAAGGTGAGAGGGCACCGGGGTCCTCAGGAGCACGCAGGGCTGCCGCCTGCGGGAGGAACCCACCATGCAGCTGCCTGCCCTCTGCTGCCTGGAGTCCTGGGCCACACTGGCCAGGCACTTGCCAGGGGCCTGACACCTGAGGCCACCTGACCCGAGTCCTCCAGGAGTGTGATGCAGTGCACCTGGGGTCTTTCCATCCTCGACACTGTCGAGCAGGCAAGGCTCTGTCCCCATTTTGCACATGGGGAAACGGAGGCACACACAAGTAAAGTAACTTGCCCGAGCTCCCACTTCCCTGTAGGTGGCAGAACAGTAACGAATATGTCCGTTTCGCTGTTTGAGTGCTTGTGTGTGTGTGTGTGCGCGCGCGCTGAGGTGTAGCTTACTTTTGTTTTAAGCAACACACGTGTCTAGATTGCTTTTTCTGACGAGTGCGTCATTTCCTGTGACAAAGGCCTGCACACTGGGGAGTTTACAGTCGGGAACGGTGCGCTCCATTCCATCTGGAGCCTGATACCCAGGGGTGGCAGAGTTGTCCCCCAGGCTTGACAAGTGCTGCAGGCAGCTGGTGTTGTGTGGAAGTGTCGCCGCTGTCTGCCTTCTCTTTATGTGGCGTCCTCCTGTGCACGCCAGGGTCCAGTGTCCCCTCCATATCAGGAGGTCATTGGCAGGGCTGCCCCTGTGCAGGCCCTGTCCCCGCCCAAGGTCCCCTGAGCACAGGTGAGCATGAGGGCCACAGTGCACCGAGCCTGTGCCTCAGGGCTTGGAAGCAGACGCGGTCAGGCCTCCAGCCACTGCGAAAGCCCCGGGCCTCCTGCCCCTGAAGGACACCACACCCCTCTGTCTCGCAGGCTTCTTTCCCGGCCAACCTGCAGCTGGTCCTCGTCCTTCGCCCGACAGGCTTCTTCCAGAGGACCCTGTCAGACATCGCCTTCAGGTTCAACAAGGATGACTTTAAGATGAAGGTGCCGGTGAGTGCGCCCTGCGGGGCCGGCTCGGCTGGGCCAGGAGCGTCCTGAACCCTCAGTCAGCCCCAAACTGCAGCCAAATCAAACCCTGCAGGGGTGGCCACCCCAGGTCCCTGTGCCCCGGCCGACTGTGCAGGTGCCAGAGACACCCGCCTGTCTGAGCCGGGAGTCACAGGTGTCCCGGGGCCCATCGAGGGCGCCTGGGCCAACCCACCCTCGCTTCTGGCCTGCTTCACTGCCGCATAGCCTGCTCGCTCATCCCCTAAGGAACAAGGGCCTCTGAAGCCCCAGAACAGCCCTGTAACTCGGGAGACCACGATGCCTGGCCCCACTCTGAGGCGGCTCCTGTAATGGCCCTGGGCACCCCTCCCTCCCGGAGGGAACAGCAAGCGGGGGCAAGACTGGCCGTGGGGCCCAGCAGCGCCCCCACCTCCTCAGGCACAGGGTGCTGTCCATGAAGCCACTGCCTGCTGCTCCCAGGGCCTCCTCCCACCCCATGGGAGGCCCCATCCCAGCCCTCTCCCCCAGCAATGAGAGCCCCACTTTGAGCACAGTGGCTCCCCAGTGCTGGACTGACCCGCCTGTCCTGCCTGTCCTGTCTGAGAAGGCCCTGCCGCCTCCATGGCACCCCGTGCTCCCCGGGATGGCTGTGACTTGGAGACTGGGCCTGCAGCAATGACACAGCAGCAGGACATTCTGCTTGGCAACTGTGGGTCTCTATCTGGAGACTTCCTGTGGCCCCGGGGACAACAGGCTCCCGGGTCTGTGGGACGCTCTGCACCCCAGTGCCCAAGGCACCTGTGGTCTGGGCAGTGACTCTGCCCAGTGAAGTTGGCCCTGACACCAGGGCGCTGTGCTCTGCACCCGGTGTCTCCAGACAGTGGCCTGTCGGGCAATGATGTGTCCTGTGGCCTTGTGTGCAGAATGGCATTGGCAAGTCCCATGAACCTCGTTGGCAGCAGCCCAGACAGGCCTGCATGCAGTGCAGTCTCCTGTGCAGAACAACACCGTCGTGTCAGCCAGCTGGCAAATACTGCTCTCTTAGGCATCTTCCCCAAAGAGTTAAAGACAACATATTACAGTGATCCATGCACATCTATGCTTATAGCAGCACAACTCACAATAGCTAAATCCTGGAAGCACCCCATATGTCCATCCACAGATGAATGGATAAAGAAATTGTGGTATTTACACACAGTGGAGTACTACTCCGTCATAAAGAAGGATAAACTTGAGGCATTCGCATGACACACCTAGAGACCATGATGCTGAGTGACCTAAACCAGACACATGAGCTTAAATATTGCATAGTTTCTCTTACATGAAAAACCCAACATGTAAGTAAGTTAAAGAGCAAAATGAAAGGAAGATGACAGGAAACAGACCTTTTCGAAAGGGAAGGGGACAGAGAGAAGGGGAGGCGAAACAGAACGAGAACCCATGGTGTCCGTGCTCCAGCTCCGCTGAGGAGTATGGTCATTACAGCGGAATCCGCCCCGCACCCGCCAGCTTGCTGACTGCAGACGACTGTGGCAGCGCTGTCTGGAGGACGCAGCTGTGAACAAGTTCGAAGGTCCAGGGAAGCCTGGAGTGCAACCGGGATCTGTGCAGGGCTCCGAGGATCTCGGAGGGTGGCGACTCGGCTCAGGCTGCTGTCTGCCTGGGTCCTGGCAGTGAACCAGGGCTGTGGGCAGCAGGGCAGAGCTGTGTTGCAGCAGAGCACAGCACGGCCTCTCCTGAGGACTCTGGAGGGGACCTGAGCTCACATTAACCTGGCCGATGTGCCTCGGTCTTGTGCTGGGTGACGCTGTGCACACCAGCAGTGTCGCCTGGGGTTTCTACCCGACGTCTCCAGACGCAGTCCCGTGTGCGACAGCCGAGAACTGCCCTAAACTACTCCAGGATTTAATAATTCATGGAGTGGCATCGAGTAACAGCTAGCCCGGCCTCTGCAGACCTGCTCTGTCGGATCTGCCTGGGAGCTCACAGAGCAAAGGCTGGGTCTCACCTAAAACTCAGCTGGAATGACCCCAGGCAGGCACGAGAGACAGAAAAGCAGCAGAGGTGAAGACCCTGGGTGCGTGGGGACCCCCTCGGCCTGCAGCCTGGGCCCCACTCGGGTCTGTCGGTCCCCTGCCCAGGCAGTGGCCTGGCTCTGTGTGCTGAGCAGATTCCAGGCAGCACCGTGTGAGCTTGTGGTGTTCTCAGCAGGAAAAGGGAGGACGGCATGTTTGGAACCCCAGCACCCTGGGGTTTGCAGGCTAAGTCTCCTTGGGAGGTGGGGTTGTACACCTAATGTCAGAGGTCCCAGCAGCTGCAGGCCAGGTCCTCTGCTGAGGGTCCTCGTGTGTCCTCAAACCTCCTTGGGCCCTCCACTCTGAGCTGGTAGGATCCTTCACACCATGCCCATTTTACAGATGAGGAAACTGAGGCACAGAGAGACTAAGCAACGTGCAAGGTCAGGGAGGATACAGCTGGACTTAAACCCAGGTCCACTCGAGTCTGATGCCCCAGTCACCAGCCCTGCCCGGCTCCTGCACACCTGCTCTGCTGACGAGGCTCTGTTCTCCCTCAGGTCATAATGCTGAGCTCAGTGCCAGAACTGCATGGCTACATCGACAAATCACAGCTGACTGAGGACCTCGGGGGTACGCTGGACTACTGCCACTCTCGCTGGCTGTGTCACCGCACGGTGAGTCTGTCCTGGCGCCCTGGACTGCATCCTCTTCGGGTTTCACCCAGCAGGGCTGCTTCTGCATCACGACCCAGCTTCTCCAAAAGCATGATCACAGCAGCGCAAGTCTCCCTGCCCAGGAATGAGGAGATGGTCTCAGCAGGCCTTAGTCATCTAAAGACTAACATGAGTAATAAGTTCGGGAGTGGTTTGCTCTGGGCCTGGAGACAAGAAAACGCACAACTGTGTGCTCTTGTGGTTTCCACACACACACACTTCTCTGTTGAGGGCGACAGAGACACGGGAGCCCAGCATGACTCTCGGTGACAGGGCCATCTGCAGGGCCTGCCTGGTAGGTCCCGGAGGGCTCCAGAGTCAGAACCCAGCGGGGTCACTTGCACCGGCACAGCGGCTCCCAGCTGCTCCCTCTCCCAAGGCAGTCGCGTGCACTGTGCGGCCAGTGACCAGCATGCTCCCCTTCAGGCAATCGAAAGCTTCGCCCTCATGGTGAAGCAGACGGCCCAGATGCTGCAGTCCTTTGGGACCGAGCTGGCAGAGACAGAGCTGCCCAATGATGTCCCATCCACCAGCTCAGTGCTGAGCGTGCACACAGAGAAGAAGGACAAAGCCAAGGTATGTGCGGCTCCCTGGGGCTGCAGTGGGAGTGCGGCTCTTCCATCCCATGTAGCAGCTTCCCAGGTGCCTGGGGGACCCTATAAAGCCTGCAGTGTTGCAGCTACAGCCGGCCCTTGCTCCAGCACAGCCGTAACTCCAGAGTCTGAGCCAGCTGGTCAGAGGCCGCCCCCCCCGTGAGCAGTGCTCAGTGGGTGGAGAGGGAAGGAGGCAGGATCCCCACCCAGCCCTCACCTGCAGCCAGGGAAGCAGTGATGTATTGCAGCCTAAAATACGCACTGTGCTCACTACTTGCTTTCTGGGGTAAATATGCTGCCACGGCCTGCCGGCATCCCAAGGACGCTGCCAGCCAGACACACTCCCACAGTAAGCCTTTTGCCCTGGAGAAAGGCCAGCTGGGAAGAGAGACAGGCATTAGAAAGCCGGGTTTCTGGTGACGTGCTTACCTCACCTGGTGCCCAGGTGACCTGCAACCCTAGCTCTGCCCTGGTGCTAGCAGGAGTGAGCCGCCCAACACCCGCCTCTCCAGTGTGGGGGAGTGTGGGCACCGTCACACGGAGGAGATGGCTTTGTGCCCCCTTGCACGAGGGCCCGAGGTCTGAGCATGTGCCCACCTGGGCAGGGGTGCGAGGCTGCTATTTCTCCACAGGAGGACCTGCGGCTGGTACTCCAGGAGGGGCAGGGCATCCTCGAGAGCCTCCAGGAGCCACCGTCAGAGGGCACGGCGCAGGGCGTGAACCAGGACCAGCTGGACAGCCAGGCCACCGTGCAGAGGTGAGCCCACGGCAGCTGGGTCCTCAACGCACAGCGGGAGCGCTGGGTCAGGACCCAGGAGGCATGCATGGAAGGGCTCCCACCTGGGTGGGGTGCCAAGACCCTTGGGGCACTGCACCAACCACCTGAGACACAGTTTCCCCATCTGTCAAACGCAACCATCAGAGCAGCCTGCCAGGTGTTGGGCTGGAGCAGGTGGTGGAGGCCGCTGGCCCCCACCCTGAGTCAGAGCTGGGGAGGCCCCCACAGCCCCTGCCCCTGAGCTGTGGGTGACATGAGCCTGAGCCCTCACCTGTGCCCACTCCCTTAACAGGCTCCTGGCGCAGCTGCAGGAGACCGAGGCTGCCTTCGACGAGTTCTGGGCAAAGCACCAGCAGAAGCTGCAGCAGTGCCTGTGTCTGCGCCACTTTGAGCAGGGCTTCCGTGAGGTGAGGTGAGGGGCGTGGTCTCAAGAAAGGGCGGGACCTTACAGGGCCCCGACTGCCTATGGGTTGTGGAAGGGCGGGGCCTCAGAGAGCAGGGGCGGGGCTTCAGGGAACCGGAGGATGGCAAAGTGGGGTGCGTGCGAGAGGCTGGGGCTTGTTGGCCATGGATGGGGCCTTGGTCCTGGGTGGGGATTGTGGGTGCGAGGTGGGGCTGGCACAGGACCCCCCTCTGCAGCTGACACCTGCAGAAAGTGATGTCTGCAGCTTGTTTCTGTCTGAACTAGAGCCTCTTCAGAGCAGGTGACATTTTTAAGAAGCATTTTATTTGGAGATCATCATGGGTCCAGGAGCAGCTGTCAAGAGTAACTGCAGGGATCCCTGTGCCCTCCTCAGTACCCCCGTGGTGACAGAGGCAGCAGGACACATGGGCATGCCCTCAGGCTGCACAGCCTGGGCAGGGTCCCTCCGTAGGGCTAGCCATGGTGCCCACTCTTCCTGTGGCCAAGCCGAGCTCCCGGGGATACACTGAACCCCCACCCTTGAGGACCGGGATGTGCCCCGGTCGTGCCGTGAGCATCGGTGTGCTGGCATCTGTGACATCGGGCACTCTCACTTGCCGTGCCTGAGAGACCGGTCTGCACAGGCTGTCCAGCTTTGGTGTGGTCACTGTGTTTATGTCACGCTCCCATCTGGCGGGTGTGTCCTGCTTCTCACCGCCCAAGGCCCTGCCTGAGCACTGCTGCCTCAGGCACCACACCCTGAGCACAAGGCCTTGGGACAGGGACGTGCGCACACTGAACTGCAGCTCCCGGGCCGGCCTCCCAGTGCCTGTTCCACTCCCTGTGCCCCAGCGTCCTCTGGCTTCCCCTTGCCCGTCCTGTGGTGTCTGCAGTGAGCTGCTGGTCAACAGTCCCTGGGGCACATTGTTCAACCCATCAGCAACACTGTCTTGGAATCGGTGTTTTGGGCTGTTCATATTTAATACCATTATTAGGACTTTAGGATTTTAGTCTGCCATTTTATTTGGTGCATTCTTTTTGTTCTTTCTGTTTTTTCCCTTGATCTGTCTTCTTTTTCCTGCCTTTCTGTGGTTAGTGGAACATTTTTCAGAATTTGGTTTTCTCTAAATTGTAGTATTTGGGGATTTATCTTATGATGCAGGTTTCAGAGGTTGCTCTGAGTGTTGCACTGTAACTTATTTTATATGTTGTTGTGTCGTCGTATGCATACTGTGTGTAATACACACATGTGGGCATCTAGAGGGAGACAGCTTTCCTACTCGCTTTGTATGCAAAGTTACCTTAAATATTCTCCCTGCCTGCATTGGGAAGCACATCGGTGTTGCGCTTCTGCCCTCAAACAGCCTGGAAACCCAAGAGCAGTGAGCCTGTCACCCAGTGCAGGGTCCAGGACGGGCAAGTCCCATCCTAGCCCTCGATCACAGACCATTGGAACCACAGCCCTGCAGCAACCAGTGTCTGTGTACACGCTCAGTCTCAGGGCGACTTCTAATAAGAAGAGCAAAAGCTTTCCTATCTAAAGCAATGAGCTGGCTTAGTTTCTAAATTTTGGAAGCTAAGTGTGGTGGTGCACACCTGTAATCCCAGCCCAGGCAGGAGGATTGAAAGTTCAAGGCCAGCCTGAGCAATGTAGCAACTTAGCAAGACCCTGTCTCAAAATAAAAAATAAAAACCCTATTCTATGAAACCCTCTGTCTTTTTGCAAATGCCAGAAAAACAGGAAATTTGGGTTAGTCTGGAGCTGGAAAAGAAGGAACCTCAGAACTCCCCGCCCATCCCAGCCCCTGTGGGGCCGTGGACAGCACCAGTGTGTAGCCCACTGCTGTCCCTTCAGCTCCCAGGTGTCCCTGTATACGGGTGGCAGGCCGAGCTGCAGAGGGCCCGTGACCCCCAGTGGGCGGGCGCAGCTCCAGGTCTGCCTGTGTCCCTGGCTCCACCCTCAGCCAGTCCTGGCTCTCAAATTGGCCTTCTCCGTGCCAGGTCAAAGCCGCACTGGACACGGTGTCCCAGAAGATAGCGACCTTCACGGACGTGGGGAACAGCCTGGCACATGTGGAGCACCTGCTGAAGGACCTGGCCAGCTTTGAGGAGAAGTCCAGCGTGAGGAGGGGCACGGCAGGGCGACCCCACCCGGGCACCCACCTGAGCCTCCGGCGCACAGCCTGCCTTGGCCGTGCTTCTGTCACAAAGTGCCGGTCATCTGATTCCCTCCCTGTCCAGCGATGCTTCCTCCGGCCAGCTGGCTCCCACTGCCTCCGGGCCCCCAGGAGCCCTGGCCCCAGTGTGGCTTTGGGATGAGGGACACTCAGTCCACCATAGCCATAAATGAAATCGATGTCCTTCCCTCACCCTGCATCCAAAACCCCAGTTGCCTCTACCAAGAACAGCTGAGCCGACTTTCCTTGTCCACAGATGGCTGTGGAGAGGGCCCGCACCCTGGCGCTGGAGGGCGAGGGGCTCATTGACAACAAGCACTATGCCGTGGACTCCATCCGCCCCAAGTGTGAGGAGCTGCGGCACCTCTGCGACCAGTTTTCCAAGGAGGTCGGCAGGAGGCGAGGGCTGCTCAGCAAAGCCCTGGAGCTGCACAGCCTGCTGGAGACGGTAGGTGGCCCCTCCGCCCATGGCACCCATGGGTGAAGCCAGGGGCAGCCCCATCGCTGGGCCGCAGCCGCCACTGACCGGAGGTGGCCTCCTCCCTTTCCGTTCCGCCTTCTGTCCACCTGGAGGGTGTGGTCCCGACAGGTGCGTCTGCCCCAGAATTCACTGCCACAGTAGTGATTTCTGCCAGGGGACCAGAGACCTAGCATCTTGGTCCTTCCTTTGCCCCCTCTCCCCATGGAAGAGTACAGTGCCGGGAGCCTGCGGCACCCCAGGGAGTCCCCCGGACTTGGTGATAGAGTGTGATGACCCGGTGCTTTAAATTTCCCCTGCAAACGTGTCGGTGGCAGACGGTGTGTGAGGCGTGGACGGGACGCGGAGGCGGCGCTTTGGGAAGGGCAGACCAGGCGTAGGCTCTGACCTCAATGCTCTGCTTCCAGTCCATGAAGTGGTGCGACGAGGGGATCTACCTGCTGGCCTCACAGCCTGTGGACAAGTGCCAGTCCCAGGACGGCGCGGAGGCGGCTCTGCAGGAGATCGAGAGGTTCCTGGAGACTGGTGTGGAGCACAAGATCCGGGAACTCAGTAAAATCTACAAGGACTATGAATCCATCCTCAACCCAGACCTCATGGTAACGCCAACCGGGGCTCCCCAGCAGCCTGGTCCCTCTGGACAGCGGGGAGTCGCTCATAGGAGGGGGCTCCCTGGGGACCCAACACGTCCCAGTGCCTCTTGAAACCGCTCCAACTGGGGACCCCAGGCAGACTGAGACCACCGTCCACCTGTCCCTCCCTCCCGTTCCTCCACTGTGGTCAGAGCTGCAGTGGACACCATTGTAGGAACCTAGGCAGCAGAAGCTACGTGCTGCGGCACACCCTGGGAGAACAGGGTCCCCTTGGTGACTGGCGCTGACGTGGCGAGGGCTCTCACCGCGCCGTCATTCCAGGAACACGTGCAGAGGGTCTTCCAGAAGCAGGAGAGCATGCAGCAGATGTTCCACCGCCGGCAGGCGAGCCTCAAGAAACTGGCAGCCAAGCAGACGCGGCCGGTGCAGCCCGTGGCCCCGAGGCCGGAAGCACTCACGAAGTCACCCTGCCTGTCCCCAGGTGCGCGGTGGCCCCTCACCTAGAGAGCCAGGGGCCCTGCTGCGGGCACCACAGAAAGAGTCCCTCCACGCACCTCCTGCTTGCCCAGGCCTGGGTGCAGTGGTCAGCAACCCATGCCCAGAGCCAGTGCAGCCCACCACCCGGGCTCCAGCAGGACTCTGCCATGAGCATCTCCCAGGCCCCTCTATGGCTGCCCTTGCCCTGGGCAAAGGCAGGGTCGGGGCTGTCAGCTGAGTCTGCGCTGAGCTCCTAGCTGCTCCCTGACCCTCCCCCGCCACCATTCTCCACCCCCGCCAGAACATCCTTCCTCAGGTGGCACCGGCAGGCCCAGGCCCTTCCTGGCCGCCCACCGTGACCCAGCCGTGTCCTGACACCACCGGCCCCCGGGGGCCCCTCGGCCTCCCCCAGGGCTTTCCCGGCCCTGCTCCCTGCCCTCCTTCCAGGCCAGGGCCGCACTGTGCATTTCCTGTCCCCTTTCCTCAGAGCTCTTCCTGTCTCTTCCTCGACGGGTTTCCTCACAGAAACTCAGGAGTTCAGTGGGCTTGGGAACAGCAGCCGTGGCCTGGGCCTGTGGCATAGGTCACCCGAGAGTCCTGAGGGCCTTCCGTGTGCTGGGCCAGGAGAGGCCGCTCTCCCGCCTGTGTGGAGGCCTCTTCTCGGGCTGCCGCGCCCCTGCCCGGTCCTCCCCTCCTGTGTCCCAGCTGTCCCGAAGGTGGGGCTCCCGCCAGCTGCTGCTCAGCGACCCGACCCTCCCTGCTCCCCTCCCTTGCTTCTCTCCCACCTTCCCTGCCCTCTCCACGGCAGCCCCCTCTCCTCTCTCCACTGGGCCTTCTACGTCTTCACCCGAGCGCTAAGGAAGGCTCAGTGTCTGCTGCTCAGGCAGAACTAACAAACACCCTTCCCCACCTCCCTCCAAACCAGGCACCTGGCGTGGACCAGAGAACTCCGGCTCTGAGGGCAGTGCACTGCGGCGGGGCCCCTACCGCAGGGCCAAGGTGAGGCCATCTACTGCTGTGACCCAGCTGTGCGCCGCCCGCCACACCCTGCACCACGGGCTTCACTGCCACAGCTCCCTGTGAAGCCAGCGCCCCTCTTGTGCCTGCTCTGGGGCTCCACAAGCCCACCCCAGGGTGTGCAGGCCCCAAGGGTGCATCCACACTAGGATCTTCCCCAGACAGGACTTGGTGGCTCGGGGCTGTCAGGCCCCCAGGGCACCTCCCCTCCTCAGGATTGTCCCCCCAACAGGATGATGCCTGATCTCCTGCCTCTCCTGCTGCAGCTCCGGGCATTGAGAGTTGACGCACCATGTGCTCTTCTCCCACAGAGTGAAGCAAGTGACAGCCGGCCAGGCAGGAGCAGCTCCACAGGGGACGAGGAGGAGAGCCTGGCCATCCTGCGCAGGTGAGCACCTGCCTGTGCCTGTGTGCAGAGCGGAGGACTGTGTCCTGGGTGTGCAGAGCCAGGACACACGGGTGGTGGCACGCACGATACGAGCACATGTCCCCTGGGCCACGCCACTGAGTCCTCAGGGGCCCCTGGTCACCTCTCCCACGGAGGGAGGCTGCTCTCCTGACAAAGGCAAGTGCAGGCCATGTTCAGAGCGGGCTCAGGACTTGGTCATCTTCCCTGCACTCCTGCTGGCCGCTGAGACCCTGCCTGTCGCCTGTATGGGGCCGAGCTGCCCCGCCCCAAGGTCTCCCTTGGCCCTCGTCGGCCCCTCCGCACGCACTTCACCCCGCTGCTCTCAGATGCAGCGTCTACTTTGCCACCTCTTGAAAGCCATGGGCAGCTGGTGAGCAAAGCTGTGGGGTGGTCCTGGGAGCGTGACCAGTCCAACGTGGACACCAGGACCCGGGCAGCCCGCTCCTCCCACCCCAGATGGCCCCACGCGCCTCTCTGTCACCCAGGCCAAGCACACACGTGCTCAGAGAGCAGCCCTGGACCCAGCTTTGGGGCGAGGATGGGTGGGGCTGGATGGAGCCCCAGGAGGCACCACCTCCCTCCTCCCCTGGGTGCTGCCTGGTGCCATCACCCTCAGGAGCCATCGTCAGTCGAGGGCAGGGGTCCACAGCTGAGTGTCACTTCTGGTCCACACGTGGCCAGTGTGCGTCCTCTCGCACCTCATCCAGCCCTCCCAGCCCCAGGAGCCCGGGGCTGTTGCACTGGGTGCTGTATGTGAAGAGCAGCTCCTGGCTCAGTCCCACCTGGCCCAGGGCAGACCGCATCCTGTGCAGCAGGCACAGGAGGTGCACAGGGAGAAGCCTCAGCACACACGGGTGTGGGGACAGCGGTCAGGCCAGGGTCTCTTCGTCACCCTGCAGAAGGGAACTGGGATGGATGCATGCGTGGGGCAGCACAGTCCCATGGCTCCCCGGGCTCCATGCCCTCCGTGTCTGCCCTGCACGCGGCTCCAGCAGACACCTGGACCCGGGACCTTTGGCCATCATCACTCCGAGGTTCAGGGGAAGACAATGCCCTGGAAGGCTCCTGGCCTCGGTGTTCACAGCAGCCCTTGCCAGGGGTGGCCAGCAGGAGTGGACAGCAGCATGGCACTGCCTCTGGAGGACCCAAGATGAGCGGACGTGTGCTTAGATGACCTGCACAGAGATGGCCGGTTCCTGTTGGGTGCTAAGCTGGCAAGAGGAAGAAGAGGTGGGCGCCGGAGAAGGCTCCAGGCAGAGCACAGGCTGAGGTTCACAGGGCACAGCCTCGGCCTGACCAGGCACCGGCACAGAAGGAGCCCTGGGCCACCACGTGCAGGGCCGGACCCTCAAGCCATGTGCATCAGACAAATGGTGCCAAAGTCTCAAGCCAGGAGCCCCCTGGGCTCCAGTGACTGAAGACTATAGATGTGTGGCCCTGGTCTGGGAAGGCATCCAAGCAGCAATGTGAAGCCCCTCTTCCCTGGAGCCGCACAACTGGCAGGCGCACAGTGGGTCTGCAGGAGGTTGCCACACACCTGCCTCGTGCAGGAGGGAGCTGGTGGGGAGGCTGAGCGTGGAGGGGCAGACTGTGCCTGGCTGGGGAGGCTCTGGGCTCCAGACTGTGCCTGGCTCCACCAGGCTCTTCCGGGTGGGGCCACGGATGGTATCAGGCAGGGTCATTCGCCAGTGTGCGCAAGGACAGGGAGGTGGCCTGGCCAGGGCTGCAGACACCCAGGACAGCGCGCCGGGCGGGTCCTCTGCTTCTGGACCCATCCCGTGGACCTGCCGCCCACCTGGCTCTCACGTCTCCACCCGCCCAGGCACGTGATGAACGAGCTTCTGGACACAGAACGGGCCTACGTGGAGGAGCTGCTCTGCGTCCTGGAGGTGAGGTCACCCAGGAACCAAGTCTGCGAAGGTGCCCCTCGCCCTAGGGTGCAGCATAAACTCTACTCAGAATGAGTGTCTGTGTCCCTAAGAAGGCACGTGGACTTGGCAAAGTGAGGGAGCTCAGCTGTCCCTCTCGGGCCAGCATGTGACACCCACTAAGGGAGGCCTTCAGGAGGCGGGCCTTCTGCAGCCAGCGCACTGCCCACACACACAGCAGACCCGTGCCTGTCCCAGACACCATGGCAGGGAGACTGGGTGGAGGAGCCAGTGCAGCTGCACAGGTGGAAGGTCCTGTGGCCAGGCTGGGTGCCCTGCAGAAGGCCCTGCCACGTGCCAAGCCTTCTGGGCCACCAGCGGCCAATGGCTGCAGCCTGGGCTCACTCCTGCAGGTGTCCAGGTGAGACTCGTGCCCTGCAGCTGGATAAAAGGTCAAAGGGGAAATGGGTGTGGTCTCCACCCTCCCCCAGAGGGGCATGCATTTTCTGTCCTGGTGTCCCCAGTAAACAGGAGTGGACTTGCTCTTAAGCACCAAGACAGACAGTGCCTCGCCTCCAGCATCCCAAGACCACCTGGCGGCTTCTCGGCAGCCTCCCTGTGCCCTGGTCCTCACCCCTCAGCCCTGGGTGGGAGCTCGAGGCTGACTTCTGCTCCATCTTGCAGGGCTACGCCGCGGAGATGGACAACCCCCTGATGGCCCACCTCATCTCCACGGGCCTGCACAGCAAGAAGGGCGTGCTGTTTGGGAACATGGAGGAGATCTACCACTTCCACAACAGGTGGGGGCCCTCGGTCGCCCGCACAACCCGATCTCTCACTGCGATGAGCCAGCACTGCTGCCCCGGCCCTGCCCAGTGGGGTCAGACCCGTCCAGGAAGCGAACTCAGAGCCACAGACACATGCCTGTGTGACTCCTGGCCAAGTCGTAGACTCAGGAGCCGGGAAGCAGGAGCACACAGCCCCCTCTGTCCCTCTGACCTCTAAGAGTGTGCCTTTGTCATTTTGGGGCTCTGATGTCCACACTGCCTGGCCGGCTCTGTTCCCCAACCAGCCCACTCTCGGAAGGGCCAGCAGGCCGGACGCTCCTTCCCTATGTCCCTGCCGAGCATGAGGGCTGTGTCCCCAGACCCAGTGTGGCTGGCTTATCCAGCTGAGAATCTTCTCAGCTCCTCTGTGCTGCTTTGTTGCCACCGTGTGATTTATGGTAGCTCAGGGAGCAAGGACAGGGTTGGCCTGCCCCAGGTGGTGGGAGAGACAGGTGGACAGCCCGAGCCTGCGACTCACATATGTGCAGCCTGCGCCCGCTGCCCACCCTCCTGGGAGCTGTCCCTGTTCCCAGGGCATGCACAGGACTCTCCTTAGCATCCCCTCGGCCAGGGCCTGGCACAGCCCCCTACAGCTCCAAGTGCAGAACGGCCCTTCCCAGGACAAATCCAAGTCAGAATGTGGAGGGCATTCCCAGCCCCGGGCCCTGGGGTCACGCTACCAACAGGAGGCCCCTGGACATGTGCTCAGACACGGGAGGAGCCCTGTCCCATCTGTCTTTGCCCTTCTCCCACCTCTGTGCCAGCACCAAGGCAGCTCCAACTCCTACATGAGTGCAAAACAGGGAAACAGCTAGGGCTGCTCACACTGAGTGTGAGGGGTCCAGGACAGGTGTGGGGTGCGGGGTCCCCAGTTGTCAGGCCGGCACTGTTGCCACGGCCTCTGGGACTGGCCAGAGTGGAGCCCACAGGTCCCCTGGAAAAGGGTGCCCTCAGATGTCTGCAGTGTTCCCCATGGCTCAGTCCAGATCTCTCCTTTAGGGTCTTCCTGCGGGAGCTGGAGAACTGCATAGACTGCCCGGAGCTGGTGGGGCGCTGCTTCCTGGAGCGGGTACGTCCCCTCGCCACCCACGCCGCCCCAGCTTCCCTCAGGGTCCCTGAGTGTCCAAGACTTCAGACTCCTGCCTTTGCCGCTCCACCTGGCTGACCCGCCACCCACATGCCTGTGTCTCCCTCCCGTGTAGCGGAGGAGAAGGAAGTGGAGGAGAAGTAAGGGGCGCGTTGGCCTGGCTCTCGCAGCCGCCCTGCGTATTCCAGTGCTGTCTGAGGTGCTCAGGGTCCTGGCCAGCGGCAGTGTCTCCTGGGTTGGGCTGGAGGACAAGGGGCTGGCCCCGTGCTGTCACGAGCCGCTAGGCTGTGGCTACCCCGGGGCGGGGAGGGGGGGGTCACTGTGTCAGCCTGGAGGCTCTGTGGAGTAGGAGTCTGCTGCCCCGGTTCTTAACAGTGAGAGTGGTCCTGGGGCTGAAGCGGCCCTGGGAAGTGAGCGTTTGAACCTAATGTGAAGTGGGTCTGAGCTGTGATGGATGAAGGGTGTGGCGTCTGAGGAGTAGAGGAAGCCTGGGGTAGGAAAGAGGCCAATGTGGTGGGTGGGGTGCAGAGCTATCTGTACCCGAGTCCTATGTACTCAAGAGCCGTCTGCACCCTAAAACCTTTGTGCCCTGAAGCCATGTGGACCCTAAAGTTATCCAAGTCCCTAGAGGTGTGCAAGGGCAATCACGTCTCACACCAGTTCCTGTTTGATTTTACAAAATTACTTGTATAATTTGCGAAACCACCTGACAGACCCTAGGTTATATTTAAATAAACGATCAGATAACGCTGTAAACACTTTTGGGACAGGGCAGCTTCCTGGCAGGCCCTGAGGTGGTCGTCAGGGCCCAGGTTCCCTTCCTTACCAGACAGCGGGGCCTGCAGCCCCGAGGTCAGCGTGTATGACACCTCTGTCCCCGCCCACCCTGCAGATGGAGGACTTTCAGATCTACGAGAAGTACTGTCAGAACAAGCCGCGCTCCGAGAGCCTGTGGAGACAGTGCTCGGACTGCCCCTTCTTCCAGGTACACTGGGCCCTCCCTCGCCACCTCCCCACTCAGGGTCCCGTGACACAGACCTGTCCTGGCTAAGCCGAGGCCCTGTGCTCCCAGGAGTGCCAGCGGAAGCTGGACCACAAGCTGAGCCTGGACTCCTACCTGCTGAAGCCCGTGCAGAGGATCACCAAGTACCAGCTGCTGCTCAAGGTGGGTGCCCCTCGCACTGTGGGCCTGCTGTGCGTTGGCCTGGTGAGGGTGCAGGGCATGGTTGATCAGACTCCCTTGGGCTCCTGCTCATCTGCAGCAGTGTGTCCCCGCTAGGCAGGCTGTGCCCTGTGTCCCGAGGCCCCCAGCCCCTCAGGAGGGGTGGGAAGATGTGAGCTGGGGACCCCATCTTCTTCTTTGCCCAGAGACACAGGAAGCAGCTTGCAGCTCCCAGCCCCAGGGGAGGAGGCAGGAGGAGCGGGGCCTGCCCTTGCCTGCTGAACTGCCCTTGACCCACAGTGCCCACCGTCCATCCCGCTGGCCGTCCATCAGCCAGTGCAAGAGGGAGCAGGCAGGGGAGCCACAGCGTGTCCTGGGGTCCGTGTGCAGAGCCCCGGCCTGCCTCTCTGAGAGCGTTGGTGCTTCCAAGAAGTGGGGCCGTGTCGATGTGTGACACGTGCTCGGGTCCCCTGCTCACCCGCAGGAAATGCTGAAGTACAGCCGGAACTGCGAGGGGGCTGAGGACCTGCAGGAGGCGCTCAGCTCCATCCTGGGCATCCTCAAGGCCGTGAACGACTCCATGCACCTCATCGCCATCACGGGCTATGACGTAAGGGCCGGCGGGGGGGGGACACCTGTCCTGTCTCGTCCCGACGGGGTCTGTGAGCAGTCCTGGGCACCTCCGTCCACTTCCCTGCTTCCCACGCATCACGCGTAGGAACCCAGGAGGACCAGGCCCCGCATCAGGTTGTGTGGCCCACCTGTCCCGCCCCTCTGCCAACGCATGTGCCCACGTTTCAGGGCAACCTGGGAGACCTGGGTAAGCTGCTGATGCAGGGTTCGTTCAGCGTGTGGACGGACCACAAGAAGGGCCACACCAAAGTGAAGGAGCTGGCACGCTTCAAGCCCATGCAACGGCACCTCTTCCTGCACGAGAAGGCCGTGCTCTTCTGCAAGAAGAGGGAGGAGAACGGGGAGGGCTATGAGAAGGCGCCGTCCTACAGCTACAAGCAGTCCCTGAACGTGAGCGGGGGGCTGGCGGGGTGGGGAGGACGCCGGGCAGGCGACCCAGGGCTGCTCCTGCCGACGAGGGCTGGGACTGGGCCACCCTGCTGCCCTTGGCCGAGAGGCGGGGCTTCCTCCACCCTGGCAGCACCCGCGCGGTCCTCCCTTGTCCCATGTCTTCCATGGACGGGAGGAGGTTCCTCTGCGTGTGTGTGCATGGTAACACCTGTCTCCCGCTCCTGCGCTTGCCAGATGACTGCCGTAGGCATCACGGAGAATGTGAAGGGCGATGCCAAGAAGTTTGAGATCTGGTACAACTCGAGGGAGGAGGTGTACATCATCCAGGTAGGGCCATCACCCACCAGGTGTCGGGAGCCCTTGGGCCCTGCAGGGTGGCCAGGGAGGGTCTGTCACAGGACCTGGGGTCTGCACCTCGCCCTGGGCATTGACCTGAGGCTCTGTAGGAGCTGTGCAGACCGTGGTCCCTGTGCTCATATGGGAGGGGCTCACCCCGACCTCGTGGCCAGGGAGAGGACAGAGTTCTGGCTTGGGCCCCGGGGCGGTGTCCTTTCCGTGAGCTCCAGCCAAGTGAGGACGGAGCTGTACTCGGGGTGGCTGTCCTGTCGCACAGGAAGACTTGGTCCCGGCCAGGTCCCCCCCTGCCGTCACTTGGGCTGCCAGCCCCAAGGAGCAGACGCGAGAACAGGGCCCTGCTCTGGCCCCAGAGACTCTGCACCTTCAGAGCCCAGTGGCCGCCTGGCAGGAACCTCGCCTGGGCCGCAGGCCTCCCGCTGTCCCAAGTCTGGACTGCAGCCCCTGGCCCGGTGCCTCCGCCTGGCCATTTAGGGTCCAGTTCACCTGTGGGCTTCAGGCTCGCCTTGTCCTTGTCAGCCAAGACAGTGTCAAAGCAAGGCTGCTCCCAGAGACCCCTGCTCTCAAGCGCACGTTAAGTGTGGGGTTTGCTGGGTAGCCAGTATCACCAGCCCTGCCAAGGGACTCCTCTCCCTGCTCTCTTGGGAGCAGACTGTTGGGAGTGGGGCTGCGACTGCTGGGGACCTGCACGCTGACACCGGGCATTTCTTTCGAGCACAGGCGCCAACTCCCGAAATCAAAGCTGCATGGGTGAGTGAGATTCGGAAGGTGCTCACCAGCCAGCTGCAGGCCTGCCGTGGTGAGCGAGGGAGCCCTCTCCAGAGACGGCGGGTGGAGCCTGCGGGGTGAGGGAGCGCGGGTCCTGAGCTCAGTGGCCCCTTTGCTTCCGTGCAGAGGCCAGCCAGCACCGGGCCCTGGAGTACTCCCACAGCCTGCCTCTGCCCACACCGGCCAGCACCAGGTGAGCCTGCACTCTGCCCATGCCGGGCTTCCGCACGCGCGTGGCTCTGCTGCCACGGGGCTGCAGGAGGTGGCTGAGTTCTCCCTGCACCCATGCCCCTTGCATGTCACTGCGGGAACCACAAGTCCCAGGTGCCCCTCCCAGGGTGTCGTGCTGGACCCACTCCTGCCAACACCGGTGTGGGAAGGACCACAGGTGGGTCCGGCAGAGGACACCGGTGGCTCGCAGACGCTGTTGTGCTCCGGGACAGGCGGGCACCAGCCGGCACTGGGCTGGTGCTGGGCTCTGTGGGCTGTGAGAGCCATGGTCAGCGGCCAGCGCCTGCGGGCACGGTCCGAACACCGTGCGCCAGGGCCTCCTGTCTTCTTCCCTCGGTTATTTTATTCCTTCGCTTTTTTTCTTTTGCTTTGATTTCCTATTTCTCAGATAAGTCCTCTCTATTTTTAATTTAGATTTTCATGCTCATCAGCACATGTCTGCAGTACACAGTGTTTGCACTCTTCGCGGGGAGCTGAGGAGGGGGCCTCACAGAACTCCATTCTTTTCATTCCTGTCCCCGCCCCCCATCCCATGGCTCCCTTCCTGTTTGTAAAAGATCTGTCTTCTTGTTTCCTGGTATCTTTTATTCTGTTCTTTATAGTTTGGGCTTCTCATATAAGAGAAGCCACGTGACCTTTAAGCTGTGTGTCGGATTTATTTCACTTACCATGATGGCCTCAAGGCGCATGCATGTTCCCATATGTAATTCACAGCTGTCCTTTATGTTGCCTGAAGTGTTAATACCGCATTTCTTTATGCATTCATCACGCCTGGAGTGGGGTGGGCCTGAACGCTAAGCGGCTCAGCAGTTGCTCGGGGTGAAACCCACCCCAGAGCCGCACCCTCCTCACTGGGCTCCTCTGCCGTGGTGCAGGCTCCTCTGAGGTGGGGAGCACAGGGCTGCTTCTGGGATGGGCCTGGAGCCCCACATGTCCCAGTGAAAAGCCAACCGGCCATGTGCTGTTTGCTTCCTGTTGCACCTGATGTCTCCAGTCCCTCGAGAGGGAACACAAGGAACATGAAAAAGCTGGAGGAGAGGAAGACGGACTCCCTGAACCTGGAAGGCTATGTGAGCGCCTCCTTGTCCAAGCCCCCCGAGAAGGGCAAAGGTGGGTGTCCGCGGCTGTGACCACAGGGTGCCGAGAGCTGCGAGTCCAGTCCCGTCCCAGACGCTGAGCCCCTCACTCGCTGCCTGCACCACTGTCCCTACGCCCGGGCCAGGGCCCGACAGGCTCTGTCTCTCTCCCCCCAGATGACGCAGTCTCTAGCTCTGCCTCTGAGAGCTCTGCGCTGTCCAGAAAGCGCTTCACCCTGCAGGGCTTTGCCAGCCTCAAAGGGCAGAAAGGTAATGCACGGCATGAGACCGTGTCGCCACCCCCCAGAAGGGCGGCCTCGCCAGTCACGGTCCCTCCCCACTCCAGCCCCAAGGCCCCTGCTGACCACTGGCACACGACACTCGATCATTCTTAGGGCTGGTTTGGAAGCGCGGTGGCCACCGTGAGCATAGGGCCTGCTCAGAAACAACACAGCGGTCACTTTTCTGTCGCCTGCTCCCACCTCCGCCTTCCTGCCTGTTTCCCTTCTTTCTGTGAGCACTCACACTGCTTGGCGTTTGCTGGTGAGCGGCTGCCCGAGGAAGCCTTGCGGCTGACATGGGACCAGCGCGTCACCTGGGCTACTCCTGGCAGCCGAGGCCCAGAGCCAGCCCTGGAGTGCGGGTCCTCTGGGCTCCTCCCCACACTCACGGCCAGGGTGACCTGGGCCTTGTCCATGATGGACCCTGGCCCGGAGAACCAGGGGATTTTCTTCTCCCAGTTTTTAAAATACTTTTAATTTGGCCTCAAATAAAAGAAACAAGCTCTGGGTGCCGTCTCTGTGGCCTCGCTAATGCAGAGCCAGGAGCATTCAGAGGCGGCCCCTCACGACCAGCCCCGCTGTCCACCCGCTGCTCCCCGCTCTTGGCCTCTCTGATCCCCTGTGAGCCAAGGCCATCTCATCTGCACCCACCGCATCTCACTGCCTCCCCCCACCGCTCCTCCATCCTCTCCTCTCTTCTGTGACGTTTCTGCCTTTCCTCCTCCTGCAGCTTCTCCTACCAGTCCCGACAAAAAAGCTAAGCGGCACGAAGTAAAGAGCGACCCGACTCCTTTTGGTCTGCGAGGTAGCGTGACTCAGCCTCCGGTGCCAGCCAGGAGGGTCACCCAGTTGGGACACGCATAGGTCCGGGAGCCAGGAGCAGGGCTGGGGCTCTCATCCTGATGCTGGGGACAGAGGCGGGGGACAGGTGCTATTGCTGTCCCCAGTGGCCCTGTGGCTGCAGTGCTGTTCCCAGACCCCACTCAGCACCAGCACCCTTCTGTGTCAGCACCCGGCCCACCCTTCTTGGGGAGCACAAGCCACGGGACCGGGCCGTCCTCTCTGCATAGGGAGCCCTGCTGGTCCACCGGGCCCCCATGTTCTGAGGCCTCATGGGATGGGGAGCCGGGACCAGGGTGGGCTGCATGGTGCAGACCCGTGTGCGCCGTAGAGCTTATGTGGGTCCTGGGCACAAGCTGCCTGCACCCCAGCCCGGCCCCGGAGGCCACCCTCCTGCCGGCTCCCCGACTCTGTGCCTTGGGTCCAATCTCCCGCCACTGCTCTCCTGCCACCCCCAGGCGCAGGAACTGAGGCCAGGGTCACCCCTGTGTTACCAGTTTACACCACCCCGACCAGGTGCTGGGTAGGGCTGTTTCCCACCCACAGCTGTCCACCAGGATCTGCCTGTCCCTAGGCTCTTTCTCCGTAGGCCCGAGCCCCGAGCCGTCCCCATGCCGGGCCGTGTGGGACCGTGGGACGCAGCCTGGCCCGCCAGGGGTGGCCTGGAGACCGGCTGGGGGCCACACACTGCCCCCGCCTTGTCCCAGTGGGCAGTTTCCTCTTGGCAGGCCCCTGCCGCCCCCTGTGAGTGGAGAGGACACCTCAAAGGGCCACAGGGACAGTGGCAGGTGACGTGTCTCCTCCCCATCCTGTGGCAGTTTGTGGGTGGGTAGGAGCCCATGTCCCAGCTGCCTCCTGAGAGCCCACCAGCCCCTGGTTGTTCTGCTGCAGGCACCATGTCAGGGACCATTTCACAGGAAACGGGGGTGGCCAGATTCGCAGGTGGCCTTGAGCCAGTGGACTCTCAGGCATCCCAAGCAGAGTGCAGATCCCTGCCCTGCCAAGCGGCCTGAGTGTGCTCGGCCTCAGCGTACGGCCCCACTGTCTGCTGCTCAGGTCCAGAGCAGGCGCTGTGCGGGCTCCAGAGCCGCCTGGCCGAGCCCCTTCACAGGCACACGCTGAGGCTGGGGCAGGCCCACACCTGTCTTCCTCCCCTTGTCCTGTGCTCCTGAAACCCACTGTTCTGTGTGGCCCCTGCGGCTGTGTAGCAGCAGGGAGGCTGGTGGGGCCTGAGCGGGCTCTGTCCTGGCCCCCACTCTGTCAGGAGCTAGGAGCACAGACAGTCCTTGCAGCTGCAACCCAGGGTGATTGGGCAGGCAGGGCCCAGCATGCAGCTCTCCCCAGCTCCACAGGGCACCGGAGAGGCAGAGCCCAAAGGGCCTCAGCCGTGCCAGGCCCGGTGCGGGGCAGCACCCTGGCCTAGGGGCCAAGGGACACTCCATGCTCCTTCACAGAGGTCTCTCAGCCGAAGGGTGGCACCCTCTGCAGCCGCCTCTTCTGGGCGCAGTGCCTCTCTCTCCTCACTGCCACAAGGCTGGACTGTGGAGCTGGGGTGCCCGGGCCCCTGCTCCCTGCGAGGTCTTGTTGGCATGTCGTTCAGAGCTAGGGGCTGACCGTCCTTGAGACCCCAGAAGGGCAGCCCTCATGGCCACAGCATCTCCATCATCTCCCCAGGACAGGGGCCCTGGCGGTTTCCTGCCCTTTGCTGCTGCCCTTGGGGACATGTGACAGGCACAGATATAGGTCCCCTGGGCCAACCCAGTAGTTGGCGCCTTGGCTTCCCCCGTGGTTGTAGGTCCACCGGGCTTGTAGGCCAGGACTCACGTGGCCGGTTTTGCTAGGTAGGTGCCGATGTCACAGCGCTGTTGTATAGCTCCTTCCCTTTGCTGTGTGTGCTGCCGGGCACAGACCAAATGGGAGCATCACAGGGCAGCAGCCTGACCTGACGAGGGCCCGGCTCTCCGGGCAGGTGTGGGGCCCTGCTGTCGCCCACGGTTTGGCCGAGGTGGAAGCAGAGGCTCTGAGCCCCTGTCTCCCTGCGAATGGGCTAGTCGGAGCAGAACTATGCACCGAGCATCTTAGAAGAGCGCAGAGGACACTGGGACGGGGGAGCCTGCATGGGTGGCCTGAGGACCAGGGCTGTCGTCTGCAGCTTAGGCTCAGTCTAGGGCCTGGGGGACTCGCAGGCCTCCCCACTCCTCCCTGTCACTGTGTGGCCCTCACTGGCGCCGTCCTTCTGCCAGGCTGGAGCAAAGCATCCCACTCCCTGGAGGCCCCTGAGGACGATGGCGGCTGGTCCAGCACAGAGGAGCCCATCAACTCATCCGACGCCGAGGAAGACGGTGGAGTGGGCCCCAAGAAGCTGGTAACTGCTTGCCGTGGGCGGCTAGGAGCGCTGCTGACCCAGGAGCGGGGCTGCTCTGGAAGGTCCCCATGGCCTGGGTCTTGGTGCAGCTGCAGCTGCAGCCCCTGGCACAGATGAGCAGTGCTCCTTGGGTGGGTGTCCGTGTTGGAGCCCAGGCAGGGGCCGCCAGGGCCAGCCCACACCCCCACCACCCTCCACCCACAGGAAGTGCTCACCCAGTTTTGCTAACATCGACTGCACATCTCCACTGCTTCTTAGGGACTGAAAGGCCTTAATTATGGCTCTGTGTAACCCACGGTGCACTTTGCATGATAGAAAAGGTCTCCTTTTACCAGTGGAGCAGTTGAAAGCCTTTTGCATATGGGACCCATAGAGTTAGGGTTACACTAGTTCCTGCGCACTGTGGGGCCGTCTGTGAGCACTGGGCTCCCATGGCCAGCAGAACATGACCAGAGCTCAAGAGGGCAGGCAAGGTGGCCCAGACACAGCCTGGGACAGCTTGGCAAGAGGGAAATGCAGGCCAGTGGACAGGGGAAGCAGGACGGAGGAGGATCCTGCTGCACTGGGATAGCAGGAGCAGGCAGGGCCTGGTAGGGAGCCAGTGCGGATCGTCGACCTGGAGCTGTCTGCTCACAGGAGGCTGGGATGTCCATGTGATCAGTGTCCACTCCCAGATTCCACATCCACAGCAGCAGCACTCTGCCCCCAGGCCAGACCCTGCTCCTGTATTGCACTGGCAATAAAGTAGGACAGAACAGACAGAGCCGCCTGTCACAGGGAGGCACAAAGAAGTGGTGCATCATATAGTATGCTAGGTCAGTGTGGCCAGCCACCAGCCACCAGACATAGCCAGGGAGAGAGAGCCATGGAAGGGCCACAGCACCATCTCAGATGTGTGGCCAGGGAGGGCCTCAGAAAGCACAGCCACTAAACCAGACCTGCAGTTCTTGGGAGGAGGGACATGTGCAAAGGTCCTGAGCCATGGGTGAGTTTGGAGACCAGAGAGAGCTTGGTGCTGCTGGACAGTAAGGACGTGGTGGTGCTGAAGTTTGTTGCCATCTGGCTTATTTTGAGAACAGTCATGGCATCCTGAGATGGAGGCCTTTCCAGTGTAAGCCAGCAGTCTCGCCACCGCTCCACACATGGCCAGGCCCAGGTGCTGTTACGGCCCTCACTGGACAGTCTGAATCCTAACGTGTATAGACATTCACACAGCCTACTGGCCAGTGCTGTGTGTGGGTGGAACTGGCATGGAGGGATTGCCTGGGTGCTGAGGGGCAGCCGTGTTGACACCTGGGCCCTGCCTTTGTCTTCTGCCCATCTCCCTACCTAGGTCCCTGGTAAATACACGGTCGTGGTGGACAATGAGATGGGGGAGCCCAACACCCTCACTGTGAGGAGCGGGGACGTGGTGGAGGTGGTAGAGGAGGGCGCTGAGGGGCTCTGGTAAGACACCACACAGGCCCCAACACACGCATGTGCTCATGCCTCGGACATGCCCACATACACATGCCTCAGACACACCAACGTATATCTCAGACACATGTAAGGTATACCTCAGACACACCTCACATACAGGTCAGACACACCTCACAGACGCCTCGGACGCCCCTCACGGACGCCCCTCACAGACACCTGGGACTCCCCTCACAGACGCCTGGGACGCCCCTCACAGACGCCTCGGACGCCCCTCACAGACACCTGAGACACACACATCAGAAATGCCCACATACATCTCAGACTCACCCACAAGTTCACACCTTAAGCACGTGTCACACTTACCCTGCAAGCCTCAGGCACAACCAGTCTCTCCCGTGCACTCATACCTGATGCACCTGTGCATTCTGCTCAGTTCAGCCACTGACTCGTCCTCGCAGGTATGTGCGGGACCTGAGCAGCAGCAAGGAGGGCTGGGTGCCAGCCAGCAGCCTGTGCGTGCTCCTGGGCAAGTCCAGCTCGGCCCAGGGTCTGAGCAGCTCAGGTAAGACCTTCAGTGCGTGCTGATCCTGCCTGTGCCCTCGGCCCACTGAAGACAAGTGGTGGGAGCGAAGAGCCAGGCCGCAGCTGTGTCTCTGCCTGCTTCCGCAGAGTCGAGCCCAGGATCAGCTGTGCTGAGCAACTCCTCGAGCTGCAGTGAGGGCTGCCCCACGCCCTTCGACCTCCAGGCGTAGTGGCCGGGCCTGGCAGGACACCAGGGCCCGCGGGCCAGCATGCGATTTCTAGGTTTTCTTTTGCTTGGGCTTGCTTAGTTTGGGGAGAGGCGGTGCTACAGGATCCAGCAAAGGAGGCCCCATCTGCCGGTGGCCACAGCAGGATGCACGGCCCTCAGCACCGGATCCAGCCAGCCAGGGTGTCTGCAGAGAATCCTCGTGCACAGTTGGGCCTCGCCGAGCATCCACCCTGCACCCAGCCTGTCCGGGCTGAGCTTCCTGTGAGCTTCGTCCCACAGGAGCCGTCACTACCAACAGCCTGTGGAGGTGGCCTGGGACTCTCATCTTTTATAAATTTTTGATTTCTTTTAAGCAGGGATTAATCCCATGGCCATTTTTGGTGGTACTTTGGCCTCAGATCTTTACCAAGAATCACTGTGTTTACATGAAATGACAATTTGATACTGTATTTGATATAAAGCTATTTTTTGTTACTGGGGCTTACATCGAAGCACGTTGTTTATACCACTAAATGGTTTGGAGGACTCTCTCTGCACTCCCTGAGGTGCTCCTGCTGCAGGTGACGGGACACGCGCCTGGTAGAGTCGGTGGCAGCTCTGTACCCAAAGGCAGCGAGAGACGAAGGAGGTCCTTCCACCTGCATATGTTTCATTTTCACAGGAAAATTTCAGCTGTAATTCAAAATATTGACCTTCTTTTCTATAAAAAAGGGGGAATTATCAATTTTTTTAAAGAGCTTCACTGAATCTGGATATTTTTATTGTTTTTAAAGAAAAATGTAAAGACGTGATTTTTGCAGGGTCTCTGTGCCCGGACAGTCAGCTGCACTTGGGACTCCAGCACTCACTGCATCCCTAGCTGTCCCTCCCCCCCCCCCCCCCCCGCAGGCAGGACCCTGCACCCCGCCCCAGCGCCACCTGCTGCCTCCTTGCAGGAAGTCACTCCCAGGTGCTGGGTCAGAGTCCAGGGCAGATCTAGACGTGTGGAGGGTCCGCTTTATCCGTCATGGCAGAACTAGGATGAAAGCTCTTCTGTTCTCCTTTTCTTTGTGTCTCAGAAACCAATTCTCTTCTTTTGAATCACTTCCCGTGGCCAGCAGGGCAGATATTTTTGTATGTGTGTATATATGTTCACGTGTGTACATATGATTTGATTTAAAGGATGTATTTATGTCTCAAGCTGCTGAACAGTGTCACTTTACAGTCCCCTCCCTGTCCCCTCTCCCTGCTGGCGCTGCCACACCGTGGTCGAGGCCACGCACCTTCCCCTCCCTTGGGTGCAGGGCCATCGCTGGCCAGACCTCCAGAGAACGGTAACCAAACAGAAGACATGGGCACTCGGGGCTTTCCTTCCAGTCACACAGGCCTGCAGAGCACCGTGGGATGCAGCTGGGCCCATCCGTGGCCCCGCAGAGCTCCTCCCGTCTCAACACGCGCCTGCCCCTCCTATGGTCTCCTCCTCATAATGGCACTTTAAAATGTCACCTTTCATTCACTGTTACCTTTTTTTTTTTACTGCTGATGTAAATGAAATTTAAAAATCAAGGTCTTTACTGTATGGATGAAGTTTGAATAAATGTCAGCACCTCCTGCCATCTGCCTCTCTGACGGGAGCCGGGCTCCCATTAACAACCCAGTTCCCCTCCTGCAACTACGTCGCTAAATGAATTGGTCACTAAATGAGGAGTTGTATAGCGTATGTACATTGCAATGTTCAGAACAAAGAAATGCTCAAAGGAAACTCCCATGTGCTGACTTTGGTTCTGTTTGCAGAACTCTAACATGCAGTGCTGTAATGTAAAACAGAACATAAAGCTACAGTACTGTACAGTACAGAACAGTCAGCAGAAATGACAATAGTATATAAACAAGGTGTACGAAAAAGTCATTGAGGCTCTGTAAACAAGATGTACAGAACTGTACAAAAAAAGACAATCATAAGTCCAAGCAGCAGTTGTAAGTCTGAAGAATGCACCTTGGTCGTAAGTTCAGCCATTAAACAGGTCATTAAATGAGGAATATATGTACAAGCTAAAATAGGACAGAGACGGGGTGAGGGGCCTGGGGGAGTCCCAGCCACCAAGCATCTTACATGCTTTGATTTTATCAGATCGTGATGATGATAAAATAGTAACCAGGTTACACATGTCAGAAATACAAAGACAGCCAGAAAAGTGTAGGAGAGCCATTGCAGAATAATAAGGCACTTGACAACTTCTGACCAGAAAGGTGGAGAATGAAGGACGGCTTGCTTTTTGTTTTTGATTTTGATTTTTTGAGACTGAGTCTTGCTATGTAGTTCAGACTGACCTTGAGCTCACTATGTAGACGAGGCTGGCCTCAAACTCACAGTGATTCTCCTGCCTCGGGCTCCTGAGTATTGGGATTACAGACATGTGTCACCAGCCCCAGCTTGAAGGAAGGTTTTTGATCTGGGAGAAAATAGAAAGGATGGAGGGAAGAGAAAACCACAAATTTAATGAAGTGGTTTGGTAAGTTGACCTCCTAGGCCAGAAGAGACCACAAACACCTGCCAAAGGAGACCCTGAAACAAAACTAAGCAAAGTATGAAAAAAAAGGGAAGCAAAAAGATGAGACAAACACCAACCAAAGAAAGCTGCCCCAGCAATACTGCTAACACATAAAATGGAACTCAGGGCAGTGAGAGGGTAAGAACTGCATGGCAATGACAAACTTGTACACAACCAATAATAAGGCTCCGAATATAGAAAGCAAGCTTCAGAAGTTAGGGTAAGATGTTTTCATCTCCCTTGGAAACCAGTACCTGTTTGTTCTTACAAATAAAAAACAATGTACCATTTTCCAGCACACTTGGAACATACACAAAATGTTTACAAAATGATGGAAAATGTGTTCAGGAATCTAAAAGCATGTTTCTGAGCCCTGGGTTAGAGTGGCAGGGTTAATACTGTGAGCACATGAGGTCTGCAGCTACCACATGGCTGAGACCCACGTTTGCAGCTGACTTCATCTGATTTTTACATGATCACATTAATGAGTTATTCCTTTAAGGAAGCTAAAAAGAAAGATCAAGGAAACTCAAAGAAAGTATAAAGAAGGAATAGCTACAATTCAAAGTAAAAACCAAATCAATCAAAAACAAAACATTCCTTGAAAAATCTGGTAAAATTGGCCAACTTATAGAAAACTGAGAAACTTCACAACATATAAAGGTTTTAAATGAGAAATCCTTGGGAAATAAATAAAATAGGAAATAAATTTTGGGGGGGACAGAGTCTCACTATGTAGTTCAGGCTGGCCTCAAACTCACAGTGATCCTCCTGCCTCAGCCTTCTGAGTGCTGGGATCACAGGTGTGCACCACTACACCTGACAGAAATAACTATTTAAACAGCCAAATTGCCAAAATTGATCTTGAAGAAAGAAAATACTTGGGTCAATAAATGAATAACAAATTAAATCACAGTAACAAAAATTATCCCAAACATGCCAGGTGACTTTTTAGAAATGTAAAGATATTAACACCAATTAAGTCAAAGTATATACAAGGGGAAAGCAACTCAACAAACTAATGAAAAGAGTGTTTCAGTCACTTTCTTGTCACTGAGACACAGCACCGACACCCACGACCTAAAGGAGATGTTCATTTGGGCTCACAGATTCAGTCAATGATCAGCTGGCTCCCAAGCAGAAACAGCATGGCAGAGGGGCCTAGCATAGGAAAGCTGCTTCCATCAAGATGGTTAGAGGAGGGAGGAGCCAGGGAGGTAGAGACACCTTTCTGGGTCACACCCCCAGTGACCACCTCTTCCAATAGACCCCACCTCCACCTGATTCAGTCACCTTCCAAAACCCCCACCATGAGTACATGAGGCCTTTGGGGGACATCTAGATCCAAATCAACATTTGATCCATGGCCCTCAAAAGACTTATGCACATCTCTTTATGCAAAATACAATTAGTCCATCTCTAAGAGTCATCAAAATCTTAGCAGTTTTAGGAGTGCTGAAAAACCCAAGTCCAAAGTCTCCTATGAGACTCAAGGCAAACTCCTAGCTGTGAGTCCATGTAAAAATAAAGAAGGGTGCTAAATATTGCTGACATACAATGGAACAAGGTAAATATTCTCATTCCAGAGAGGAGGAAGAGGGGGATGGAAACCAATGGGACAAAAGCAAAACCAAAACCCAGCAGAGCAAACATTAGATCATGTAGCTACATGTCCAGCACCTTGGGCAAACATGAGCTCCAAAGGCCTTGAATGGCCTCATTCCAATTACACTGCAGGTTGTAGCACTCATGGCTTCTCTCATCAGGTGGTTTTGCTCACTGTCTATGGCCTTCCTCAGCCAACATCCCAGATTCCTGGCCTCTCCAACTTCCTGGGGTCTCCACTGCACTTCCAGCTTCACACTCAAAGCTTCATGCACTGCTCTCTCAGGCACTGCCTGGCCTCCAGGCCTGCTCCTGAAATCTAGGTGGAAGCCTCTCACAATTCTTGCATTCTGCATGCCTATGAAACCAGCACCACATGAATGACACTAAGGTCTGTGAACAGCTCAAACAGTAGTGAGCCCCCTTGTGTCACCACTGCAGCACCCTCTGAGTGCTTGGATGGCTGAGTACTATGAATCAAATCTGGGATAACTAATTCTCTAGATAGTCCATTTTGAGTAGAGTGCTCTGGGCATGCCTTCTCAAAGCAGTCTTTCACTTTTGTACCCTTGGGGCCTGGTAAGGTTGAGGTTTTTCTGGTTCCTCATAAGTGCTCAAAGGATCTTTCCTATTGTCTTGATCCAAAGTACTTGGCTTCCTTTTAATGCTAATTGTTTCAGCAGCCAAGCTATCCTGGGCCAAGACTTCATAAGCCCCAATATTACAGGTACTTCTTTTCTGGCCACCAGCAAAATTTTTCAAATTACTTTGCTCCGCTATTTGGTCCTGCTTTTCACGGTAGATATAGCTAAAAGCTACAGCAGTACCTATGCCACAGACCCAACACTGAACTATCTTGAAATTTGTTCAACCACATTAATTAGTCTACCATCCTTATTCCCGATCTCTTGCAAAGTCTCAGGACATCAGCAAAATATAGACAAATTTTCTGCCAGAGCAAAATACACATGGCCTGGAGAATAACTGGCAATGTACACCTGTTCCCAACTGAGACTTCCTGATCTTGGTCTTTACCATCTGCATTTCTATCCACATTCTGGTCTTCCAAGCTCCAAAAAGAATCTGTCAGCCTCAGCTTACAGTATTCTAGGGCTTCTCTAGTTCACATCTCCAAATCTTTCCAGTAGAACATTTTTTATTGTACCGGGAATCAAACTCAGGACCTTGTGCTTGCCAGGCAGGCACGCTACCACTGAGCTAAATCCCCAGCATTCCAAACTCCTGCAACAAACCAGCTCCAAAGATTTCTGAACCACATGGTCAGGTAGCATCACGGCAACAACCTCACTTCTCTGGCACCAAAATCTGTCTTAGTCACTCGCTCATTGCTAAGACAATACCAACACCCATAGCTCAAAGGAAAAGAGGCTTATTTTGGCCCACAGTTTCCGTCCATGGTTGGGTGACTCCCAGGCAGAAACAGCATGGCAGAGGGGCATAGCATCGCAAAGCTACTTACATCATGGCAGCCAGGATGCAGACAGAGAAGCAGGGAGGAGCTGGGGCGGAAGATACACCCTCTAAACATGCCTCCACTGACCTACCACTTCCAGCCAGGCCCCACCTCCAGATGGCAGTCAGCTACAAGCCACTGTGATTCAGCCACCTTCCAAAAGCCCACCTAGGAGCTCATGAGGCTCTGGGGGATATCTAGCTTTAAACCATAACATCAACTTTAACCTTGGTACCCAAAGCTGACAAAAATCATGCAAGAAAAAAATAATAAATTTATGAAGAAAAATGCAAAAAATTCCAAAAACCCAACTGAATGTTTTAAGTAAAAGTAATATGGGCTAGAGATGCAGCTCATTGGTAGAGCCCTTGTCCAGTATGTGTGAGGCCCTGGGTTCAATCCCCAGCACCACCAAGAAAAGGTAACATATTTTAATCCATTTCGTTCCAGTATTGGGCAAGCAGTGCAGTATCAGAAACATGCTGCTATAATTTATTAACAAGCCAACAGGAGCAAATCACCAGTCTCACAGATACAGAAAAATATAACTCAATTTTCATTGATCCTTCATTGACGATGTTTAGCCAGGAGTAGCATGCTTTCCTAACCTAATAAAATGTGCCTAACAAAATCCTCACACCAAAAACAGTAAACATTGAGGCGCTTCAGGATTCTCCTCAAGGATGCACAATACAGAGATGTCCTCTACCACTCAGAAGTACTTACTGGGATTACTAGAGACTGCCCCAAGGAGAGAAAGGAAACATGTGGGCTGAGAAGTATCTTCTCAGATAGACAATCCAGAAAGGTTTGTAGGGCACTGGAACTGACGGATGCTCAAGATCAACCCAAACAAGTCATTAACACTCCTAGCTATAGTTTGAAACATTGATATATTAACAGCCGTAAAGTGATAAATACCGAAATAAATATAACAATGTTTTGTGGACAAAATTATGAAATATTATAGATCATAAAAGAAGGCCTAAGTAGATGGAGAAAGATACATGGCTGGAACAATTCGACATCAGCAAAAGCTCATTTCTCCCCAAAATTCACCTGTAAATTAGATGGGATTCAGTTTAAATCCCAGCAATTTTTATGGAGTTGGGAAATGGGCCACACAGGTCAAGTACACGGTGGTGATTCCAGGGAGGGGAGGGCTGTCTGACCAGCTGTGTGGGCGGAGACCCTGGTGGGTGTCCGGGCCTGACACAAGGACACGGGCTGGTGCCTGGTGTCTCAGCTGGGACAGATCGGCTCCTGGCTCCCAGGAAGCCAGGCCTCCCAGCACCACAGGGCTCAGCAGCCAGGGTCTCCCTGAGCCTCCACCTGACCCTGCCCATGCCCAACACTCCTCTCTGGCGGCTGCAGGGTCCCTTTGCCATCTGCCTTCCCACCCTCATCTCTGTCCCCTCAGATTCCAACCTGTGTGTGCCAGGCCCATACTAAGCGTGTCTCCAGACCCTTTTCTGCTAAGGGACCATCACTCTGCCTGCATATCTTTCCTCCTTCCTCCTTGTCATGCATAGTGCTGGACACCAGGGGTTGGCCACCGAGTGGTCAGGCGCAACTTCCAGCCAGTGTCCAGTGCCTCTGCCCGCCCCGCCCCGCCCCTCCTGCCCTTTGCCTGCCGGCTCCCGTCTGGTCGTCTTCGGCCAGGACAGCGGACTCCCCATGGCTTCCCCACCCTGCACGCTCGCCCTGCTGTGCTTTCTGCTCCTGCTTCAGGGGACCCTGGCTGCAGGTAAGTTCTTTCGGGGGCCTTCCCTATGCCACTGTCCGCAGCAAGCTCCAGACCTGGGCCTGGGCCCCAGCCATGCTCTTGTTCCAACATTTTCGTCGCTGAGAGCATTTGCTGACCGCTTGCTTTGATGTTTGTTCTTTCCAAAACAAACAGTGTTCAGGAGTTTGCAGTGCCCACGCATAGACATACACACCCACACATGCATGGACACATAGGCTCACATGGACCCAGAAACGTGTACAGCTACATGTGCACACACAGAGACACATGCACACAGAAACATACCAATATGCACACATGGAACAGAACAAGTGCAGACACTGCCAGACACATGTGCACAAACACATGTGCACGTGCAATATGTACACAGATGCCCACATGCAGACATGAGCACAAATGCACACAGACACATGCAGACACAGGAAAAGTACACATGTTGGGCTTTGCAGAACAGAGGTGCTATCTGGGCTGCCTACGGTACCTGTGATGGAGAATCTGGAGGAGCTCAGAGCAGAGCTCCCGGAGCCTGCGTCCGACACATTGGCTCAGCCTTGGGACACAGCTGAGGCTCGGTGGCCTCAGAGAGAAGACTTAGGAGCTCGTGCTGAAAGCCCGGGAGCCTTGCCGACCTCCCTGGAACTGAGCAGCCCGGGTGGGTGGCTGCCCCTGCCTGAGTCTCTTCCCAACTCCTCCATCTTTGAGGTGCTTTGTTGCCAGGTTTGTCCGGCCCAAGAGCCCCATGATCTGCTCCTGCAGTGTGGCATGTGACACAGGGGTCGCTGCTGTCCTCTGCCCTTCCCACTCCCAAAGCCCAGAACCTCAATTCTTATCCCCAAACTCTCCTTCTGGGCCAGGTGGATTTCCTAGGAAGGTACACAGGTGAAGATTCTAATTAGGAAAAAGCATGTGGCCTTCCTTCACCCACGAGGTCCCGCAGCTGCATCCCTTCCCTCCCCTTGTGCCTGGCAGTCGCCTCCATCCTGTGTTCCCGGCCACACCCCCTGCACTCACCAACAGTTCCTGGTGAGGGAAGCCACCATCCGGCCCTATCTGAGGCCGCCTCTCCCCTGCAGGGCCCTCGCTAGCATTTCCTCCCTGCACACCCTCCTCTGGCCTCACCAGGTCCGGGTCTCTCCCGGCCACTCCCGCCTCCCTTTGCTCCCAGGTCCCCTTCCCACGGCAGCCACCACATGTCCAGCCCCATGGGCGGCTCCCACAGCATGGCCACCACGGAGGGCTCTCGTGGACCCTTCTGACTGGAGGTCTCTACCTGGCTCCATCTCCATGCTCCCCCGGGGGACTGTGTGTGTCTGCCGGGGCGGTCTGAAGGGTCCTCAGGGTCACGTGTTTGGGTTGCTGGTGTCACGCCACCCTAGGCAGCCAGGAGTGAAGTCACCGCACCAGCCTCACTTCCCTCCTAAGCGGGAAGGGACCACGGTCACCTGCTCCTGATGTCAGCATCATGTGAGAGTCAGGAGGGCGTGTGGAGGGGCTGGGGCAGGGTGGGGCGGGCACCCGGGCTGACCAGTACACCCGCACCACTTGGAGGCAGGAGGGACTGCGTGGTTTCCCAGGACAGGGGACGCGGGAGGGGTGGAGAGGAGGAATTTGGGTTCCATACGAGCTGTGTAGTGCCTATCTATATACGCTCACATGTACCCTTTGTGTGCCCAAGAAAGGGACTGTACAGTGGCTCCTCTTTCATCATCATTTTTTTCACTCAGTATCACATTTTCTTCTGGGGGAGGGGGTCAGACAGGGTCTCGCTATGTAGCTCGGGCTGGCCTTGATCTCACAGCGATCCTCCCGACTCAACCTCCCAAGGGCTGGGGTTACAGGTATGTGCCACTGTGCCTGGCTCACATCTTTTTTTTTTTTTTTGGGTACCAGGGATCAAACTCGGGACCTTGCGCTTGTGAGGCAGGCACTGGAACCACGTATCTTCTTGAGCATTACAGTTAGTGGCAGCCGGGATGCCATCATTTGGTTGTCTTTGACTATTATTACCAGTAGCTCCACAAGTTTTTGTACATGACGGAGAATTTTCTTATGCTATATCCCTAGAAGTGAGGGTAAGCAGGTCAAAAAGCAATGGATGTGCTCAATTTTCATTTCATTGTATGAAATCGCGGCTGTGTACTTGGACCTAAGGCTGTGGCCTGTCACCTGTCACCAGGGTCCATGAGAAGCCCACCCCATTTCAGATTCAGCCTTTGCTAGTCCTCAGCCCACAGGGCAAGGCACTGGTGAAGAACCTGTCCCTCCCATGCACAGCATATGCAGGAACCCTGGTTCCCACCCCTGAGCAGGAGAAGACTGTGTGAGTGGATCATTTCTATCATGGACTGGGATGATCTACTAGGGGGCTTCCACGATAATCTGGTGTGGGAGATTACCATGGGATGGCCTGTGGAGCAGCTCCCATGAAATGACTCAGTGGGGTGGAGTCCACGAGAATCTGGTGTGAGTGGCTCCCCTGAGGAATCCCAGTAGAGGTGGCTTCCCTGACATGACCCGGTGGGGTGGCTTCCCTGAGATGATCCAGTAGAGGTGGCTTCCCTGAGATGATCCAGTAGAGGTGGCTTCCCTGAGATGATCCAGTAGAGGTGGCTTCCCTGAGATGATCCAGTAGAGGTGGCTTCCCTGAAATGATCCAGTAGAGGTGGCTTCCCTGACATGACCCGGTGGGGTGGCTTCCTTTGCTGTATGAGATGGGACCACGGTGGGTGGTTCCATGCCATTCGGTGTGGCAGGCTGCACGTGTTTCTCAGGATCTTCGTTGTCAGTCTTTATAACCCAGGAGGAAGCGCATGGGGTTCTGCACAGACAGCGGCGTGCCAACTCACTCCTGGAGGAGCTGTGGCAGGGCTCCCTGGAGAGGGAGTGCATGGAGGAGCAGTGCTCTTTCGAGGAGGCCCGGGAGATCTTCCGGAGCACTGAGAGGACGGTAAGTGCCGAATGGATGGTGGGGTGACTGTAGGAAAGGGTGAGCTAGGGTGCGGGGTACCTGCCTCTCTGGCCTGCCTCATTTCTGTGCTGTGAGCACTCCATGCTACCAGAGCACCGAGTCATGTTCGATGGTAATGAAGAATAAACCATGGACAAAGGAGCCAGGATGCGAGTGAATTGATTTAAAAGATATGAAGGGAAGGACATAAAGCTCCCACGAGCCAAGAAGGTGTTCTGAATAGGATCGCCACGGGCTCTCTGCCTAAGGTTTCTAAGGGGTTTAGAAGGGAGTCTGGCTATGGTGTAAGCAAAGTGATCTCTACCCTATAGGAGAGTACATACTCTTCAAGTCCAGATATGCAGTGTTCACACAGTGTCTGTGCAGGGCATGCGCCCTTGAGCCAGTGGCCTGCTGGACCAGGCTCTGAGGACATCCCACCCCACCCAAGGACACTCAGCAGATACTTCTGTAAGGTTCCTGGAGGATCATGATTCAGCAGACTCCACTTTGGGCTTCTGGGCTCCATTCTGGGGCTGCTGTCCTCACTGCCTAAAAGAACCCTAACTACTGTCTAATTCCTGTCACATGAGCACAGGGGAACACACGGCAGCCTCCCTGTCAGCACCACTCTTTCCCCTCTGAACAGCTCTGCTTTCCTCTGCAAGGCTCTCCACGCTCCCCGTTTCTGGAGATGCCCTTCAGGTGCACTGTCTCTACTCTCTGCCATACCACTTACACTCATTTTCACATCAGAAAACATAACTCGAAAATCCCACTTAATGAGGAAAGTCCTTCAGTTCCTAAGAATCCAGGGCAGCCCAACTACCAAGATGCTGCTGAGAGAAAAGACGTGCTGAGGAAATGCCCTGTGAGGAATCAGGAATCCATGGCTTCCTCCACCACACTAGGCCCACAGAGAGGGTTGTCTTCATTTCCAGTTTCACTTTTGAGAAGATGCATAGTCAGGCATCCTTGAGCATATCCACTTCTGTTTCACCATTTCCACAGGAAGTACAGTTTGGCGTATGATGTAGAGATAGAGCTTTGGGAGCAGGATGATCCGGAATCTTGTTATGCCAACCTCTGGAAAGAGCCAACTGCAGTTTCTGAGTGAGCAGGAAGGATTCCTATGACCGTAGCTTCTTGTTCGTTCTTCACAAGCTTATTCTCACCAGCTCTGACTCCGATTCATGTCATACCTGGCTCATAGAAGCCTCACACTTGTGGAAGGCCTTACACTCATAGGAGGCTTTCACACCTTCAGGAGGCCTCACACTCACAGGCAGCCCCACTCTTGATGTCTCATACTCACAAGACACCTCACACTCACTGGGAGGAGGGCTGTTTGACTCAGAGGTGAGCATGATGCTCTCCAGGCAAACTGAGGATGCCATAAAGTCCTTTTTATACCACTTAGTGTTGAGAGGATTTCCAACATCCCTGCCTGTTTTATTCTCACATCAGCCTGTGAGTGAACCTTCGGTTGGACGCAATTTTCCTTAGGAATCAATTTCATCAGTGGAGTCTGCAGTTTCCACTTTCATGGCTGTTCCACCCCATCTCCTGTCATAATCATCCACTGAGAGATGGAGGCCCCAGCATGTGGGTCTTGTCCCAAGTCACAGATGGAGGAGGCAGAGTTGGGAGGTGACCTGAGGGAATCTCATGGCCTCTGGTAGCCTCAGATGTCCTGGGGAGGGACTAGAAAAATGTCACTCTCCACGTGAGCCCACCCCCTCTACCGGGCAAATCTGGCTCCAGAGCCCCGGCCGAGCGGTGCAGGCCAGGGCCTGCCTTCCCCAGCCATGAGCTCCTTCTGGGGACACTGTCACTGTGACTTCTGGCGAATGTGTCTCATGTGGCCTCTTCTTCCTCCTCAGAACCAGTTCTGGGTTACTTACACTGGTGAGCAGGCGTGGGCTGTTTGGAGGTCGTCCCCCTGCCCTCTTCCTGGGCACACTGACACCAGCTCACCTGCAGATGGGGACCAATGTGCCTCAAATCCTTGCCAGAATGGCGGCTCCTGCCAGGAAGATTTCCAGGGCTACGTCTGCTTCTGTCTCCCAGACTTCGAGGGCCGGAACTGTCAGATAAGTGAGCCACCTCCTCCCCGTAGCTGCAGACAGAGATGGGGTGGCCACTTCCAGGGCCCCTCTGAGTTCCCCCTTCCTGTCCCCAGACAAGAGTGCCCAGCTGATCTGTGACAATGAGAACGGCGGCTGTGAGCAGTACTGCAGCGACCGCGTGGGGGACACGCGCATCTGCCGGTGCCACGAGGGGTACACGCTGCAGCCGGACAAGGTGTCCTGTATACCCACAGGTACCAGGCTCTGGGGGCTGCTGTCTTCTGGGCCAATGGCCACCACACTCCCTGGCTGCTGCACCTTAGTGTGTCGGTGAAACCAGAGGGCAGGGGTGGCCACTGACGGAGCGCCTGTGACCTAGGCAGGAGGACCCATGGCAGAGGGGCCGCCTGCCACTCACAGGCCAGTGTGTGGGTGCCCAGCACAGGCACTCCGGCAGGGGCCCCACCTCACAGGCAGCCAGGGAGCAGGGCGAGGCTCGTGGACACCACAGTGCCTGCAGTACTTCTGGAAAATGGAGATTTCCTGCATGCCAAGCTCAGATGAATGGCACTGCGATGCCCAAGGCAGGGACCTGCAAGGCATGAGTGTCCTCAAGAAGATTGTGTCCAGCCTGGTCTGAAAGCCAGAAGCTTGGCTGTCCACCTCCATTGCATGGGCAGGCACAGAAGAGAGACTCAGACAGTACAGCTGTTGCTCAGTCATTGCTCGTCAATAGAACATTGCTCACCTGTCCGTAATTCTGCATTGATACATCTTCCTCCTGTGAAAAGCTAGCGGGCCCCGCTCCAGGGCAGGACTCTATCCTCTTTAACCAACCCCTCTGGTCTCCTGGGCCAGCAGCTTCCACTAGGGCCTCCAGGCCGGCCCTGCCCCAGCGCCAGGGCCCCAGAGGGAAGGAGCAGCCCTGTGCCCAGGCAGGGTGGCCTCAGGGTTCCAGGCGGCATCCCTCGTAAACATCCCCTCACCGGTTTCTGTTGTGCAGTTGAATATCCATGTGGGAAAATACCGGTTCTGGAAAAAAGAAAGAACAGCAACATCCAAGGCCGAATAGTGGGGGGCCGGGTGTGCCCCAAAGGGGAATGTCCATGGCAGGTAAGGCCTCACTGGCTAGGCTGCCCCAAACACACTGGGGCCTCCAGCCAGGTCCCCCTGCACCAGGATTCCCGCTCCAGGCTTGGCAGGGAGCTCAGGACCCTGCAGACACGGCCACCTCCTTGCTTGGGGAGGGTGTGCACTGTAATCCCACTCTGCTGCCGCCTCAGCTCAGCCACCAAGGGGCTGCAGGGCTGGATGCTCTCTCCAGGGCACAGCCTCCAGGGCCATGTCTGTGCAGCCCACTGGGGAAGGGTCCAGAGGACCCAGGTTCCAGACGGGAGCCGCATCAGCCAGCTGTGGTGTCAGCCAGGCAGGGACACCGAGTGACTGGTGTCTGTGTCCCCACGCAGGCCACGCTTGTGCTTAATGGGGTGCTGCTGTGCGGGGGCTCCCTGCTGCAGGCCAGCTGGGTGGTGTCGGCAGCCCACTGCTTCGACAAGCTCCGGAGCTTTAGGAACCTGTCAGTTGTGCTGGGTAAGTGCTGCCTGTGTCCTGCACGGGGCAGACTCGGGTGACCGTGTTGGCCAGCCCCAAGATCCCTGAGCAGCGGAGGCGGCACTGGGCCCACCCTGTGCCCACCGCGCTGGGCTCCTTCCTGCTCCAGATGGACTGTGAGGGCAGGGGACCCAGGGCCCCAGGGACCACGCAGGAGACAGCTGCGCCCTCCTGGGATGCACCTAGGGAATCCGGACGGCCTCTCCTGCTGCACCCGCTGCCCAGGGCTCCCACCTGGGAGGGTTACCGCCCTCCACACCCAGTTCCAGAAGCACCCTCCCGGCCACAGCCTCCCCAAGCCTCCACTCCTGCCGGGCCCAGGCTAGGACGTGGGAGCCAGAGCTCCGGGAGGGCCACGGTGTGACCAGCCCCGGCTCCCTCCTAGGCGAGCACGACCTCAGTGAGGTCGACGGGAACGAGCAGGTGCGAAAAGTGGTCCAGGTCATCTTCCCCGACAAGTACGCCCGGGGCCAGACTGACCACGACATAGTGCTCTTGCGGCTCCACCCGCCGGTGAACTTCACGGACCACGTGGTGCCCCTCTGCCTGCCCGAGAGGGCCTTCCTGCAAGGCACGCTGACCAGCATTCGCTTCTCCCGCGTCAGTGGCTGGGGCCAGCTGCTGGACCGCGGTGCCACGGCCCTGGAGCTCATGGCCATCGAGGTGCCGCGGCTGATGACCCAGGACTGCCTGGAGCAGTCGCGCCGGACGCCCCACTCGCCCGTGATCACCACAAACATGTTTTGCGCCGGCTACTTGGACGGCAGCAAGGACGCCTGCAAAGGGGACAGCGGGGGCCCGCACGCCACGCAGTTCCGCGGCACGTGGTACCTGACGGGCGTGGTGAGCTGGGGCGAAGGCTGCGCGGCTGTGGGCCAGCTGGGCATCTACACCAGGGTGTCCCCGTACACCGAGTGGCTGCGCAGGCTCATGGGCTCCCCGCCGGGGCGGGGCACCCTGCGGGTCCCGGTCTTCTAGCCCTGGCCCGGGCCCGTGGCGGGGGGCGGAGACGCGGGCACTGACGGTGGTCGAGAGCGAGAGCCAGAGCCAGAAGGAGAGGCCAACTCGGAGACGGAAGAGGGAAGAGGGCAGAGGGAAGAGGGGCGCCCGGGGCGGGCTCCCTCTAGGCACGCATGCGCACATGCTCGCAGTCGCCGCACACGCCTTCCGGGCTGTCGCTTCACTCCCCTGCGCCCTGCTCAGTTCCCCTCGGTTCCATTAAACGGAAAGGTCGTCATGCTTTGGGAACGTCCTGCTCCGCCTTCCTGAGCATCAGGCAGTCTCTGTGCGGAGTCTCTGCGGGCCCAGGGCTGCCCGTGACCCTCCCGCCAGGGCAGGCACTTCCGGGAACAGCAGCTCGCGATGGTGTGAGGTAGCCTCCCTGCTGGGCCGGTTCTGTGGTACTTCTGTGAGGCTCAGAGAGCGTCTGCTTCTGAATCACCAGGGAAGCACTACGGGGTCTGAGCCAGTTGTGCTGATTCATGATTATAATCCCCGCACCCTGGGAGGCTGAGGCAGGAGGATCCCAAGTCTAAACTCAGCCAGGACAGCTCAGCAAGACCCTGACTCAAAAGATAAAAAAGGCTCGGGGCCAGGGCTTTAGCTCGGTGGCTCTGCCGCCTGCCACGCAAGCGCAAGGACCCTAGTTCGATTCCCGGTACCAAAAATAAAAAATAAAAAGGGCTGAGGATGCAGCTCAGTATAGAGGCCCTGAGTTCAATCCCAATACCCCACACACACACACACACACGCGCCCGGTCCCAGTCCTGCCCAATCAACTGGATCCGGTGGGGAAGGACCTAGCAGTGGGGAAGACTCCTAGTGAGTCTTGCCAGGCCCCTGGTTCACTGAGCCTGCAGCCACCAGACAGCGTGTACAGGGAGGACAGAGAGGCAAGCTGGGCTTGGGCGGTGGGCAGCAGACGGAGCACCCCGCCCTCAGCGCCATCTCCATGGGGTGTCTTGGAGCCGGGGCGCTGATGCTAAGTGGGGTGCCAGCCTGCGGTGGTGATGTCTGCCAACTCTTGGTGCAGTGTAGGCCAGAGGCCTTCGAGCTGCAGCCAGGCCCTCCCCTAGCCACCCATTCCAGAGTCCTGGACGAGGCCGTGGATGGAGGCTGCCAAAGCTGGCGTGCTCTGGGTCCCGCAGGGAAGGTCCCTGGCTGGCATCACTCCCAACAGCCTCCCGGGCCGTGTGCACCTGAGCCCGCCCTCCTGGATTTCTGAGCCCCCTCTGCTCCAGGCCAGGTCACTGTACCTTGGTTTCCTCGCCTCCCCCCCTGTGGTGGGGTAGAGCGAGGGCTGCAGAGCCACCTGGCATCTGCAGTAAAGCCGATTTGCAAACATGGATAGTCCGGAGACCCTGGGCCTCTGCAGCCCTCGCCTCTGGAAGCCTCCCTTCCTGGGAGGAGGAAGGGGAGGAGCAGCTGCAGGCCCTAGCAGGAGCCCACTGGACCTGTGCGGGAGAGACGGTCAGCTCCTGTGAGCAGCACTGGCCAGCTGGTTTCCCCCGTCACAATGGGCAATGAAGGCACCGCCTCACGGGCGCTCATCGTGGATCAGTGTCACCAGGGTATGGGGCCGGGAGCCCAGGGAGGGGCGGAGGCCCCAGAGCCGGCGCCACTGCCCTATCTTGGCCCAGACTGTGTCTCCACAAGCAGCTCCCCCACACCCACACAGACTCTGTCTCTGCACACTGACCAGATGCCAGGCACCACTTGGGGCACTGGCTCTGCCCAGGGTGGCACCGCCCACGTGAGACACAGCCCTGACAGCAGGCCCATGGTGTTGATGGAGCAAGCATGTGCCAGGCACCCCTTGGGTCCTGGGGTCAGGCTGGGGACCACCCTGGGCATGGCCACAGGAAGAGTAACTGGTCCAACTGGACACAGGGTGCATGTGGGGCAGCAGCCAGTGCTGCGGGTGGTGGGGTCAGGGGCCTCTCCAGGAATGGATGCACGTCCAGAGCATCTGTGGATGCAGCTTCTGATGAGGCCCCGGTCAGCTATGAGCCCCCACCACCGCAGTGCTGCGGGGGGAAGTGGGGCGATGACCACAATCCCCACCCAGAACACCATGGAGTGGTCCGGGCCGCACCTTCTGGAGACTCAGGCAGCACTGCGGGATACTCTGGGACCTCTACCCGGACTGCGGGCAACATGCCCAGCTGCGCTGACAGAAGCCATGCCACACGGCTTCCCCAGCTCCCAGGGCCACCCCTTGGCAGAACCCAGGTCTGAGGCTTTCACAGACCAGCATCAGATGGAGTGAGACCTGCGTGTTCTGTGGAGGTAGTCAGATCTGAATACAGGCCCAGGGCTCCCCATACTTCCTGGCTGCCCTGAGTGTCATGTATGCCCAGTCTTCTCTTCCCCACTGACCTGTCCCAAGACACATAAGTGGGGCGGGGCGTCACTATGTCACTCGCTCCTCCCGGACAACTCAGCCTGCTGACACAAGTGAGTGACAGGCAGCCCAAGTCAGCACCTGGCCCACTGTTCCACGTGTGTCTGTCAGCCAGGGCCGCGGTCTGAGACCCGTGCCAGCCCAGGTCCCTCTGAGCTGGCTTCTGTTCACGGAAACAGGGGAAGTGGTGCTTTCCCCACAGCCGTCAGACTGACGAGAGCCAGACACGAGCGTCTGCAAGCCGCCGGCGAGGCCACCATGACACTGTTTCTCTCTCAGACCGCGCCCCCAGGCCCTGCAGGGCAGTGCTAACGAGGATGAGGTCAGCGACTGCCTCAGCCACCTGCTCTGCCACGGTCCCCAGACCCCTGCGCTGACCTCACAGCAGGCCAGGCTCCAATCAGGAGGCCAAGATAAGCAGGACAATGGCCACCGGGGCCCTGGCGAGTGGACCTTGCCCGCGCACCGGCCCTCGGGACAGAGTGCTGCCCTCGCCACCATGGAGGCTCCGCTGCGCCTTGCCCTGCTCCTCACTGCCCTGGCCGGCCTCCTGCTGCCCGGGAGGAGTGGTGAGTGCACGGGCCAGGAGGAGGAACGAGGGTGGGCAGGCAGTGAGTGGCCGAGGCCCTGGCCCAGGTCGCAGGCTGCTGTCGGGTGGCCTGGCTGGGCCCCCCCACCGAGGGGACAGTGAGGGTCAGCGGCTCCCACAGGGAAAGCAGGAGGGCTGGATCCAAGTCACCGGGAGATGAAAACAGGAGCACGAGACGGGCAGAGCGGGGAGGGCAGAGGTGAGGACAGAGGCAGGGATAGAGGGGCTGGGGCGGCCGGGATGGAGCTCAGCAGGGCAGGGGAGGGGCTCAGCTGCCCAGGCCGGGGCTGCCCAGAGGAGTTTAGGAACGCGGAGCAGGCACAGCGCAGGCAGCGCTCGCTGTGCAGTCCAGAAATGGGCTTCGACCCGCTGAGTCTCTACCCATGGGCAGGGCACAGCGGCCAAACTCTGCCTCAGCAGGTGCTGCCTGTCTGACGGCTTCACCGCCCACCAGTGCCACGCAGACAGCTGCACATCTGAGGACCGCAGTGTCCTCACCCACACAGGACACCCAGGGACAGTCAGGGCTGAGTCAGCTGCCAGCATCGCAGGCCCTGTCCCCCCAGGGCCTGTTTTCATGCCTGGTGGCCAAGCTTGCTTCCTCCACTCAAGCAAAGTGTAGCTTCCCGTCCACAGCTGGCCTCGTGACCTACCAAGGGCTAAATGTGACTACGAGGCCATTAACTGTGCCCGAAGTGGGGTCCGGGGCTAGGCCCCAGGCCAGGGTGGCTGTCCAGGGCTCGCCTCCTTCACTCACTCGACAAAGCACCCACTCCGTCCAGGGGCTGGGGTGCAGCTGGTGGTGTGGGCTGAATCGGGGCCACAGTGGGCTGTCTGTGCCACTGCAAGCTCTAGGAGGGGCACCATCACTGGGCCACACCTTGCAGAGACTGCATTCCGGTTGAGGGGATGATACACCTGTCAACAGGTCACATCAGAGGGCATTATGTGCTATGATGAGAAACAGCACAGGACAAGCCGTCAGAGTTCGGGACACCTTAGGGGGGTGGCCGGGAAAGAACCTCTCCGAGAGTCATGCAGCAGGACCAAGTCACGTGGGTATCTAGGGGAAGCATGTCCCAGGTAGGGACAGTGCCAGCTGCGAAGGCCCTGGGGCCCAAAAGCACTGGGCACAGCCCCACCAGCAGGTAGGCCAGGCTGGCAGAGAGATGAGCACAGGGACAGTCGAGGGGAGAGACCCAAGAGACCTGGCCTTGCGGACAGAGACCACAGGTTCTTGTCCAGAGCTGAGGGGAAGCTGCAGCTGGTGAGTGGCTCTCGATGTCCTTGAGCCTTATCCTCTTCCACACAGTGCCTGTCACCCGTGTGTGTCCCCACTGAGTCCAGCAGGGGTGGGTTTGCAGGCATGCTGTACCTCCACCAGGCAGGAATAGCTGAAGTAGGCTTTGTGGTGCGGGCAGGAAGAGGCATGAATTCGGGGGAGGTCAGGAAGGAGCAGGGGGATGGCCTGGAGACTCGCTGGGGATCAGAGGAAGAGAGAACCGAGCCAAGCTGTGAGCCTCACTGCGGCTCCAGGGCAGCAGAGAGGAAACCAAACACATCCAGGAGGCTGTGAGGACCGAGCAGGCCCAGGGGCCAGATTCGAGTGAGTGTGCTGAGTGTGAGCCCTGCCGCAATCAGTGCAGCACACCTCGCAGGAGTCATGAAATTACTGTGGGTCTTTTAAGTAAAAGAGGATAAAATCAAAATAGAAAAGTTTGCAGTTTTGTAGAAAACAAGCGCAATTTCTTGGAACCTATTAATTCTGTGTGTTCTGGGACTCGATATAAATTGCAGATTTGGCTCAGCAGGGGCTGGAGCAGAGGCCGGGGGGCAGGGGGCGGGGCGCAGGGCCCCCTCGGAGAGGTGGGCGCCCCAGACGCGCTCCCTGCCTTCCTGTCCCCAGTGTTCACCGGCCGCGAGCGCGCGCACAGCGTCCTGAGGACCCGCAGGGCCAATGCGATCTTCGAGGAGCTGAAGAAAGGCAACCTGGAGAGGGAGTGTCTGGAGGAGACCTGCTCCTACGAAGAGGCCCGGGAGGTCTTCGAGGACGACCAAAAGACGGTGAGCGGCGGCGGGCGGGAAGGGGTGCCCCACCACGTGCGCGATGCGGCCAGACCACCCGAAGCCCGAACGAGTACTTCGAACATCCCACGCCTGGGTCCGCGCTCCCCGGGGCCATAGGCGCCGCCCGGGAGACTGCACCCGCACCAGGGGCCCGGACGGCGGGGCCGGAGCGCAGTGCACAGGCGCACCTAAGACCCGTCAGTGCTGCGCGCGCCCTCGCAGAAGGGGCGGGGCTTTGCCAGCCGACCCGGAAGTGCAGGGAACCTGGTTCCTCTCTCAAAGTAGATGGAAGCCACAGGCACCTGGATGAGGGGAAAGAGGACGGTGGGGTGGAGCCCAAACTAACAAGACTGAGCTAAAGATAGGCTCCAGGCTAGGGTTGCTGAGACACAGCTAAGTCAGGCAGTGGATGCTGCTGCCTCCAGCCACACCGCTGACATTGGACCACAGTGGAAACTGAGGTCTGCGACCGCTGTGTGAGCTCCTCACCACGCAGCTTCTGTGGACAGACCCGAAGCTCACTCGCTTCATCCATGAATGCAGTCACCTGCAGGCAGGAGCCACCTGACCAAGATTACCTGGAAGGTCCTTGCCTGTGTCACACTGCAAGCTACTGCCAGTTAAAGGAACTGTCACAAGGACTTACCCTTGTCAAATAACTGGATCAGGAAGGCATAACTGGAGTTCACAAGAACCCTGAACTTTAGTCTCACAGACGCTAAAACACCATGGCATGGAAGGTGCATGGACTTGATCCTGAATGATGTTCTGAGGGAAAAAATTATCCATACTGAGATTATCACATGTGTGAGAAGTTCTTGAATGAGTAAAGATTTCTAGACACCAAACTATGGAACATCGTCCCCAGGGTTAGCTGAGGCCAAGCCTTTCACCACCTACCATGATGAGCTGGACATGAGTTTAAATGTGAGAAGTCCCCCAGAGCTCTACCGTAAGATCCTGGTGGTTCATGGGATTAACTGGATTTATAAAACTGGACGCCAATTCTGGGATAAGAGAATTGATTTGACTCCACCGAATTCACCACCTGTGAGTTCTACTTGACCATGCAGACTATTACGATCTCACTGAAATCACAGAAAATACTAAATCAAGGATGATGAAACAGTTCACAGATGGTCGCATGCCCTCTGCAGGCAAACCTTTGGGATCAGCTTCATCTCACATTTGTGCAGAATCAGCATGATGGAAGAGCTCAAGAAAGCCCCAAAGGAAAGCTTCCCCAAACCAGCCTCTCAGAAACTGAAGAAACAAAAATTCTTGGTGATACCTCGTTACAGAATTCCAAAAGGACAAGAGAGACCAAATGGGAATCAGGAGGATTTATTGGTGCACCTTGACCCAGTTGGATGTTGGATTCCTGTCCAAAAGACCAAGCGATTGAACAAAGGAAAGTTCCAGTTTCTATAATTTAGTCAAAGGGGCATGGTCTTTCTAGTGATGCAGTAAGTGAGTTTACCAGAGCAGGGCAGACAGTTTAGTCATTTAGCCTTGTAAGAAGACAATGTCTTGAGGGCTGGGGATTTAGCTCAGTGGTTCGGCTGCCTGCCTTGCAAGCGCAAGGTCTCAAGTTCGACCCCAGTACCAAAAAAAAGAAACAAAAAGAAAAAAAAAAGACAATGTCTTATGAATCATATGGGAACAGAGTGTCATAAACTTTGTGTACAGAACATAGTTGTTTACACAGCATATAGTTCTTCAGGAGTTACAAAGCTTCATTTCCAGGAAGATGACTGTCTACCTTATCAGTACCAGGGCGAGGTCAGTTATGGGAAAGGGGGGCAAGACCTGAGTGGGGAGCTGCTAGACCGCTTTCAGCTAGAAGAACTGCTTTCCTTTAAGTTCTGCTTTAATCTGATATCATGAAGTATACAGTGTCTAAACTGAGAAGCAGGAGCTTTTTGAAAAACAAGCCAAAATGAGGTTATACTCGTAGATGAAAACTTCCATGCTTCCATCCGGTAGCTCAGGGGTCCCCCAGGCCCACAGACTGAGTAATACCAGTGCTGGTCTGTGGAACCAGGTTGTGTGACATGAGCTGAGTGGTGGGGAGCAAATGAAGCTTTATTTGTATTTAAGAGCTGCTCCCAATTGCTACATTACAGCCTAAGCTCCATCTCCTGTCAGATTAGATCCAGTGTGTTAGACTCTCATAAAATCGAAAACCATTCTGTGAACTGTGCATGTGAGGAATCTGGACTGCATGCTCCTTATGAGAACCTAATGTAATAATAACAGAAACACAGTGTACAGTGTAATAATAAAAGAAAGTGGCAGGCCGGGGATTTAACTCAGTGGTTTTACCACCTGCTGCGCAAGCGCAAGGACCAGAGTTCGATCCCCGGTACCAAAAAAAAAAAGAAAAGAAAGAAAGAAAGTGGCAATAAATGTAATGCCCTTGAATCATCCTGAAGCCTCCTCAACCCCAGATGTGGAAAAATTGTCTTCCGTGAATCTGTCGTATGACTCAGACATCTTTGCATTTCTGCAAAAGATTACGGTCTACAAAGGAATTTGTGTGGGTATTGCTATCCAGTTGTGTATCACAGTTCATTCCAGCCACCAGAAGAGAGGAAAGGAATCAAGTTAGAGTGCATCTGGTGTCATAATGTGCACCTTAACAAATTTAAAAGAGTGGAGGCATATAAAATGTGTTCTTTGACCATAATGGAATTAAGCTGAAAATCTCCAAGTACTTGATAATTAACACATTTATAAATAATTCATAGGTCAAATAGGAATTTCCAAATGAAATAAGAAACTATATTAGCTGAGCAAAAATGAATGTACAACAGCCAGGCACGGTGGCACACACCTATAACTCCAGCAGTGAGGCGGAAGATTTCAAATTTGACACAGCCCGGAGAACATAATGAGTTCGTGTCCCCTACAAAACAACACCCAGTCTCAAAACAGACAAACTTGGGGCCGGGGATTTAGCTCGGTGGTTTTGCCGCCTGCTGTGCAGGCGCAAGGACCCGAGTTCGATCCCCGGTACCAAAAAAAGAACAGACAAACTAAAAAGAATATACAACTTACGAGATCTGTGAGTACAGTTTTAAAAAGCAGTACTTGGGGGTAAATTTATAGTATGAAATACTAACACTCAAAAACAAGAAAAGTCTCAAATTGATCGCCTAAGCTCCTACATTAAAAAACTGAAAAAGAAGAGCAAAATAAACTCAGAACAAGAAAAAGAAGGAATTTTAAAAGCAGGAATCAAAGAAATTTAACACAAAAATAATACATGAGATCCATAAAATGGATAACTAACAAAACTGAACATGAAATTTACCTATATGGGGAGTGAAATGAGATGCTACTACAGAACTGGCAGATGTTAAAGTATTACTAAGAAAATACTATGAAGAACCCTACCCACATAAATTTGGATAAAGTTTGGGCATCACAGCCAACCAAAATTGCTTCAAAGAAAATTAAATACTAATTAACAAAATGCACGCAGAACCTATATATCTAAAATCGACAAAGTTCTAGTGAAAGAATTTAAACAAGTCCTAAACAAATGGAGATTCAGTGTTTGTGGATTGGAAGACCCAACAGACAAAGGTACCAGTCTTCCCCAATTTGATTGTGCATTTGATACAATGTGAATCAAAATTTCAGCAGATAGAAATACACTGACTCTAAAACTCACATAGAAAAACAAAGGAATTAGAATGGCTGAAACACTCCTGAGAAGAAACAAAGTTGGAGGAACCATATTACCTGCTTGAGATTTACAAAGCTAATTACAGAGATATTAATAGGTAGCACTGGCAAAGGGATTGAAGCAGAATAGAAGTCCAGAAAAGAGCCCCACACAAATATGGTCAGCTGATTTTTGGCAAAGCTACAAAAACTACTCAATGGAAAAAGAATTGTCTTTGTCAGGAGCCGGGGACTTAGCTCAGTGGTTCCAGTGCCTGCTGCGGAAGCACAAGGTCCTGAATTTGATTCCCAGTACCAAAAAAAAAAGGATTAAAAAAAAGAATTGTCTTTTTCAACACTTGGCATTTGACTGAGTACATTCATGCTGCTGTAACAAAATACCTTACTGGGCCGGGGATTTAGCTCAGTGGTTTTGCTGCCTGTTGCGCAAGCACAAGGACCCAGGTTTGATCCCCGGTACCAAAAAAAAAAAATTAAAAACAAAATATCTTGCACTCAGATTACACTCAGCAAGCGGCACATGGCTTGCAGTTATGGAGGGTGAGAAGTCCAAGACTGAGCCGTGAGCAGGGTCTCTGGCTGGTGAGGGTCCATTCCTGCTTCCAAGACAACTTTGCTGCTGTATTCCCACATGGCAGAGGGAGGAAGGGTAAAAGAGCCGATGCTGTGTGCAGCCCTATAATAAAGGCATTAGTCCATTCACGAGGGCAAAGCCCCCACTACCTAATCACCCCTGAAGGGCCCATCTCTGTTACTACCGCACCGGTGGTTACATTTCAGTGGGGGCAACACACTAAGACCATGGCTGAGTTGAAGCAGTGATACAGTTAGATCCTAAAAAGTGAGCTTGACCTAAAAAATCACAGCTATACAACAACTAACACAAAATGAATCATAGATAAAGGTGAAATATAAAACTAGTGACTTGTAGGAGAAGACAGCAGAAGATGCATGGCATGGAGTCAGGCAAAAAAAAAATTTTTTTTTTTGGCACCGGGGATCGAACTTGGGACCTTGGGCTTGCATAGCGGGTGCCAGAACCACTGAGCTAAATCCTCGGCCCAAAAATTCTTAACTACGACATCAAAAGAATGATTCATAAAATTTTAAAAATGATAAGCCGGACTTTGTCAAAACTAAAATTCTGTGAAAAAATAGTTAAGCAAATGGAAATACAAGCTACAGACTATGTAGTTCTCATATCCAACAAGGGATTTGTATTCAGAATATCTAAAGAATTCTTATAACTCAAAAGAAGATAGACCCTTAATTAAATTCAATCAACAAAAGACTTGAACAGCCAACTTGCCCAAGAGGAAATGCAGATGGCAAGTAAGGCTATGAGCACCATTAGCCATTACAGAAATGTGAATTAAAACCACAGGGAATTTGGCCGTGGTGGTGCATGTCCATCATCCCGGGACTTGGGAGGCTGAGGCAGGAGGATCGCTATGATTTCAAGGTCAGCCTAGGCTCCAAAGTGAGGTCACCATGAATTACACAGTGAGACCCTGTCTCAAAAACAAACAAAACCAACCCACAGCGAGAGCCACTAGATACCTGTAGAGTGAAAGAAAGTACAAACCAGTGCTGCTTAGGACGTGGAGCAACCAGAACTTTCATCAATTGCCATAGGACACTCCAAACAAGTCATCGAGCACAAGTGATTAGCGACGGGGCAGGTAGGAGGGTTTACAGGCAACCAAGAGTGGGGCTTGAGGCGCGCAGGGCTGCTCTGCATCCTGTTTGTGGCCCAGGTCACACAGGTGTCGCATGTGGGGGAGTCAGCATCAAACACCAAAATTTGATTTCACCATGTGATGATTCTCAAACTAAATTTTAAAAAGACACTGCGTTTATTTCCAGGGCTGCCATAGCAAAGCACCACAAACCATGTCATTTAGGGTAACGGGGATTTGTTCTGTCACGGGCTTGGAGACAGCTCAAGCATAGGCAGGCTCGGCTCCCTCTGAGAGCCCAAAGCGTCCCTTCCATGCTCCGGACACCCACTCAGCTCTCTGTGCAGCCGCCGCCTCTCAGGAAGCGTGCATCCTCAGGGCTCAGAGTGATCCAGTGTGAGCTCAAGGGGACCCTTACCTCAGTCACATCTGCGAGACCCTGCTCCTCATTAAGGCCACGTTCTGGGATTATTTGCCCTGAACCAGGGGAGGTGGGGCACTGGGGAAGCAGCTACAGACAGCTACAAAATGAAGCGAAGACTCCGGGCATTCTGTTAGTGTCACATCCATTCATAGTAAGCTATTTCAAGCAAAATAGTGATTGACATTTTCCCAGCTAACGTAAGGATTACTGACGAGCACGTGACCTTCTCTGAGCCCTTCACCTGGGCGTGTTAATGCAAACCACTCACAGAAAGGGACAGCAAGCGGTAGCTGGTTTTGGTGCAGTCTGTCCCTTCAGGATTGACTTGAAATCCATTTTCAGGATGCAGCATTTGAGAAGATGAAGCCCCACCCTGTCACACACAAGATCCAGACAGCTCTCCCTTTCCAGCAGAGCAGTCTTGGAAAAGTTCTTTCCTCTGGTCGAGTTGCTGGGTAATAAATGCTGCTGGTGTGTGCTTTCTCTAATGTACTTCAAATATTTTTTTCTTTTAGAAAGAATTCTGGAACAAATACAAAGGTGAGATGTTTTCTGTTTTAAGTGTGAGGGGTTCATCAGGATATTTAAACTGGGAACGACTACATTTTTAAAATACTTCCTGAATTTCCTTCCCACTCCTATTTAAATCTAAGTGCCCTTAAGGCTTTCTCCCCTCTGCATATTTCCATATCAGTTATTTAAAATAGTTTTTGTAGTAGTGTTATACCAATTCTAGTTTGGTCCTTAATCAGGTATATATTTTCCTTTATTGAGGTTGGGTCTTACTGTGTCACTCAGGCTGGCCTCAAACTGCTGGGGCCCACGCAGTCCTCCTGCCTCAGCTTCCTGTGCCAGCACGTCCAGCCCAAATATAGGCTTAACTCAGTTCACTCTCATCTGAGGATACCAGATTCTGTGATAATCTTTTTAAAATGTAACTGTAGGGCCAGGGATTTAGCTCAGTGGTTTCGCCGCCTGCTGCGCAAGCGCAAGGACCTGAGTTCGATCCCCAGTACCAAAAAAAAAAAGTAACTGTATCAAGTAGAAGCAAAAGAATGGAGACTGAAAGATTGGATTACCTAACAAGGTAGCTACCCTGATTTAACGCTGATGGTGTCTGAGATGGTGTGAGATGGTATTAATGTGACCACTTATAACAGTACTTAAGTTTCTCAGAATGAGAGTTGGAGTGAGGTATATCCACCAAGGAACAAGATGCCCACATCTGTGCTGGACAGAGCCCCATGTCCCTGGGAAGGAGGAGCCTTAACCTCTCCGGACCACGCCCAGCTCAGAAACAGTATTGACTCTCAGGGCCCTCCTTCCCGGTCGCTGTGTGGCCCGCAGCCCAGAGCTCCTCGCTCCTGGCCATAAACACAGTGCAAGACATGAGAAGGCCCACTGGGCCTCCAGTTAGACCAGGGCATCACGCACACGCAAGGCCCGCAGAGGTGGGGACAAAATGACATCTAGACAGGAGGAACTGCCCCCTATAGGAGGAGCAGGTGGCAAGGGCTTCCACCCGAACACGCAACGCCGCGGTCACCCAGCACAGTGACTCCACAAGGAGGGAGGCACCTGCAGCCTGGGCCCCTGATCCTCTGCAGATGGGGACCAGTGTGAGAACAACCCCTGCCAGAACCAGGGCACCTGCCGCGATGGCCTCTCGGAGTACGAGTGCAGCTGCCAGGAAGGCTTCGAAGGGAAAAACTGCGAACTGTGTAAGTTCCTCACGAGTGGAGGCGCATGGAGAGCAGGCAGGGAGGAGACGACACTCTCCAACCGCCTCTAACTCCGAGTCTGCCCTCTGACCGCGAGAGCCCCCTGGAGAGGCCCCAGCAGATAACAGCCCGCTGTGCCCTGTGGGCCGCTCGCTCGCTGGGGCGCAGAGCTCTCAAGGCCATGAGCTGTCGCTGCGGGAACCAGACCGCCTCTGTGCCTGGGCTCCAGTGAGCTCCTGGCGACCCAGCGCAGTGCACCCCAGCCGTCTCCCTGATGCCACCTTAGACACAAATGCCGGGGGGGAGTATTCAGGGTTGGCCTTAATTCTACATAGGACATTCAGAGTTGTCTCTAATATGCTGACTTTCTAAATTGAAAATTAGGTCACTGTCAGACTGGTTTTCCCTAAGGAGAAAGATTTGCTTCTCACGTTTGTTACTTCCCTCAGCCTCTGCAGATTGTACTCCTAGACTGGGTCAGGTTAGCGCCTTCCTCTGCAGGGATTCGGAAGTGCAACACTGCACGGAAGCCCAGTTACTTCTCCTGCCCGCAGCTTGGCCAGCTTAGCCCTAACAGGGCAGACTCCAGGGCTACAGTGAACCTTTTCCACAATCCCCTTCCTGTGGACCTCTGCCCTGGTTATTTTCTCATCCAACCTCAAACAGCATGTCAAGCATGTGGCCACAGGCTGCCCGGCCCATGGGGGCTTGGAGTTGGAAGTGGGCAGGTGACTCCAGCCTTGGGGTACGGTGGCCCGGAGCACTGTGTCAAGAGCTGCACGAGGCCTGTGCACTGTCCTCACTTCCACCACTTTGCGTACACGGTACGGCACACCACACAGCCCAGCCCAGTGGGCTCAGGCCCAGTGCTCTTGCCAAGGTGCAGCTGCCCCTCTGTGGGCCTGCACTGGAGCCTGTCTTAGCCTCCCAAGGACAGACTTCACAGGCTAGGCTCTTGCCGGATCCCACGGGATCCCAGGGCCACCAGCTGGCATGTCTGCAGCAGGGCCCTGGCTGCCTCAGTGGCACCTGGTGCACCATCTGGGCTGAGGCAGGCTGTGTTAATCGCCGTCCTTGTTGCTGAGACAACACCCAACACCTGCAACTTAAAGGAGGAGAGGTTTGTTTTGGCTCATGTTGTAGAAGTTTTAGTCCTTGCATGGTGGGCTGGCTCCAGGCAGAAGCTGCATGGCACGGGGCCTGGTGGAGGAGAGCTGCTTACCTCGTGGCAGACAGGAAGCCGCGAGGGAAAGCGGGAGGGAAGAGGGACAGCCACCCTGCCAGGCCAAGGTCCCAGGGCCTTAGCTCCGAGCAGGCCCACCCCTTAACAGCAGTCAGCAGTAATCCCCCCACATCCAAACACCTGAGGCTTTGGGGCCATTTTGGATCTGAACCATAAAATGGGTGCTGCGGAAGGAATCCCTTGCTGGTTGGCAAGCGAGTGAAGGTAGGGCATGGAGCTCTAGGCAGCTATAGGACAACAGGGGCACAGGGCCACCCTCAGGCTGATCTGGGCCACCTGCCAAGGGGCGGTGGGGTCGTGGAAGGGACTGTGTCTGTGGGGCGTCACATGCAGCACCAGGGGCTGGCATCTGTGGAGACCAGGCTACCAGCCCCTCTCTTCTTGGCAGTCGTGGAGAACCTGCTGGCCTCGGAAGGAGGGGCTCCAAGGCCACCGCGCCCTGTGCCACCGCCTGCTCCCCAAGCGCCCACTGCTTCCCCACACCGTCTGCCCGGGGGGTGTCACCCAGGGGTGCTCAGGGGCCTTGCTGGGCGCCGTGCCCCTCACATGGCCTGCGTTGGGGAGGCCCCGAGCTGGGCGCTTGTTCGTCCTAGAGCTGAGCCTCTCTGGGCCCTGGCTGTGCCCACCCGCTGCCCTGTGTGCCTGCTGCAGTGTGGCCTTCTCCTCACAGCCACCCGGAAACTCTGCAGCCTGGACAACGGCGACTGTGACCAGTACTGCCAGGAGGTGCAGAACTCGGTGGCATGCTCCTGCGCCAAAGGCTACACGCTGGGTGACGACAGCAAGTCCTGCATCTCCACAGGTAGGAGGCCGTGCCAGTGGCACTGTTCAAATGTGAGGACCTCGGGTTTGGAAACAGACCTGGTACCTGGGGGCCCAAATCCACTGACAGAGCTCAGTCTTCTCATCTGAGAGATGGGCCAGCAGTGTCATCCAGCCCCGGGGTGGATGTGGCCCTGCCCGGGCCTGGCCACAGGTAGCCCTGACCACCTGCCTGAATGACCCTGGCAGTCGGGGGCGGGGGTGAGGCCTGGGAGCTGCTGCTGTCACAGCCAGATGAGGCAGGTGGGGAGGGGTGGCCTGGGCGGAGAGCAGCCAAGGACCCTGGGGGCGATTCTACCTACACACCAAGCGACACACGCCACATCCCCTTCACTGTTCAACCCTGAGCACAGTGGGGGACTGCGGAGAAGCTGCACCCCAAGCCCAGGAGGACACGGCATCCCTGGGGCCTGTACCAGGCCTGGTCCTGCCCTCTGGAAGCGGGGCGTGAGCACTGGCCTCACCGGGCCCACCTTGCTTTTGCAGAAGTCTTCCCCTGCGGGAAGACCACCGGGGGACGGGGACGCAGGAAGCGGTCAGTGGCACAGGTCACCAACAGCAGCGAGACAGTCCCTGACATCACCACACTGGAGCAGGGGGACCTGGACGATCTGAACCCCACCGAGGACCCTTTCAGCCTCCTCAACTCCAACGACACAAATGTGGAGATAAAAGACAACGACCTTGGCCGCATCGTGGGCGGCCGGAACTGCAAAGAAGGGGAGTGCCCCTGGCAGGTGACTGGGCTGAGCTGCTCTGTGCTGCACGGGCTGCATGGGGGCCTGGGCTGGGGATGAGGGGAGGTGACCCAGCCCGAGGTCAGCGTCCCAGGCAGGCACCAGTCTGTGCCGGGACCGAGCACCCACAACCCTGCCTGCGGTCCTGCGCTCTGCACCCTGGGCCACCCGGGACGTCTCACTGCCGGCCTCCTGCCTGCAGATGGACAGGACAGAGGCACAGCCCACCTCCACAGAAACAGGCGGGGCCCCAGCAGCCAGACCCAGCCCTAGGCAGGCACCTGTTGGCAGGGGGTGAGGAAGGAAGTTTCACCATCCTTGATGCATTTCTGATTTGGTCATTTTGTTTTTTAACCCAAACAACTAAATCCTAGAGGCAAGAAGTACCTTAGAGAAAAGCATATCTATTTATGTTTTAAAAAATGTTTAAAACTCACTCATTGATTCCTGATGTGGGCAAGGGCTGCTACATTTAGAAAACAAACACATGAGACTTCTAGTTACGTTTGAATTTCACATAAATACTGAGTGATTTCTAAATGAGCCTGTCTCGGATGCCATTGGGACGTACTTGTGCTGAGAGAGGCTTGCTGTCTACCTGGTTCGGTTTAACTGGGTGCCCAGTTTTTCTTTGGAAACCTTCACTTGAGCCTGACACACCGGTCACCAGCCACCCGAGCTGTCCCCACCCCAGGACGGATAGGATCCTCATCCAAGGAGCTGTGGGGCAAGGCAGCTGGCACTGCAGGTGCTCCCTGGACCGTGTGAAGGGGAATTTGCTGTCGCCGGGTACTGGGTGTGCAGGATGTGAACCCACAGACCTTGAGCCTTTGCCATCTGGGTCCCTGGCCGTGACCAGTGCCAGTGAGCATCGCTGAGCCTCCAGATGGCCAGGAGGGCCCTGGGAGGGCTAGCATGTGGCCCCCAAGCCTGGACAGGCTCTGGAGGAAGAGGCCGGGGGCTTGAGACTCTGGTTCAGAGCAGGGCAGGAAGAGGACAGGCCGGTGGCCTGGGGAAGCCTATCTGGCCACCCGGGTACAGGCCATCCTTGGTTGCTGATGCAGACGACTTCCTGCAGGCTCTGCTTGTAAATGAAGACAGCATCGGGTTCTGCGGGGGCACCATCCTCAGTGAGTACCACATCCTCACTGCCGCTCACTGTCTCCACCAAGCCAGGCGGTTCACGGTGAGGGTAGGTAAGTGACACCTGCCCTGGAGCCCTGGGGACACCACCATGGGTGTCTCCCGGCCAGGACCACAGGGACGGATCGGTCTGTTGGGGACACTGAGGGATGGGAGCCCTGTTCCCAGGGGAGAGAGTGGGCAGCCGCGGACTCCACAGGGCCCACCCCACCCCGCCCGCCTGCCTGTGGCCTGGAGGCCTGTGGCTCTGCGCCTTGCTGGACACTCCTTGTCCTCATGTCCTTTGTCCAGGGGCCTCCTGACGCCTTCTCTCCCCACACTGCATCTCTATAGTAGACCCTAGAGGCATCTAGTGCAAGCCCAGTGCCAGCCACACATGTGATTTGCAACTTCCTGGTCATCTCAAGTTCTCTAGTACACATTTAACAAGCATAGCCAAAGAGGTGCACTTAGTTTTAATATCCTTGTAATCCAAAATATTAACATCTCAGTGGATAATTAAATAGCATGAATTTCAACCATGAGTAAGGTACTCAGCGTTCTCCTTTCCACGGTGAGTCTGCTGGCCAGATGGGCTGGGCTCTGGCACAGGTGCCCGGGAGCTGGCGGTGTAGCCGATGGAGGCCTGCACAGCCCGCTCAGTGCCTGCTCAGGAAGCGTCTGCCCGAAGCACGGGGAGCGTCCCGCACGTGCATGTGCAGTGTGACCAGGGCTTGCTGAGGGAGGCTGGAGGCTGCAGTTTTTGCTTCTTTCCATTTTCCTGTGTTTTTAAGGCTTCAAACATGACCATGTACTATTTTTTAATAAAAAATAATAACTTGCTTAAAAGGATGCACCATGCAGATGCTGGGCCGCAGGGCACCAGCCGCGTGCGCTCTCTGTTTGCAGGTGAGCGGGACACGGAGCAGGAGGAGGGCAACGAGATGACACACGAGGTGGAGGTGGTCATAAAGCACAACAAGTTCAACACACACACCTACGACTGCGACATCGCCGTCCTCAAGCTGAAGACGCCCATCACCTTCCGCAGGAACGTGGCCCCCGCCTGCCTGCCACAGAAGGACTGGGCTGAGGCCACACTGATGACACAGAAGACAGGCATCGTGAGTGGGTTCGGCCGCACGCACGAGATGGGCCGCCAGTCCAACACCCTCAAGTTGCTGGAGGTGCCCTACGTGGACCGCAACACCTGCAAGCTGTCCACTGGCTTCAGCATCACGCAGAACATGTTCTGTGCCGGCTACGATGCCAAGCTGGAGGACACCTGCCAGGGGGACAGCGGCGGCCCCCACGTCACCTTGTTCAGGGACACCTACTACGTGACCGGCATCGTCAGCTGGGGAGAAGGCTGCGCCAGGAAAGGGAAGTTCGGGATCTACACCAAGGTCACCAACTTCATCAAGTGGATTGAGAAGTCCATGCGGGCGAGGGTGCCCCCCGGGCCAGAGACACCAGTGCCCGTGCCGCCTGCCCATTAAAGGGATCTGCTCTGGGCACCCGGGGCCACGTCTGGTTCTCTGTGACTCCATCCCTGGGCAGGGCCACTCCCAGAGCAGCCCCCACTGCAGTGCTTAGACCCCTTCCTCCCCGCCCACCCTTCATGCCTGTCACCTGCCTCATGCCAGGCCAGGGACCCTCCCAGGGATGCAGGCTCTGTACTGGAGGCGGTCCCTGCTCTCCCTGGGATGGAGCCGTCCCCACCCCAGGTGATTCTGTTCTTCAGGGACCTGAACAGCCTTTCACAGCCAGCCAGGCCAATTCGCAGTAAGGAGTCCAGTCCCAAGGCCCTCACCCAGGACAGGGCAGGGCAGGAGTCCTGGCCAGGCACCATGGGGCTGGGCTGTGTGTGAGCTTGCAGGGTCCTTGCCCCCTTAGCAAGCGACCTGCTCCCTCGGTGATGGTCTTGGCCAGCAACACTGGGTTCTCACCCTGGCTTCAGTTGAGCCCCAGTGCGGTCTCTGAACATCCTGGTCCAGCCTCCGTCCAGGCACTGAATTTCAGTGTGGGCCTAGATCCCTGCCGGAAGTTCCTGGAACCCGCCCCACCAGCCCCTGGAGGGGTGCTGGGGCGTGGGGCTCCTCCGGCACTCCTACCCACACTCTGCTGCCTCAGCACCGTCCCAGCCCCAAGTCGTCTCTGGACCCAGCCATCCAGAAGGGCCTGCCCGGTGGTGCCCAAAGCCCCAGCACAGTTTGCATCTTGCCTAACTTCGCTAAGCAAAGTTCAAAAGTTCTAGTGCAAAGCTCCTAAACAGCCTGGTGATACCCAGAGCGTTTTGTCAACAGAGATTTTGCAAGGTTAGGAGAAGTCGACCTGTTCTCACTTCCCAGAACCGGTCTGAGGGGTTGTGGCCTCCACACCCCCAGAGGGCACAGGCGTCCGCATCGGGCCACCTGCTCGCCTCCACCAGGCACACAGCCCTCCTTCGGGGGACGTCACGCAGGCGCAGGGACTTGGGAGCCCATCCAGGTTCCTCTTCCTAGGGAGCAGAGGTGGTGTGGGTCCAGAGAGGACTCTGGGGAGAGCTGCAAGTCTGTCACTGTCTGTGCCCTTCCCGGCTGGCCCCTGGCACGGATGGACTCATGTCCGTGTGCACCTTAGCCACAGAAAGGAAGCTGAGGACCAGTGGGAGCAGGGCAGGGGAACTTCATGGCCGGAAGGGCACAGACAGTAGCTGCTGGTGGCCCATCCGGAAGAGTCCGGCTCCGGAGGGACACAGGGCTGTCACCAGCTCTGCAAGGGGCAAGGGCTTGGAGGGTGGCAACCTGTGTGCTGCCAATTCCTGTGTGGCCCGTGGCGACTCCTCCTGCCCTGGGTGCCCCTTTTCTCATCAGGAAAACAGCAACTTGGTCCCAACTTCATCGCCTGTGCCTGGGGCTTGTGATCCCCTCCCTCCAGAGTGGCCCGGTGGGGGTGTCACCCAGACAGTGATGCAGGGTGACAGCCTGTGGTTGGAGGGTGGCCGGAACCCACCTCCGGGTCAGACAGCGACACCACAGCAGAGATCCATCTCCCCTGCCCTGCCCCAGCTCCTCAGAACAGCCGGGACAGAGGGAGGAGCCAGGCCTGCAGGCAGAGGACAAGGGAACACAGCCCTGGGGCCCAGGTGCCACCTGCCTCAGGGCAAGCAGCATGAGGCTGGGCCTGGGTGGGGGGTCCAGGCTGCAGAGGAGAAATCAGCAGTGGGGTTTCACCAGGAAGGATTTCTGCAACCATCTCCCGGGGCAGGACTCCAGTCTCGTCTTGGAAGGAGCCGGCCACCGTGGCTGTCAGCAGCCCCCAGGCAGGCGAGCGCCACCGTGAGCCCCCACTGTGATGGGAGTCAGTGAGAAGAGACTCATCTGAGGGCCTCAGAGCTGTGCCACAAAACGAGCTATTAAGACAACAGCCAAAGTCAGCTTGATGGGACAAACCCTGGGAGACAGAACCTGGGGGACAGCCACTTCCAAGTGGACCAAGTGCTCTGCCCTTGACATCACACGTCGGGACACCTCATGTCAGGAGGCTGACACTGGGGTCTTGCGGGACATGGTGTTTGGCCTGACCTCATCACGGGGGACATCAGGTAATGCAGAACGAGGGCAGCCTGGGCTCCCCAAAAGTGCCCATGTCAGGCAGACCAGAGACAGCCAGAAATGCAGTATCAGACAAGACAGAGGGAAGCCAGCGGCCGCGGAGAGAAAGAAGGACTGCTGGGGTCCTGCTAGACAGGCACAGGTGACAAGGGGTGCTGCGTGGGAGTGGGCACAGGAGCAAGCTAAGACTGCGCCACACTGCGAGCCATGCCAGTGCTGACTACTTGGCAGGATGCCCAGACGGGCAGTGTTCAGAGGACGTCACCCATGCTGAGCACCGGCCCAGGGCCCAAGGTCACGCTGTCTGCACAGAATGTCCTGGTCACCGTGCGAGTGGCACCCCTTGCTGGTGTGCAGGCCTGGTGGGAGGAGGGGGAGGTCCTGCTGCTCGGGGTGGGTGCAGAGGGGACCCAGAAGACCAGCAAGGGGTGGGTGGGGGCTGTCCCCACGGAGGGGCTGTGTGGCAAAGCCCCGTGTGGGCAGCAGGCCACTGCAGCCAGGTATGGGAGGCAGGCAGGATTCCCTGGGCAAGGGCGTCTTTCCGTCCTCACAGGACCAAGCCCCACGGCAGGGTCCCACGGCCAGCACGGCCCTGGCCACAGGCCCCATAGGGCCCCATCGTCCACACAGGCTCGGGACAGGCCAAGGGTGTAAAGTGGTGCATGGAGTCCAAGGAGGAAGATGGGCAGGGGCCAAGCGACCTCTCTACCTGGGCTGAGTGAATCCCCGACCTTGGCAGAGGGTCAGGAAAAGCCAGTCGTGGCCCCAGGCCACCACACTGGACTTTGTGGTTGTCCCTAGAGCAAGAGTTCCTGAGATGCTGCCAGCCCAGGACAGTTGCCAACCCAAGCCCCAGTTCCCAGAAGAAAACAAACAGAAATCAAGCCTGTGTGTGTGAGAAGTGGCCAGAGGACCCAAGGGCAGACTTTGGAAAGATCCAGAGTCGGCTCGGTCCCTTTGGTTGCCTGTATTTTACCACAGTGAAAACTCTGTATTCAAAACACCAATGATCGCAAAACAAAAACAGAAACAAAAAAGACAGCCCAGACCCCAGACCCTGAACATCAAGGCTGGAGAGGGTGACCCAGCCTCGAGGCCTCGCCACAGCACAGGCCACAGCTCCGGACAGGGACAGCAGTCCAGGCTGAGCAAGTGCAGCTGGAAGCCCCTGGATGGCAGCCTGGACCCAGTCCCCCGGTCCCAGTCCCCTGGTCCCTAAACACGGTCGAGAAAGGTGCTCGTGGCTCCCCGCCAGCGTGACTGCAGAGCCTCTGGCAGCCCACAAGGCCGCTGCTTGCTTCTGTCACTTTGGCTGAGACAATGGAACGCAAGACCACAGCTTTGCTCCCATACAGCTTCTCCTCGTGTGTCCTGCTGGGTCTGGGGTGCTGTGCGGGGCAGAAGAGCCATCCACAGTCCTCCTGTGGTGTCGTGAGGCCCTGGCTCAGCGAATCCAATGCTCACGCTGGCAGATGGTTATGGAGTAGATTAGAAAGACCCCAAACCTTCCTGAGCTCAGAGGCGGGGCTTTGGGGAGGTGGCTAGCTCACGTGGTGCTGCACTCAGCAGTGGCCGGGGGTCACAGCCCATGTGCTGGAGGAGGGGTCTGCTGGGAAGAAGTGCTCACTGGCATCTCCCTCTCCAGCTCCACCGCTCTCCCCGCTTCCTGTCCTCCGTCCCCTGAGCAGCTCTCCTCCGCCAGGCCCTCCCAGGCCTTCTCCCTTGGGGCCGGCTGACTGTGGACTAAAAATGTGGTTCCAAATAAGCCTCTGCTCCTGCAAGCGGCGTGCGTCAGTACTGGGTCCCACCCTCAAGAAAGTGACTAAGAGACAGACAAACCAACAATGGAGGAGCAGGCTCGGGCTGGCCAAAGTGAGGAGGGGCTGTCCTCTGGGAATCCGCTTCACTGCACGTGAATCCAGGGGCAGTGGTGGGGAGGGCAGCACAAAACACAAAGCCCTTCAGGGAGAACTCAGCGCCTCAGGCCGGCATCGGACACAGCTGACTGTGAGACACAGCTTGAGTGCAGAGATGCTGGGATGCAGGAAGGCCAGGGAGACGACAGACACACTGGCTCCGTCGGGACACAGTGAGGGCACACATGGGAGGCCGCTGTCTTTGTTGTTTCTCTCGTCGCTGAGACAAAGTCCTCGGCACCCCAAGTTAAAAAGGAAAGGGTTATTTAGCTCCCAGTTCGTAGAGGTTGCAGTCCATAATCGACTGGCTCCAAGGCAGGGCGGCATCACAGAGACCCTTTCACGGCAGGCAGAAGGTAGCAAAGCAAGGGACCTCAGTGGCATCTTTCTGCCCCTCTTATTTATCCAGACTACTTAGGGCAGTGGGCTTACACCCTTAATCCTAGTGCCCTTGATCCCAGAATTGCACCATGAATCAATTCCAGCACCACACACTCTATGTCCAGGCACCTCTGAAAAAGCCGCACCTATGACCCCGTGAGGCTTGTAACAGGGACACAGCCATAACAGCTGCTCCTGTCCGGTGCTGCACATTTCTGTCGACAGCTCTCTGGGACCTGCATGGAGAGGGACAGAGAGGGGCCTCCACGCCCTCAGGGGGAGGAAGATCTCTGCAGGTGTCCGGTATCCAGCCCAAGGGTGCACCGCGGGTGGCAGGAGTTGTCCCTGAATTTATGGATCTCTTTCTGGAACAGCAGGACCGAGTGAGGAGGACTGTCCCTCAGTGAGGAGTCGGGATGGCCACAGCAGCTCAAACTTAATGTTTCCACAGCTCGCCGCAGGGCGCTTGGTCCAAAACTGGTTTTGGAGATGCCAGTTGAGAACCTGAAGCACTGCACACAGCATTTCAGATGCTGTGCTGGTCCAAATGTTTGTGTCCCCCAGAATTCACATTTTGAAACCTGATCCCCACCCCAGTGGTGTTGGGAATCGGCACCGAGGGTTGGCGCCATTCTGACAGGGCCAGGGCGCCAAGTGAGGGTGCAGTGATACAGCTGTCTGTGCATCCCGGCTCCTTGTGCTCAGACTTCCAGCTCCAGAACTTTGAGGGCGCAGGATGTGGATGAGGTCGTCCAGTCCACGTGCCTTGGCCTGGCAGCCGAGTGGACAGGCCCAGTCACCCAGGAGCTGCCCACAGCCGGGGCAAACTGGGCCACCACTGCTCAGACCCTGGGGCCCTTGTCTGGTTCCTCATTTCAAAGCAGTTATTCCTGGTCCTGAAATTACCCCATAGGAGCATTTTTAGTGTGGACTTTGCCACGTCCTTTCATGGGAGGGACACATGGTGATGGCCAGGCTGGGTACCACCCACCTGACCAAGCCCATGCATTAATTAATTCCCAGCCCAGCTTTGAAGTTATTTTGACTCACCCACTGCTGAAAGACTTTGGGTTTTTTCCCACCTTTTAAAACAAACTTCACACCCCTAAGCCTCAGTTTGTCTTTCTCGGTTCCCACTCTAATCTCTGCACAGTCCCCTCGGTCCGCAGTTCCTGGGCTGACACCACCATCCTCTCTCTCTCACCCGTCTCCCTGGGAATCTGTCCCTACCTGACCCCACAGCCCCACTGGGACCCTTCATGGGCAGCTCGGGCTCACTGTGTCCCCCACCCGGCTTCCCACAGCTGCACAAGTCATGGGCTGCCACGAGCCCTTCACCAGGGACCCTCCATCGGGGACCACAGTCCCCCTCACGAGGTAGCAGGAGGGCAGCTGCATGTCACATGTCACTTCACTCCACCCTGACTAGGGCAGCCGTCTCCCAGGGACTTCTCTCCCTCCTTCCAGCCTGCTCTGGAAGGTCGTGCCCCACAGTGCAGCTACGGGATCCTTTCAGGATGCAAAGCTTCCCGTATCTCTCTCCTGCCCCCTCTAGTGTCTTCCCGATGCCTGCAAATAAAACATCACGTTCTTACCTGGGCCTTAGGGGGCCTCTCTCTGGGGCAGCAAACTAGAGCAGCACATTTGGGATGCAGCCCACTGCGTGCTCTTACAAATAAAGTTTTATTGGTATGTGTCCCCACTGCTCCATCTCTGGTGTCTGCAGGACACTCCCCTCTTTTCCCTGTGCCGACAGCTGCAGTGCCTATCCCTCATTGTTACTCCCCGACAGTTCCCCGGGAGGGATGGGCAGCCTGCCTTGGGGGCCTCCCACCACCCCTCTGGTTACCTCGGTCAACTCTGAGGAGGTGCCCCCCTTCCCCCTCAGATGCTAAGGAAGTGGTGGAGACAGGACCGGAAGTGCAGCGGAGGTGGAAGGGGCCCGGGCAGTTGTTACTGTCTCCAATCTCCAGTCAGCTGTGGTGAGCACAGCCCTCTCCAATGTACCTTGTTTTGCCCCGCCATTGTTTGCTGGGACACAACAGATGTCCATCAAACTGCTGCACCTCCCAGTGTCCTGTTCATCGCCACCACTGTGACCCCTGCCACCATCCCGGACAGTCACAGCTGCTCCAGGTGTCCGCCCCGCTAGAATTTGAACTGAACCACAGAAATGAGTTAGGACCAATCAGTAGGCTCAAACATACACCAATCGACAGGCTCAAATTTGGACCTATCGGGGGGCTTGAATTTGGACCAATCAGAAGGCCTGAATTTGGGCCAGTCATAGGCCTGCAGCTGCCTCTCTCAGCACCACTCCCGTGCACTGACTGGCTTGGTCTAGGAGGGCACTGTCTCCAGGTGTAGCACAGGTCCCGTCCAGAGCCCCACTGGTGAGCCCCCGTCATCTGTTGTGACTCATTTCTCGGGTAGCGTGGGCTCTGAAGTTCCTGCAAGTCTGCAGGTGGTGAGGACAGAGCAGTGGCTTTACAGAAAGAGCCATAAGCACCAGGGGCTGTCAGCCTTAGGAGCTCAGGCGCCAGCAGCCCAGAGACCAGGGACAGGGAGCTGGCAGAGTGGTACAGCGGTGGCCGGCAAGTGTCCCTGGCAGGATTTCCTCCCAGCTGAAGCGTGACGGTGGTGCCGGCAGAGCTGAGTGCTCGTGACAGACCGTTCAGCCCACAAAGTCCAACCCCTCACTCTCTGTGGAGAGCGCTCACTGGCCACAAGGACCCCGTCTGAGCTCTGCTTCCCCCTCAGACCGCAGGGCTGGTCCTCGGGCGGGACACGCGCCCCCAGGTCTGTCCCGGGGCCGGTCTCAGCCTCACCCTTCACAGCCCGCGGAGGCTGCACCTACATCCAGGCTTCTGTCCCAGACAGCTCCCCGAGTGGCCTCTTGGGTCCCCGCAAGACCCCTGTCAACAGCACCGTGGACCACCATTTCATCCTGGCCCCTGTCCTGTCTTCAGGCTCCGCGTCACTGCGCCCTGGGCCAGGACGTCGCCCCGCAGGAAGACGCCCTGCAGAGGGTCCCGGGACACACAGCTTGGAGCTCCTGCCCAGCCTCCTATCACCTGCTCTTGCCATCGGTTCCCTGTGGGGGTCCCCACCCCTTCCCTGGGATCCACCCCTGGTCTCCCCACGATGCTCTGCCTCTGCCTGTCCTCCCTCAGGTGGACACAGAAGGCACAGGAAGGACTGAGGCCTTGAGCGGCCTGTCCCACTCTGCCTGTCCAGTGAGGTTCGCTGGTCTGTGGACAGGGCCCCTGCTGACCTCCCTCGCCTCCTGCACTTCCCAGGGCTGGACTTTGGACTTCTGATCACCTGGTCCTGCCGGGCCGGGCTCCGATCAGCATGGCTGGCTGTGTCCTGCTGCTCCAGGGCCTTGCCCTCCTCCTCCTTTTCCACCAGGCGGAACTGTCAGGTAGGCACTGGCCAGTGGGTTGCGGAGGGCACTTTCTCCAGAAACCTGGCAGCCCTGGAGGATGGCCTTGCTGGCTCTCCCTCCCAAGGGCTGCTGGGTCTCGCTGTCCTTGGTGACGATGTGCTGGGAACGGCACTGTGGCCTTGGGCCTCCCTAGCCATGCTGAGATGGGACACGGGACACAGGGCTGGGGACACACCCAGGCAAGGAGGAAAGGATGGAGAAGGGGCGGCAGAGGTCCTGGCTTGGCCGGGAGGGACACCAGGCACAGGGGAAAGGCGGAGAAGCCAGGGCCCGGGAGGGGCAATGCCTCGCTGGGAACATGGTGGTCTCAGCACCATCCCCACCCACCAGCCAGGCCCTCCCCACAGCCGTGTCACATCGCAGCGCTCCAAGCCCTTTGGCGGCCAGTGCAGGGCCTCCTGCCCCCCCACCCCGGCCGAGCTCCAGGGCCTCCCAGGGGCATCATGGTGGGAGCAGCTCAGCCCGCATTGGCCCATCCCAGGCAGTGTCATCACCTGCTCGGGTCTCCTTCCTGCACCTCAGCCACCCGGCCAGAGCCCCTCAGAGCTTGTGTCTCCTGCCTCACGCTGATGCCCCCCATGGAGTCAGGGCTGCCCACACTCTCGGCTGTCACTCAGCCACAGCTGTCCATCCGTGTGACACAGCACATGGTGGCCATGTGTCTACAGCAAGGGTGCAGCCCGGACTGGAGTTTTGGCCACACCGAGAACAGAAAGCACTGGGACCAGTGAGGTTTAAGCAGGCTGGTGGTACTGGCCAGCTCCAGGCTGACTGAGTCCGCCTTCTCTGGGCCCTGAAATCTCCATCCGTAAAACACCAGTGTCCCAATTCACAAGGCTGTCCACACACTCGACAAACAGGGAAGTGACCAGGTGGCCTCGAGACAGTGCCCCAGGCCAGGCGCTGCCCTCTTGACTGACAGGAGCCTGAAGGACATGGCATCCCCATGCTCTAGGCTCCTGCTAACATGCCCTGTGCTCTTCCCTTGCCGCGAAGTGTTTGTTCCGGCCACAAGCGCAAACCAAGTTCTGCTCAGGTGGAAGCGTGCTGGCTCCTACATCCTGGAGGAGCTCTTTGAGGGCAATTTGGAAAAAGAATGTTATGAAGAGATCTGTGTCCACGAAGAGGCCAGAGAGGTGTTTGAAGATGACGAAGCCACGGTGGGTAAGCCGGCCAAAAGCTCCGCTTCTTGCGGGGCGGCTCTGGCTGCAGGTCCAACCTGAGTGAACAAGAAGTGTCTTGGGCTCCACAGAAAATAGACATCATTAATGTTCACAGGAAATGAAACTCGCTTTATTTTTTATATTTGTTATAAGAAAAAAGGGCAGCAGCTTCAGACAGTTCTTCCCCAGAGGCACACATGATCAGTTAGTGGAGGAAAAGGGACCCAGAAAGGCGAGGGGATCCAGCCTGCAGCTTCCTGGCCTGTCACAGACAGAAGTCACTGCCACCCTGCAGCTTCCTTGTCAAAAGGGCTTCGAAGGGAGGGCCGGGATGCAGCTCAGCTGTGAGCCTGAGTGAGGTCCTGGCTTCCACCTCAGCACTGAAAAAACTTGAAAACACAATAGTCTTCCCCTCTACATAGTAAGAAAATGTCTCATCATCTGTACTTTGAATGAAGTAAATGATTTTCTCATGCATGTGACTGCAGGTCTACTCTAAATAACACTGGTCAGATTCGCCATTTAATTACGCACAGGCTTAGCAGCAGATACAGGGCTGAATCCCAGGCTGAATATTTGTACAGAAGTTTCAGAACACAACAGCAGGAGCTCAGTAACTGTCTCCCAGAGTAGAGCGCTTGTCCTAGGTTTGATGCCCAGAACAGAAGAAAGAAATCCCATGTTACACATGAAGGTAGCAAGACTTAAGTTAGAGTGTCCTAAATGCACACCCTAAGTGGACTCTTCGGACACAGCCCATCTTTATCACAGCGAAGAGCAAAGTGAAGAGTATTTTCAGAGCATTGTTCTGAATTTCAGTTTCCAAACTCCTGGTAAAGGGAAGCTGCCCTAGTCCAGCACTTGTGGTGTGGGGATGTGTGTGTGTCACACACCTGTCCCTTCCAGGCTCTCCTGATCACTAGACGCCCCCCAATCCTACCCCACAAAAACACAAAATGGCAACGTGGGGCCTAAGACGGCCCTGGGAGGGAGGTGATGGGAGGGGTCTGTCTCATGCTGTCACCATCCTTAACTGGGCCATGATGACGGGTTGCACACACCTTAAGTAAATACGAGTTTAGCAGAAATCAGTGGGCTGTTGGGCAGACGTCCCTGCTAATATCCTGCTGCTGGGTGAATGCAGCCAGCATGGCCCTCCAGGAACAGAACAAACTTGCTTTTGTGACATGCCTGCGTTTTTCTTTCCCAGCGTGCATTCTGGAGAGAGTACAGGGGTGAGTGGCTCCCTGTCCTGGCTGGGGTCCGAGGGCAGGGCTGCCGAGTCAGGCCAGAAGAGCACTGTCCCCCGTGCCCCAGACGACGACGGGAGGGCGGCCCTGGGAGGGGGAGGTGTGGCAGGAAGTGGGGCTGGGGTGGGAGCGAGGCCAGAGCAAGGGCTGCAGACACCCCGAGGGATGACAGACGTGGGCGGGCAGAGGGGGCTGACAGGGCCCGGGGGGAAGCAGGCATGCAGCAGAGGCCACCCCACTGCCCAGGTGGCTCTCCATGTGTCTCCCAGCCCTGCCTCAACAACGGCTCGTGCCACGATGCCATCCGCAGCTTCACCTGCACCTGTTCCCCGGGCTTTGAGGGCAGGACCTGTGCCTTGGGTGAGCTGCGCCCACACCCCAGGCCCGAGGGGGGTTCTCGGGACAGGTCCTCTCCTGCTGCTCACAGCACGGCACCTCAGAGACAATGCAGTCACAGTGAGCAGAAGTCACATGGGAGGGAAAGATGCTCTCGTAGACGGAGCCTGCTCTGCACTCCCGGGGTTACCCTTCCTTGAACCCTGTCTCCACTGTCTGCCGCTCTGGCACCCCCAGAGGAAGGTGCTGACCTCATCCCCAGGTGCTCCAGCTGCCCATGTGGCCTTGCTAAGCCCGCCTGTCCCACGCTGTCTCTGAGAGGCGATTCTCCATGGCGATTCTCGATTCTGCAGGGACATTGTAGGCCAAGAACAAGGCGCATGTGTTCTCTCTCTCTCTCCCTCTCCCTCTCTCTCTCTCTCTCTCACACACACACACACACACACACACACACACACACACACACACACACACGGGTGGGGGGCGCCACTCCTCAGGACAAACTCAGTGTGGGTCCTGTCTACTCCTGCACTTCCCGAGAGAGTGTGGGGAGATTTGCACAGGATGCTCGGACTGACGGTGGTGACCAACGACTCCTTTCCTGTGCTGGCATTTCTGGCTCCCCTCCATGCCTTTTCAGCTACAAACAAATGTCACCCAGAGAGGCCGGATGGGTGCCAGCACTTCTGCCACCCGGGGCAGGCGTCCTACGTGTGCAGCTGCGCCCAGGGCCATAAGCTGGCCAAGGACCGAAGGTCGTGTGCTCCCCACGGTGAGGCCGGCCCCGTCCGAGCCCTGCTCCTCCTGTGGGGGCAGTCGAGGGCTCAGCGGTGCACACTGCAGCCCTACCTGTTCGGGAGGCAGGAGGGTCGCGAGTTCAGGGCTGGCCTGGGCAGCTCAGTGGTAGGGCGCGTGCCTCGCACACATGAGGGCCTGGTTCCGTCCCAGCATGGGAGGGTGTGTCCTCTGTGGTGAGAGCAGACTCGTCCTGAGTCTCGCCTGTCTCGGTACCCGCGATGCGTGGTAAGCTCGGAGTTGCAGGTTTCACCTCACTAGCTCTCCCGATGCACAAATCAGCTCAAATCGCTGCGGTGGGATGGGGTCTGACGGCTGCCCTGGGTCAGGCCGGCTGTGTGTGGAAGACGCTGATCTCCTTCTTCTGTTGCCGCCACCATGAAGAGCAGTGCGCGTGCGGAGTCCTGACTTCCCAGCATGTCAAGACGCCAGACAGCAGCAGGCTGAGGCCGCCCAGTTTCCCGTGGCAGGTAACAAGTGTTCCACCAGCGGCTTTTACTTCATTGTTGCAAATTTTGTCTTGTGGCTGGGCATGGTGGCCAGGGCTGTAATCGCGGCATGCTAGGAGGCTGAGGCAGGAGGACAGCAAGTCCTAGCCCAGCCTGATTCACTAATCATCGCCTAGTTGGAAGACGGAGACGACAAGTTGCTTCTTTCTTTCTTTTCTTTTCTTTCTTTTTCTGGTATTGGGGGTCGAACCCAGGGCCTTTGGCACAAAGAAAATCACCCATTGTGATCTAGGGCTGATGTTGTCAATCTTTTATTAGTTGGTATGCATTTGCGATGCATACTAATTCCATTCATTCTGGGAAGTCCGTCAGTGTTGCACTGTATCTGACCATCCTTGATACTTTCCCCCATCCCGCTGCCCCATCTCCTGTTTCCTACCATCTTTCCTTCACTTTATTCTTCTATTTACTTGGCAGCAGCGTTAGCTGCACAGGCCAGACCTGCTTCGCAGGGCGCCAGGCTGCAGAGCCAGGCTCCGTCTGGCTGTCTCTCTCCGGCCTTCATTCCTGTTCCACCCCCTCTTCTCCCTTGACTGGTCTGGAAGCTAAATGTCCTATTTCCATTTACTGGATGCTTGGTCCTGAGCTGCAGGCATCAGACCCTACTCAGGACCCTGCACCTGGTGCTTCTCCTGGACAATTCCAAGCACCTCAGTTACCGCCTATTTTAGCCGGTATTTCTTTTCTTGCTTCTTAAAAATAACTCCACAGAACAGGTCTTGTCTTTGCATTACTATGGCTTCATGCCATATCATGCCAATCATGGTTCTGATTTCTCTGCTGGCCCTGACTCCCCTGGGCAGACCTGTTCCTTGTGCCCTCAGGTGTTGCACCCGGTAGGAACAGTGTAACCATCTAAAACCTTCTAGTAGCCACACTACAAACTGGTGAAATTAACTTTGATAATGTCTTTTAACCCAATCGATGTGAATACTATTTCCACATGTACTGCCACACTTAGTTTCCCTTCGTCTCAAGTGTGCAGCTCTGGAGTGTGCTTTGCATCAGCACTGAGCGTGCCCCCAGGACCCACAGCTTGGTGCTTTGATGCATGTGGGCAGGGCAGTGTGGCTCCTCCTGAGGGCCGGGGGCTCAGAGCAGCCCCATCCTGCATGGCCTCTCTGGCAGTGAGTGGGGACCAGGAGAGGTCAGAGCAGAGCGCAGGCTGGACTTGAGAGCCACAGAGCGACAGGGAGGGCGAAGCTGGACAGGTGGTGCTCCTGGTGCCCTCCACCCTCCCATCGCTTCTCCCCCATCTGGATATGGAGGGCAGGGTGTCGGGCGGCTCAGGACCGCCAGCCCTCCCGGGTGGTGACAGTGCCCCGTGCTGGCCATAGCATCGCTGTCCATGTCCCTGGTGCTCAGGGAGTGGCAGCCTAGGTGGTGAGCACCCTCGGCCTCGGGTGCTGCAGGGTTGGCACACAGGCTCAGTGTTATCTGTCTCTACTACAGTCCTAGAAATAGTTCAGAGGCAACTGACTGAATATATGCAATTTCCCAAAACAAACCGAAGAGCCAGCCTGGCCAGTAGGACAGAGGTGAAAATTATCCAGAACTGGCCTTGCGTCCTGAGTGCTGCTGAGATCCACCAGGGAGTGTGGCGTGAAGCTGCCTCCCAAGCTCAGATCAGTTGGCCCTTCAGGACGGCGAGGAGGGGCTCAGGCTCCAGAGCGAACCAGGCGATCACTGTGCAGTACAGGACCCGGCAGGAAGGCCGTGAAAGGCCCCTGAGGAGCTCTGACAGCACACGCACACGCACACGCAGCCTCCACAGAGCGGGATCAGGGCTGTGTCCACACATCTGCCCTCAACCGCAGCCACCCTCCTTCTTCATCTCATGGCCCAGGGGACGTCCCCAGCTCTGCAGTCCCCTCTGCCCGATGTGGGTACAGACTGGACTTTCTGCTATCAGTGTGGCCCTGAAGTTTTTCCAAATCTTCACTTCTACAAATTTGTTTAAAGTGCGCCATTTTTAGGCAGTGCTTCTAATCTGTCCAACCCAGTAAACCCCTGCCTACGATGAGCTGTCTAGGACAGAACGGTGACCTTTTAGAGCACTGCCTGGGTAGGTCTCTGCCACCCCTGGTCCCCTGCGGCCAAGCTGACGTACCTGTGCTGTCCCTCTGTCTTAAGGCTCTGGATCTGGGGTCACAAGGTGGGGATCTCTTACCAGAGTGCTGGGACACACAGAAGTGTTTCGATTTTCTAAGTCCCTTGCATTTTGGGATATCTATGGAGACTACAGGCCACGCATCCCTAGTCCAAATATATGAAATCCTTTGAAATCCAAAACTTTTTAGTGCCGTGGCATGGTTCAGAAAGCTGGATTTTGGAACACTGCAGATTGCAGATTTTCGGACTGGCTTAGGCTGTCGGTATCCCACAGCCAGAGACAGTTGGTCGCTTTAACACATCTGTCCCTTGGCGCCTCTGTAGGTCATTTCTCTTGCTGCATCCTCACGGTCTCCAGCCTTCTCTTATAGAGCCGACAATCCCATCACAGACTACAGCTGCCCTCTGAAGGTTAAGCTTTTTCCCTCTCCTTGTCTTTGCGTATCTGGAACACAGTCCCTACCATCTTGCTCTGCTTGCTGATGCCTGTCAGCAGTTCCAAGTCTTCCCGGCCTGGGCCCCAGCCCTGTTTCTTTGTTGCCTAGTGACCTTCCGTGAGTGGCAGGCATGGTGTTTTACCCTGGCAGGAGCCAGATCGTGCCGCGCTCTGTACACGTACTTGTGTGTCACTCTGGGCTGCGGGTCAGACACTGGGGACATGTCGCCCAAGGCTACTGCCTTTAAGACGTGGGCAGGACTGGAGGAGCGCTCAGTGCAGGGCCGGCTTTCCCACCAGCAGTGAGACCCTGTGGTGTCCTCTGAGCAGCCTTGCTGTTGTGGCTGGCAGGATGGGCACCAGCGCCAGCCTGCACGAGTGCCAATTCTTCCACAACCCAGGGGTCTTCTCTCCACACATGTGTGCACGTCACGGCTGCTGAAAGTTGTGCATCTGCAGCTCTGCAGAGGCCACTCCATCCCAGGGCTCCCTAGGCTCTCAGCTCCACCCCAGTGCAGGCAGTGCAGGGAGTCCCCCGACTCTGCCAGAGATGGCCATTCCACCCCGCACTGTGGACACCCAGGGCAGGCGCCAGGCAGTGGTCCCTGAGACGCTGGCTCTGGGAAACCTCTGCTCCACAGCCACTGTCGCCTGTTGGTCCAGGGTGGGCAGGTGGATCTGATGAGTGTTTCTCTGCCTGGGTAGGAGGGGCCCATGTGCACCTTTCAGATGGAAGCTCAGGTTGCCAGGATCTGCTCAAGGTCTAGCAGCTTTCTGGGGTGGGTGCAACACACATGGTAGCCGCCGTTCATGGAGCCCACGTCCTTAACCACTGGCTCCACTGGCCCAACCCTGCAAGTGCCCCCAGCTGTCCAGAGCTGTCTTGTTTTTTACAGGTCAAACTGACAGATTCCCAAGGGAAAGACTTCTGTGGCGGTGCCCTAATACAGGAGGGTTTTGTCCTGACAACAGCACGGTGCTCACTGCTGCATAGAAACATCAGTGTCAAATTAAGTAAGTGTTTTTCGTAAATTTGTATAAGATCACGCTGGAAGTACAACTCGTTTCTAATGCAAGACAGGATTGAACTGAGCTTCAGTGTTACTGAGATAGTTAAAGGATCAGAAAGCACACACAAAACGTCAAGCAGAACGTCGGGCGGCAGCAGGTGAGTGTGGCTGGTACTCAGGACTAGGAAACCTATAAAACCAGAGCAGCACTGTGACAGCCAGAGTGGCTGCAGCCAGACTCGGCCCAACCCCTCGAGTGTGCTACTTGGGCAGTGGCACCGCCTGTCCCTGCATGGATCTGTGCTGTTTGTCATCCAGCTGGGCAGCAGCTTCTCTCCCTCGGGAGTCTGTGAAGTCCCTGTGATAAACTACCAATGCACTCAGTAACAAATGTGCAGGACTTCAAAGGAAACGTATTTTTACACTTTATCCTAACAGATTTTTGATTTAACCAAACAGCCTGAAAACCCTCTGGAGCAGCTGAGTTTGATCAGTCTGGAGAAGCTCCCCCTCGATGGTCCTTTCTGGTTCTCAGAACGAGAACGCGCTGCCCGCTGGGAGGGCGTGGACCGTGCAGGCCGTGGAGCAGCGGGACCGTCCTGCGACCTGTGTCACACATGTGGGCTCCCTGGGTGGTCAGCCTCTGAGCAGTTTCTCACCCAATTCCAGGTCCTGCCGGGCCGGGCGAGGCCCCAAGGATGGCCAGGGTCAGGCGCGCACATGTGCACTTGCGCTACGACGCGGAGTTGGGCCAGAATGACATCTCCCTGCTGGAGCTGGAGCGGCCCGTGCACTGCCCTGGCTGGGGGCTCCCCGTGTGCATCCCCGAGCGGGACTTTGCCGAGCAGGTCCTGGTGCCGGGGACAGGGGGTGTCCTCAGCAGCTGGACCATCAATGGCACTAACCTGGGCGACACGCTGACAACCCTGCCAGTCACGCAGGTGGCCGGGGAGGAGTGCGGCCAGGCCCTGAACGTCACTGTCACCACACGGACGTGCTGTGAGAGGGGCAGCGCGGCAGCCGGGCGGTGGGTGCCAGGAAGCGTGGTCACCAGGGAACACGAAGGCACCTGGTTCCTCACGGGACTCCTGGGCTCATCACCGCTGCCACAGGAGCAGGCAGCTGCAGTCCTTGTCACCAAGGTCTCAAGATATGCGCTCTGGTTCAGGCAGACAATGAAGGGACCGGGACTCGGCCAAAGGGCTGGTCACGAGGTGGGGCTCGGCGTGGGGATGTGGAGAAAGCCTGACCCCACAGCACAGCTGTCACGTGAGGCTGCCCTTCTAGATCGCCGCTGAGTGCCGTGACACTCCGCTCCGTGGAGGTCTGCTCTAAGCCAAGACCTTAGAGAACTAGATACGCTGAGTAATAAACTGTCAGTTGTGAACCTGCCGCTTCCTGACTGTCTCTTCTCCCACAGGCCACACACAGCTTTCCCAACCCCCCGCACACACGCGCAAGAAGGCACAGCCACCAGCACAGATGCGAAAGGCATCGCTAGTTACACAATGGGCCACCTCCCCACTTGGCTTGGCCTCCCTCTACCTGCCAGTGTGGTCAAACAAGCTCAGCCCGGGAGGAGCAGCTGGAGGGGCTGGCAGGCAGGAGGAGCCGCAGCCAGGGGCAGTGGTGTGCAGACAGGTGCGGTGGGTCCCACTCCGTACAGCAGCGGCTCCCCACGATGAGACACGCGGCTTCTGAGCTTGGTCAGTCTGCAGGACGAGTGAAAGTGGTTTGCTTCTAAGCAGATGTTTCATGCGCGGGGAAATGCCCACTCTGAAAAGGCTGAAAACTCCCAGGGCTTGGCTGCACTGTTCCCCGAAGCCTCCTGCCGAAGCCCTGACCCAACACGACCGAGTCTGGAAGTGGCGAGGGTCCCACACAGCTGCAGGGTGATGTCTTGACCCCAGCCCTGAGCCTCTGCCATGTCGGCCACCCAGCCTGGGCGCTGTCTTCAGCTTGACCACACTGATCCCGCCAAGCTATCAAATCTGGAAAATCTGTATCAGACTCAAGGCTGCTTTTACAAAGAAGCCTTAAATTAACCAAGTATTCCAATCACATAAACGGCTCAGATTTAATATATAAATACAGAAGTATCCTAGAAGATAATAGAAAAGAACATGCCATAAGTATAAATTCAGAATACCTTTCTTTATAGAAAGAGCTACTAAAAGTTACAAAGATCGCCCACATGAACTGCTGCCCTGGCCTCCCCAGGGTCAGCAGCCGCCGCACTCCTGGGAAAAGGGTGCCTGCGGCTTCACAAGGCTGATGCCATCACGGTGACTCAGGAGGGTCCAGGACACTGGGGCATGCTGGCAGAGGCATCCTGGCACCCCAAGAAAGCACCGGGAGGTTCCAGCCACAGTGAGGCTCAGGAGGCACAGGGCAGACTGGCTTTGGGACAGGGATCCAGGCTCAGGGGCTGTTCTTCCATGGACTCCACATCAGCACACGGTGGACAGTGGAGGGAACGGGTTCTGCTTGCTGACGACTAGCTTTTGGTGCTGATGGGATATGTAGCCCTTGATGTGGCCCTGGGGAGAGAAGGAGGTCAGCACATGCTGCCTACTGAGTCAGAGGGTGGAAACTATGGGGACCCAGAGCTCAAGCCACGCCCCTCGAGGGCTTCAGTGGCATTCCCTGGATAAAGTCAGCTCCATCAGAAACAACTTCCCACAGCCAAAGGCCCTGGCAGGGCGCACCCACCATGTAGATCAGGTTTGCCAAGATGCACTGCACTTCGTCCAGGTCCACATCCTCCACATGCATGAACTTCAGGGCCACCAGGAAGGCATCCAGGGACAGCTGGTGGGTTCTGAGTAGCAAGTACCTGGGAGAGGGGTAGAGTCACTGTAAGGAACATGGCGTCAGTTGTGTCAAGTGCGCGATGACATCACAGTGGACTGGCAGCCAAGGCAAGGAGTTTTCAAGAACTCTGAGAGCAACACACAAAGAAGCTGATTGGCTACACCCAAGAACAGATGGCCAACTACTACAGCAGGAATGACAGATAAGACAGCTGGGAATTCCCCACAAAACCACATATGAAGAGGAGTAGAAGAGCTGCTGATCAGACCGGCCTGGACCTGAACTCGTGTTCAGCAAGTGCCTCGGACTTGATGTGGTCTCATATTTGCGTGACTGACCAGGATCAGGATCTTGTGCCTGTCTGAGTGTGTCTTGTAGAGCAAGGGCTGCTATGAGTTGAGGTGCACTCCAGAGACAGTCTCTGCCTATGGCATCTGTTCTCATCCCTTGCTCTCTGGTAAGGTACTTTCGACAGACATGCCTGGAGGCCACATGGGTACCACCAAGAGGGGCCCAAGGCAAGCCAGGGGAAACCACAGCTTTTCATGAAGGAATAAAGACAGGTCCCACTGCTTACTCATGCGCTGCAGAAATTGGAGCTACTAAACAGAATTTTGACCATTTTAAAAACCTGCTAGGACAAGCAGCTTACATTTTACACTTACTGAGTACTTCAGTGAGTCAAGGTGCCTATCCCTTCACACGTTACTAGCTCGGAAGTGAGGATGCACCTTACTGGAGTGTCCTGGGGTTCCACTGCTGCTCGCTACGTGTGACAGATGATCCACACTACGCAGAAGACCTGCCCCTGCAGGAGCTTAATTCCCAGGGCCTGCCGGGCCGCGTCTGACCTCCCAGGACACAGACGGTGGGACAAAGGGAGGGCAAGGAGCATCGCCACCGGGGCCCCAGCAGCTAACACTTTTTTGAAGAGGTTCCTGTAGGTGATGATCTTGAGCTTCTCCAGAATGAGGAAGATGCCGCAGCGGATGAAGAAGGTCTCATGCCTGGCCAGCGCCTCGTGCAGCAGCAGCAGGTTGCCCTCACTGGGCACAGCAGAGGAAACGGGCGTGTGTGAGCACCGGTCCTCACGCCCTGCAGCCCCCACTGCCTCCCGGGGAAAGGGGAAACACTCACCTCACAGCTCTGGTCACCTCAGCGAACTGCATGAGGTGGTACTTTCTCAGCAGCTCCACGGTTGGCATGTGGCCCTGCAGAGACGAGGGGTGCTCCAGAGTGACCTTACCAGGGAGTCAGAATCCCAGAAGCGGAGAGGATGCCAGGGGAAAGAAACAGTGCTGGCCCGGGAGTTGGAAAACCAGTACACGGGGTTCCGTCATTTGGTGGCTGGGCCCTTGATCAGGACCTTCTCACCACAGGACGGGTGTGAGAAACAGAGCACACGCACAGGAGGCGGGGGTAAGAAACACCCAGGTGTTCCAGAAGAATCAGGGAGGAGAATTCAAGCCCCGGGCAGGTGGCCAGCCCAGCCACATGTGGGCATGATCCCATCCTCATTCACTAGTTGTTAGTTTGGGGTGGGAGAAAAGCAGCTCCACTGGGGTGAGGCTCTGGCAGCCGACTGACCAACTATGCGGCTTTCCTACTTGAGTATCGGACTGAATTCTGGGGACCACATGAGACACCTACAGACAGGCTGCAAGGCCAGTTTCCTTTCCTGGTTAACCCAACACTATGGGTTTAGGCTTTTAGGGAGAAATGTACACAGCACGGAAGCTCAGCTTCAGAGAGTTACTTTCAAGAGCACCGACACAAGCACCGCTCTCCTGGAAGGGCCGACGGCCAGGCACAGAGGGAGGCTGCTCACACGCTCTCCATTCTGCACGCTGTCCAGCCGCAGCCCCAGGACCCTGGCCTTCCTCGTGGTGACAGAGCTGCAGAGGAGGACCAGCCGCTCACCAGGAGCATCTTCACGGGCAGCAGGTAGATGAGGATCATCCTCTTGTTCTTCTGGCTGGAGCGGTGGCAGTGCTGGAAGGCGAAAGACAGGTACTCCTCGGCTGCCGAGCGAGCACACACGTCAGCCAGCGCAGCCGGCCCCGGGCACCACCCTCCTGCTCCCATCCTGCCCACACTTGCAAGGCTCCCTCGTGTCAAAGGGACCGCAACTGGACGGACTTCGCAACACAAAACAGATCTTCCTCGAGAGATTAACTCTACTGCCTGCAGAGCACAGACCTGCAAGGCTCCATGCGGGCCACCTGGGCACTGCCAGCACAAGGCAGGGCCGCGCTGCGTGTCCACCAGCCCTGAGGGTGTCCTGTCACTGGGCAGCACCAACACTGTCAATGCAGGGTGTGACTGCTGTCCCTCAGGGTTTGGGAAATGCATCAAACCACATTTTGCTTGGAAACAAAAATATCTAGAGGGGCATGAATCTCTGAAGCTATGAATTAATGAAAATGTGTAACAAAGAGCTGAGATGCCCCAAATATTCTTTACATATGTAATGTAAAAAAGTTACTGGAAAGAGCTGAAATCATTCCACTCTTCACAGCATCTCACCCACCTGGATGCATTCCAGGACTGCAGGAATTCCCAGTGGTAGCTGGGAAATCCAAGTCCCTGGGGCTGCCAGGGACAGGACACCAAGGCCAGAGCCACTGAGCCAGCGAGAGTCAGGGAGGGACAGTGGCATCTTTTACAAGAAAATCAGATTTGGGCGGACAGACTGGAAGGTGCCTTTAGCTCCGAAGGTTCAGAACTCTGGCTCTAGGGCACCAACCCCAACACATCGTGCCTGGTGTGCCAGGTCTTCACACACACCACTCAGCTGCTGAGGAAAACCACACTGACACCTTGGTGGACTTCAATGGGATTTAATTTAAAAGCATCTGCCTTATGCCTTCTGTGAAGAGGGAAAAGGAGAGGGGGTAAAAACCAAGGAAGGCCCCACTTGAAAAGCCTGACATCTACTAAAGATTTTGTGAGAAAACCTGAAAAGTCAGTCTGTGTAAGCCCAAGAGTAAAACACTGGTTAGCAATTGCTTCTGCCCACAGAGAGCCCAGCCCTCAGCAGAGGCGGGCAGCTGCATGGCCCCGGGTCTCTGCTGCTGGCTTCCCACACCTGAGGGGTGTTTGGTCCATGAACAGCTCAAGTGGCAAGCCTGAGAGTCTGGCCGAGTGCACCGAGGAGCACAAACATACAGCCCCTGCTGCCAACCAAAAGGTGACAAAGACAACACTGGTTCTATGGGCTGCAGAGCTGCCAGCATGAACTGAGGCAACCGTGCAGCCACGACGGCACCACATTGGCTCTTTGGAAAGCCACAAACACCAGCCAGGACCAAGGCCCAGCACACTCCCTGCTGCCTGCTGAGTCCTCCCACCAGGGTTTTAGGGAGCCCAAAGCAAAGAGACAGTCACTCCACTCAGAAACGAGCACCACAAGCCAGGCGTGATGACACGCACCTGGCGTCCCCACTCCCGAGGAGGCTGAGGCAGGACCATCACAAGTGTGACCCCTGCTTGGGCAGCTCAGCAACTTAATGAAACCCTGTCACAAAATGCAAAGTAGAAAAGGGCTGAGGATGTGACTCAGTGCAAAGGCCCTGCCTTCGATCCCCAGTACTGGAAAAGACTAAAGAAAAGAAAGATAAGGAAGACCATTACCATCACCCCAAGACTGGCCTGTGTCCTGGGGACGAGCATGGATTAAGAACCTTCAAACAGTTTCTGATTTCATCAACTCTGGTGTCTCCGCCCACACGTGCACCACCTCCACTAAGGAAGAGACAGTGCTGTTCTCAGACACTACCCAACTCCTCTGAGCTGGACAACACACCTTGCTTAAAGTCGCTGTCAAACATAGCCTTGCGCCCGACATAGTACTTGTATGTGACCCTCTGCGCTGTGCTGTAGTCGTCCTTCAGGTTCGAGCTGTCGATGGCACGGATGAGGGGCTTACACAAGTGCAGCTTGTTGATCTGAGGCACACACCAGATCCACGGGCAGAGGGAAGGACAAACAGAAGCGACAGCTTTACCAAGAGTGTGCCTCTCAGCCCTCCAAATTTAACAACAGAATACAACCAAGGCTGGCTAGTGGCCACACCGGTGAGGAGAGGCCCTGCCCTGACATGCAACCTTGTGCCTCAAAAATGATCTTTATGCACCCGGCCACCTCTACACCTGCACTTTCACAGAGCTGGTATCAGCCAGGACAAAAGGCTCCGAGGGAGCTGCCTGTACCGGAGTGGGGGTGGGGGGACTGGTCGCTTTACCAGAGCCCCTGTGCTCAACCCCAGGTGACAAAGCCGCAGTGCAGGTGGGAGGCAGGGGGGAGGCGCTCCTAGGCAACCATGAGCTCTGAGGATGACAAAGGCGGCTGTGCTCACCCCGAGCTGTGTCAGGGCAGCCAGCTGGTCAGAACAGAAACGACAAGAGAGAGAACTGGAATGTTACCTTAAAGTAGATCTTGAACAACTGATTCACAAGAAACAGCATGCCCCACTTCTTCGAGTCCTCAATGCCAGCACGGCTGTGGGAAAATGATGTTTCTGAAGTTATAGAGGAAATGAAAACTTCCTAAGTCACAAAATGAACTGCCTAACAATTACTATCTTGAGATTAAGTGCCACAGCTCGCGCCCTATTCACTAAATAAAATACTGTTACAAAAAAAGATGTTTTATCAAATAGGTAAATTTAAAAAATATAAAAGATCACCACAGAAAGTGTCACCCCAGCTGCGTATCCGGGTGCTCCATGGGCTGCACCAGCTGGACACAGCCTGCTCTGCCGCGGGGCGGTGTAGACAAATGGGCGTGGCCACGGCACATTTCCTCCCATCCTGAGAGTGGGCTTGTGAACAGCCAAGGAGGATGCGAGGGAGATACGGACAGAACACAGGCACACTGGCAGGGTCACGTGCACGAAGTCACCTAGGACACTCGTGCAGAGGGCGATGGCCAGGTCCTGACTGCAAGGGGCGACAAGAGGCCGTGCCTTCACAGGGCCGGGAGGCTGCATAGGTGGCGCACGGGTCAAAGCTCCACAAACACGGAGTAATGGCCTGTGTGGTTGGAGGAAAGCGGACATCGATGTTTGCAACTGACCCTGAAATACATTTTCAAGGGGGAAGAAAAAAGAAATTGAGGTGAAGAGAGGGATGGACACGAGGGAGACAGCAGAAGATCTGCACGAGTGCGCACAGCAGTGTGCACAGGATTGGAGTCCTGGGTCGCCACTGTGAGGCCTTTCCAACGTCACACTGTCCACGATGACACACTGAGGAGACAGATCCAAGGCGGCCAGACTTCCTCCCTGCCTCTGTGGGAGACGGCTGGCCAAAGCATGCAGTCTCGCGACACAGACAAGTGTGCGGGCAACGCAGCTCTAGCCCTGGCAGCAACACTGCTCCTTGGCAGCAAGCTGCACTCATCATAAAGCTAAATCCAGCTGCAGAGTGCCTTGCCGATAGCTGCTGTGCTGCTCTCTCATGAGCTGTGTTTCCCTGACCGGTGCTGTGGCTGGAGCAGGACCCCTGCTGCCTCCAGGTCTCCTCACCGTGAGTGTAAAGGGAGACGAGAGCACCGTTCTACCCGCACCAAGGAGTCACGGGGAAATCAGACAGCAGGAAGCACACAGACAGGACACCATACGAACGTAACATGCTGCCTGGCATCTGCAACCTGGCTGGCACCAGGGACAGGGACCTCTGTTGGAGACCTGAGACAGGTGAAGCCCCCAGGGACAGATGTGTTCCTTTGGCTTTCCTGTCTTCCGGGTCCAGACCCAGAAGCGGCACTGCCGGGGCCCCACGTGGCTCCAGGTCCAGCTCTCCGAGGACTCCACCCCCACCAGCAGGGCGTGAGGCTCCAGTTTCTCTCCTGCAGTACCGAGTCTCTGCCCATGGCCACTCCAAGGGGCAAGATGTGTGGCTTGCTGGTCCTGGCCTGCCTGGCACTGGGCACCTTTTCATGTGATTATGGACCTGAGTATCAAGTCCTTGCCTGGTTTCAAATTGCTTTGTCTTTTTACTGCTCAGTTGTAATAGTCCTTCTTATATTCCAGACACCAGACTGTTATCAGATATATTATTTGTAAATATATTCTGCACATTCTACATTTGCTTTTCACTTTTTGCTCATGTCCTTTAAACACCAGTATTTGGTCTTGATGAAGTCCAACTTAGCTGATGCTTCCCTCCAGTTCCTGTGCTTTTGGTCCCATGCTGGGAAGCCACCTCCTAATCAAAGGTCACAGAGACCACTGCTGTGAGGGAGTTCTCAGCTCCAAAGTTTCCAGTGTTCGCCTGAAACATTCATCAAGCTATTCTGTTGTGAGGGACATGATGCCGGAAGAGACCCAGCCCTCATGCACTCTGCAACGGATGAACATCAGATCCCCAGCGTCCAGTGAAGAAAGGCAGGGCACTGTGAAAGGTTATGGAAAAAAAGCCCGTTCACCATGGCGCTAGCTGGGAGAGGCCTGGAGAGAGCTGAGACCCTCATTCATGTGGGGACAGTGGGGAAGGCCAAGGACGCCCAGACAATGGAAAGAGCTCTTGGAGAAGTTCAGTGGGAAGCTCCTCAGAATGGGAACTGATTTTCTCAAGTCCAGGTGTGTCTGGAATGTTCTGAAGGGAGCTGTTACCATTTGGATCTAGACGTACCCCTAAAGCCTCTTGTGGTCATAGGCTTGATCTGGAGTGTGTGAAGCTGGAATTGATTCATAATGCAATAGGCTCGAGGGCACTAGTATTAAGGGTATGAGTGCTACTGCCCTAAGTAGTGTGAATAAGACAAAAGGGGCAGAGAGACGCTGTTAGACTCTCTTGTTGCCATTGCTACCTTGTGCGCGCCATGTTGTTTCTCCTCTGCCATCCCTGTTTGCCATCCCTGCCTTGGAGCCAGCTGATTATGGACTGAAACGTCTATGAACTGTCAGCTAAATAAACCCTTCCCTTCCAACTTTTGGTGTTCAGTATTTTGTCTCAGCAATGAGAGAAAAGTAACTAATACAGGAGCTGAGTAGGGAAGAAAGGGGAGAGGAAGATGCAAAGCTGGATGAGTTTCTGAGAACTGCAGGTTTCTGCTTTAGATGTTTAGTATTTCTGAGCACGCCGGTGGCACATCTCTGTATCCCAGCTACCCAGGAGGATCACACATCAATTTGAGGCCAGCCCAGGCAAGTTAGACTGCATCACAAAAGAACCCAGGAAAAATAAAACTCTACACACATACTTTCCTATATCTCATAATCAAATAAGTGTGATTATAGAATGGGTGAAGAGCTGGAGTTTTAGGAAAAAGATGTAAACTCTAAAGTAGAATCAGACAAAATCTAGAACTGAAAAATAAATATGGCAGCTAAGATCAGCCATCTTACAAGCAGATCAATACAAGTTACTCAAAATGAGGAGAAAGATAAAAATAAAAGGATGTTAAGACTTTAACATTTAAAATCTAATATAATGCCATCAACTTACACATCTAAGAAGCTCCATGACCCTAAAGAGGAAGAAAAGAAAATGAAGCAGGAGGCGCAGAGCCAAGCTACCGCAAGCTGAAGACACAGCAAAGCTAGCTCAAGGACAAGAGCACTGTGTTCCAGGGAGAGGCTGGCCTGGAAAAACAATCTCCATCCAGCACCCTTGCAAGCTGGACCGGGTCTGAGACAGGAAGGTTCGCTCGGTGGGCTTGCCGCCAGAGCCACGTGGCTCACACAGCGCAGAGGACGGTAATGTGAGGGCCCAGAGCCGCACCAGGAAGTGCCAGGCGCAGGGAGCACAGCTGCAAGACAACTGTCTTCTTCCAGAAAAAGCACGGTGAGGTACGTGCACCTAACAAACGTCGGCAACAGGCCGAGGACAGAGGGCTGACCCTGGCAGGCAGGGTGCAAACCACACTCACGTGTCACTGGCGCAGACTCGGAAGCAGCTCATCAGCAGCTCGGCGGCTTTCTCCAGCATGTCCCCGACTTTGCTTTTTCCTTTTTTTACCAACTGCTGATCAGCCTACAGAACATAAAAACAGCTACTTTTGAAAGCAAAAATGGGTAAAACTAAGCACTGGAGTCCCAAAAGCTTTCGGAGACATCAGCTAGTACATAAACACTCCTTAACCCATGAGCAGTGCCCACTTCACCCCAACCTGTCCGCAGCTGTGGCGCACTGCCTGCACCCTGCGCCATTGGGTGGCTTCCTCACCTCGTCTCTCGCTTCCTTTCTCTTACAGTGGCAGTCAGAGCCCTTGAAACAAAACCTTCTGGGATTTACATTGTTACTAAGTGCGACTATTGTTTTTCAGATCATCTTGGTTAAAGAACGAACATGTCTTCTCCGAGCCCTGCTCTTGCCAACAGCCCATGTGGTGACAGCCACTATCACGACAACCCTGGGCCACTCTCCACTGTGCTGACGTCTGTGCCCATGGGGCAGGGGAGGTGTGCAGGCCTCTGGCCACACCCCATCTCACTGCCCTCAGCAAACACCTGTGCCCTCCATCCAGTGAGAGACTGGGGTTCATGGTATTTTGTGATAGCGGCCTGCACAGAGAAAGAGACCAGCGATACCACAAGGCCCTGCACAGGTAAAAGATCCACTCAACATGGACACACCCACGGATTTTAATGCCAAAAGGTTCACTGCTGTGCTTGGGAGGCCACACTGTAACTTTTAAAAGACTGCCTCCTGGAGTTTTGATATAGTTTCCAAAAAGAATCGTCTACAATGATCTGAAAAGGGTACAAAATACCCTTTCCCTAAAGACTGACTCCGGTCCACAAATGTCCTCGGTGCTTCCAACAGAACACCCCCTTGAGTGGAGTCCGTGCAGAAGCCACAGACTCCAGAGGTCTCTGCGACAGCTAAGCATCAGAAACTTCAGATACACACGCCCTCTTCCTATCACTTTCTGTCTCTCCTGGAAATATAGTTAGCTTTATTATAAAAATCAGTGACCCTACCACGGAAAAGCTTTATCGTGGTTATTTTAAATGAATATTTAAGTTTTTCCCAGTGAAAATGTCAACTATGTAAATATAAAAGGATATGATGGAAATGAAAGTTCTCTAGGGTCCTCAGTTACACTCTTTTCAGTCTAAAATTTCCATCTGGTTCTTTTTTATATCTATTTTCTCCCTGAGACTTGACATGTTTCAAGCATGTTCATATTGCTCACTGAAGCATTTTTAAGATGGTTAATTTTTTTTATTTGGTACTAGGGATCAATGCAAGGGGTGCTCTCCACTGAACTGTATCTCCATCTGTAAGATTTCACTAAGGTGCCCAGACTGGCCTTGGACTTGCAGTCCTCCTGCCTCAGCCCCCGACTGGCTGGGAGTACAGGTATGTGCCACCACACCTGGCATGATGGTCACTATAAAATCCTGGGCAGGTAATTCCAACAGCTGTTGTCTTCCCAGCACTAGAGTCTGTCAAACATCTTTTCTCATTCACAACTCAAAAAGTTGAGACTTCCCGGTCCGCGGTGTGCTCAGAGACTTTCCACTGCAGCACATGCTCAACACCCAGGTGTTACGCTGTTCCTGCTGCTGCCCCAGGTCTCTGCCGACTCAGCTCTTGGGAGAGCAGAGGCCCCAGCTTGCAGCCCTTCCTTTGCCAACAGGGCCTGTGGTGCAGTACCTGAGTCGGGCAGGAGCGCCGTCCACCGGCCTGCATTCCCTGGAGCTCTCTGCTTTGGCCTGAAGACAACTCCAGGTCTGGGGTTCCCCAGCACCCGGTCCCCAAGAGACAGGACAGGAAACCCACTGCACTCAGAGTCCCAGCACTTCTGCTCTCACCAAAGGGCTTCAAACCAGAGCACAGGGGCAAAGAGGGAATTCTTTTCTCCATCAGATCCAGATTCAGAAATCTATCATCATTTTTAAAGCTGTAGGGGATCCAAGAACAAAAACAGGGAAACCACAGCTCCGCACCAGTTTATGCTGACCCCAAGGGAAAGCTGCCTCCATAAAATCCATGGCTTTTTTCCTTTCTGCCACAAAAGCCTTCCTGCTTCCTGAATCTGCATCACGTTCCAGGGCCTCAGGAGGGACAGGCCACATCTGGCCAATAAGAGAGTGGTTCCACCCTTCACGCATATGTCTGGGCCACAGGTGGTTACCTGGCTGCAGAACACCTGCCTCTTTTCACCACAGGGTGAAAATCTGAGCAAAGCCGTTGGCATCAACCTGGAGGAACAATTGGCCAAGCCACCTCCTGTTCTTTGGCTCCCATGCCAGATACATCCCAAGTCCCACTCATTCTTGGAAACTTTGGGGAAGAAAAACACGAAACGAAGCAGTAGTGACTGAGCTTCAGTCTTAAAACAACATGTGAGGAGATCAGACTTACATTATTGGCAAACACTCGAAGGTCTAGGGCCACCGCATACATGACAGGGAGAGCCCTGCAGACAAAGAACACATACGATGAGGCATGCAAGGAGAACCCCAGCACGGGGTGGCAGAGCACTGCCACCAGGCGTCTACTCCTCGCCCTCCACCTGGGCAGGCTGCAGCCGGCTCCGTAGCCAAGCTTGAGGCTGGACCCACTGCCAGCTCCACACACTGGCCCGACCTTGTGTGGACCCTAAGGGGTCCTCGGGCTCCTGGAACACCACTCTTCCCTCCCACACCCCACCACCCACAAACAGCCCTGTGTAGAATCATGTGGTATTCAGGTTTCCTAACAGGAACCAGAGTGTAACGTGCACCATGCCATAAGACAGCCTTCTGTACATCCAGGGCTACACAGGACTTCTTGTGTGTAAGCAGAGTGTCCACTCGGCAAGGAAAAAGGGCCGGGCTGTGTGTAAAAGGCCCTCAGCCGTTTTGGTATAAACAAAACTTAGATGCTAACAGTTTGTTAGTAAACCATGAATCTTAAAAATAAAAAGTAGGAGCCGGGCATACTGGCACATGCCTGTAATCGCAGCACTCAGGAGGCTGAAGGAGGAGGAACGAGGTAAATTCAAGGCCAGCCTGAACTACACAGCAAGACCCTGTCTCAAAAACCAACAAACGAAACGAACAAAGAAACCCAGTAGTTTGTCAAAGAATTTTAAATAACCCAACTATTACGCATATCAAATGAACTGTAGTTGGTCTACCTTTTTTATCTGAAGTTTAAAACAAAAAGTAAGCTCAAAATTGACAAGTGAAAGAAAAAATAGTTTTTAATCAATACTTAGGGGCATGAGAGTGCTGAAATAAAAATACTTCATACAGGGCCGGGGATTTAGCTCAGTGGTTCCGCCGCCTGCCTGGCAAGTACAAGGACGTGAGTTCGATCCCCGGTACCAAAAAAACAAAAACACCTTCATACGGAAACACTGCAAATAACCTGGCTGATCTGCCACTTAAATTTACATAGCTACCGTAATTCTATTAGCTGTGTTGGTACTATCATATGCCAACATACTTTTGTATTAAATATCCACATAAAAAACGTAACACACCTTTAAAACAAAATTTTACAAAGCTCTGTTTTTTAAAAAATGTCACTTGCTGGGCCAGGGATTTAGCTCAGTGGTTCCGCCACCTGCCTCAAAAGTACAAGGTCCCGAGTTTGATCCCCGACACCAAAAAAAAATGTCACTTGCTAATTTCTAGCTGCTTTCAGGCACACTCACCAGTTCTCCTCCTTGTGGGCCTGAAATGCCCGCAGGAAGGACGTGCAGGGTTAAGGAAGGCAAGTCACAGTGCTCAGCCAGGATGCAGACGATGTGAGCAGAGCGCAGGGCCCCACACTTGAGGGTATGCGTGGCTCACCAAGAGCTCAAGTGTCGCCACAGCAGGGCGTTCTTCAACACAAGGGCTGAGTCCCCACTGAAATATCTGGGCACCACTAAGTCTACATGTACTAAATACTGTATGTTCTTTCATATGTACTTCCCCAAGTGAGACTGTCTCACCAGACTTTAAAATTTGTTTGGTCTCTCTGAGCCCAGACGGTCACAATTATTTTTAAGTGCTTCAGAATCTGTAGTTTAAAGTTTATTTCATTGACTCTAGAACCCTTGGATTCCAAGATTTGCCTAGTAACCCACTCTCTTCTGGGTGTATTCCAACAAGATGGTCTTACAAAAGCACACTATGATCTAGCCACATACAAACACAGCAGTCCCTGATGAGGGCCCAAGCCCTCGACTGTCAGTTATCTGCTCCCGTGGTAGGACATGGCTTCACAAAGGCTTCAGTGACCCTGGAATGAGGACATGTGCCTCCATCCACTACATCCATGAGGCTTGGACTTCAGATGCTTCACCCCAGGAATGAGCCAGTCCCGCAAACTAGACTTAATGCCCTAAAGGCAATCGAGTGTGATTCTTCTCCAAAGAGTGAAATGGAAACCACCCTCTCAGCCAGTGGTCCTCCCTGCCAGGTAGTAACTGGATGCATCTTAAGATCCATGCAAACTCAGCTGCCCAACGAAACAGCTAACATGAGTCTCCCTTCCAGTACATTCAGTTCTTCTAATGGCAGGTTTGAATAACTAGCCCAATGTTTCAAGGTCTTGAGCCCCAGTAGCCCACTGTCCCTGTCGCCCCTGCACATCTTCACATGTGACAAAGGATATTGGACTATCACCGTCTGGCACTTGTATGCCTCTATGAAGTCATGGTTCCCCACTGCGTACGTGCACCTGGAAGACAGACGTCACCACCAATGAGTGGCGTCAGAAAGAAAACCCAGATGGCAACCATGTCGGTCACATAGCTCAGTTCTGCAGACACCTCAATTCTCCCTGGGCCTGGAGGGAAAGCTGGGGCTCTACTGGGCAGGCAGCAAAAGGTGTAGGGGAGGACACACACGACTGCATGGGCCCACACAGGATGATGTGTGGTGAAATCCCACACAGCATGTTAAGACCCCCACCAGGATCCAGAGGAGCTGTCCCAGCAGGACTGAGCACCACGGACAGGTTGCACACACAGCCCGAATGCTGTGCTGGGGCCAGCCCAAGTGTCCTGAGAGGTAGAGCCAGTCAGTTCACCCTCTAACCTGACACCCACAGGGCTGCACAGAGCTAGGTGCTCATGCTCAAGGGACATAGGGCACCAGGTCTCCCAAAGACTCTCAGGCTTGTGGGGCTTCCCTGCCCACAACCACCCCAGCCCACATCCAGCCTGCTCTGCAACACAACAGGCATGCGGGCAGGAGAGCAGCCAGACCACAGGGCTCCGGGACACAAAGCCCTGCTGGGCTGAGGCTCTAGAGGTGAAAACCGCAGGTATAAAGTGCAGTGAAAGCAGTCATCATGGGTGGCGGACACAGTTTGGTGGTGGCAGAACTGCTCAGCAGGCACCACACTGGGCTCGACCCCTCGCACCAGGGTTAAAAACAAAAACAAAAACAAAACACAGCGCTGTTGCTGCTGTTTTGCTTTGCTCAACTCCAGTTTCTTTCCCAGCAAGGCAAAGAGGTTAAAAACAAACACACTTAGTCAGGTACGGTGATGCATGCCTGTAATCCCAGCTACTTAGCAGGCTGAGCCAGGAGGAACAAAGTTTGAGGCCAGGCTGGGCAACTTGGCAAAACCCTGTGTTAAAATAAAAAAGGGCTGGGGATGGAGCTCAGTGGAAGGGCACTTGCCTACCTGGGTTCGGGCCCCAGTACAGACAAATACATAAACAACAAATAAACCACAGTTCTGTGAAGGAGGCAAGTCCTCTGCCAGGCCCCGCCCTCTGTGATAAAGACCATGGCCCAGTCTGTGTGGTAAACATCCAGGGCCTCTCTACAGCAGGATACAGCAGCCACACAAAGCTTTCTCTTTACCAACATCAGATCACAAATGCACTTTCCTACTTTTCCAGAGTCACATATTCACCCTTTCCAACATAAGATGCTGGCAGGTGAAATTCCTACTCAGCTCAGTCATTTTCAGCTGTGTTTTTGTGCTTCGCCACTGTATTACCTTAAATGAGCTGCAAACATTTCATCATAAGGGGGTTCCAAAACTTGCTGACATTTCTCTTCTGGAGAAGCCATCTGATTAATAAGAAAAATAGTGAAATTTAAAAAATGGGTTCAGAAAGAATGCAATGTAGACAAAGAGTTAGACAAACATTAAAACTTCAGTTTAGCCAAGCATAGTGGTACACATCTATGATACCACCACGCTGGGAAGCTGAGGCAGGAGGATTGCAAATTCAAACTGAGCCTGGGCAACTCAGTGACTCAGCTAATACCCTGTGTCAAAAAAATAAGGGGACCTGGGGATTGTAGCTCAGTGCAGTGGTTCTGGGTTCACGGGCTCAATCCACCATACCGGAAAACAAAAAGCAAAACCTTCACAGTTCACAGCAATACTGTAAAATTTAACACTTACAAAAGGCTTATGACTTCAACAATGTTTATCAATATAATATTTCAAGGAAACAAGAAGCTCACAAATACAATTCAGTTTTGTCTACCACAGTCCAGAAAACATTCCAGCCCCTTTCACGTGTTTTTAGTATCTCGGAGCCAATCAGGAACTCTTCATTGAGCAAGTGCTGAGGGTACAGTAAGTAAGACACCCAGTAGCTTCCATGATCAGGCCTAACAAGTCAGGGATGCTGTCCTAGGAGTGAGCATGCCACAGCTTCCTGGAGGGAGCAGTGTCCTGGCTGCTAGGCAACAACAATTCTAAGGCTCTCTTCCTCCCAACAGCCACATTTCAGGTACTTTCAGCACCACAGTGCGTGATGGCTGATGTACGTGTCACCTCCACGGTCAGGGCATGTCAGACTACGCATGGCTATCCTCCAGGCCATCTGGGACGCACCCCTCTGAGATGCCACCTGAGCCAGTGGTCCCAGCCAGTGTGGGTGGGCACTGGCCAACCTGCCAGGGGCCGGACCAGAGCCAGCATGGAGGTGGCAACTTCCCACCTCCATAACCATGAGCCCAGTTCCTTGTGGTACATCTCCCTCACCAGATGTGGATACACACACCTGTAAGTCCAACTACTAGGGAGGGTAAGGCTCTGGGTTTGAGCCGCAATACCACACACATACCCCTTTCTCTCTCTCTCCATGTACACAGACTCTCTTTCTCTGGGGGCTCCTGACAAACACATAATAGATTACAGAGAACTGAAAGAAAGCCAGGAACAGATTAGTTCTCATTGATATGGCAGACACACACATTTCCACACACAAAGAAGGGGAGGGAGGAGAATGACAACATGAAGAAAACACATTCTACAATCCATAAAGGAATAACTGCTTCAGACAGTGGCCATATGAAAGGCTACACGGGTCCGGACGGACCACACAACAGGAAGCACGCAGCCCCGGGAGTGGGGTGCCCTGGCCAAGCCAACCTGAGTGGCACCGTTGCCCTGGCACCTGTGTCCAGGGCTCTCGGTGCAGGTGATAGAGAAGCCTGTCACTACCCCAGAGGCTGCCTTACTTGGTCTGGACTGCAGTCTAGACAGGGCCATGCAGATTCCTGGCCCCACGGTTTTTTCTAAAAACTTTGCTCCCTGGGGTGGGGATTTAGCTCAGTGGCACCATGCCCGCCTCGTAAGAGCAAGGTCCTGAGTTCAATCCCCAGTACTAGAAAAAAGAAAAAGAAAACAAAACAAAATAAGACTTTGCTCTCTGACAGGAGCACACTCCAGTATTATAGGAGAACCTAAGGAAATGGGGCTTTGTAAAATGTCAGTGTGCCCTGAATAGACTGTTCCTGGCTTCCTCTGAGTTCTCTGTAACCTTCCAAGCTGAGGTGTTCTTTCAGTGTACAGAAAACACTGCTTGGCTCTCACGTAAACCCTAAATCAAGGGCGCTGTGCCTTCACACAGGGCTGGCAGATGCTCTCACAGAAGCCCACTTTGCTGGCCTGGTCCTGCGGCTGGGCACCTGGGCCTAAAGAACACCAACGCTGGCAGTTGTGGCTGCACTGACGGCCCGGTGGTGACTGGGGGACACAGCTGCAGCACAGATGGCTCCCAGGGCTGTGAGGAGGGACGGGTCTGGACAGAGCCACACCCAGGGCCTGTCTGCTGGACGCCCTGATCTGCGCACGCCTCGGGTCTCCAAACCCCAGGGAGCTCTGAGGGAAGCTAAGTGCAGGAACGCAAGGCACAGGCTCCGTAAGTGAAATGGTGTCGCGTAAAGCATAAAGAACTTCCACGTTTTTAAACAAAAGCGATGATATGAGTCTTCTTCTAACTCCAAACGACCTGAGAACTGGCCACCTGAAGTTCCCTCTGGTGCCTGGTGTTCAGGGCATCACCAACCTGCAGCCGGGGGTTTGCCACATGAGGGTGCTGGAAGGACACCAGCTCTGCGCACGACGCTCCATCTCGGGTGTCGATCGCTTCATACACCTGCAATATGCCAAAGGGAAAACCTAAGCAAAAGAGAACACTCTGTTCTCCCAGGACCTAGCAACAGGCTGCACACCACAGAGATCAATCTCCCCTACTCGGAAAGGGGCCAGGATCACTCGGACACAAGATGTCCACACTCAAGCCAGGAACAGGAAACTCATTTCCAAATGCGTCTCCTGAAGGCAAGAAAACAAGGAAAGCAAGAAAGCCAGAGAAGCAAGATAGGTTAGTGGCCCACTACCTGGTTATTAACAAAGGCGATATTCTAGTTTTATTTAGTCACACTAATGATAGATTTGAAAATTCACTTATACTGAGTAGCTTATGAAAAAACTCAGCTTAAAAGCGGTGTGCCGTGGTATGCTTGGGTATTCCTAGCTACTGGGAGGCTGAAGCAGGAGGATGGCCTGAGTCCAGGAGTTCAAGGCCAACCAGGGTAACACCCTGAGATACCATCTTAAAATCAAGCAAGCAATAACAAAAGCTTGAAAAAATATATATTCAAAATTCAAAAGGCATCTACTCAACCTAAACATAAAAGAGAAAGGAATATGGCTAAATGAATGCCATCATGCTCACATGACAAGATACCTGCTGAGAGTGGAACAGGCCCACACGCAGCAAGATGGGAAAGTCCCTGGTGTGCTGACTGGTACATGGGGAGACGGTTCACTGCAGGGAAACTTCCTGATTTGGCTCTGCAGAAAAAAGAGCAGGACCGTGCGGATCGTGTGGGCACAGGGAGCAGCAGCACAGGACCACACGCCAGGCCAACTGACCACAGGAGCCGCCCAGGGGAGGGCAAGAGGACCTACTTTACGCACTGCTGAGTGAAGAGAAGCTAAGCGTGTAGCTGCGTCTGTAGTATAGTAACAGAACCGAGCAATAGTAAGTTACACATGAAAACTTGGAGCCCATAGGGATTTCTTCCCTTGCCCAGGCTGCTCTACCACTACTGGGCTCAAGCGCTCTTCTCCCCTCAGCCTCCTAGTAGCTGGGACGCAGGCACAGAATGGCACCCCAGCCCACGCGTGGGACCCTGACCAGGAAGCCATTTATAACAAGGGCATCCAAAAGGCTAGAGTCCCGAAGGCTCTAAATAGTGTCAGCTACGAGTGACAAGACACAATTCCCTATGTGCCCACCAGGATCTGATGCTCTTGGACATACGACGTGGATAGGTAAGTCAGAAAGAAACACCTTTAAGACACAGAACCCACAGAAAGTCAGAGTGAGCAAGCCAGTGCGCTGAGAGTGTCATCTGCTTCCCTCGGGGTGGCAGGGCTGGCCAGCGCTGTGCTTGCTAAGCTGCAGGCTTCACAAGAGAGGGTCGAGCTGCACAGCAGTCGTCACAGCCTGGGGAGACCCATGCTCGATGCCCGAGGTACAGTTTCTTTTGAGCGCACCATAAAGCTGAGAGATCGCCGGGCCACCATGTGTGGTTAGAATGACCAAGGCTGCAAGAACACACAGCTACCATGCTAGTGGGGAAAGGTGATGCAGGCAACCCAGGACCTGGTGTTCCCCTGAGCCAGCATTCCTGTGCCCAGTGGTATCTACACCCAGAGGAATCCCCCTGCCAGACCCTGCTGCATGGCCCCATCATACAGCAGCCCCAGCACACAGGGAGGGCTTGGACTCCGACTTCTCAGCCAAAGCACAGGGGTGAGGAATTTGCCTCACAGCTAATCTATCATTTGAATCTAGGAAACTGGTTGAGGACACTACCAAACGGCTGTTCAAAGGCACACCAGGCCATCATCTTACACATGAGGAAAACATGAGCTGAGAGGGGACAATCCCCAGAATCTACACTCCAGTGAGAGAGGAAACAGAGTGCTGCTTCTCGTATGAGAATGAAGGAAATACAAGAAGAAACACGCAATTTGTGTCTGTGCTTATGCATCACATTCACACTTCAGAGAAGACAGAGGAAGGAAAAGGCAGATCGACCCAGAGCCATTCTGCAAGGCAGTGAGAGATGCTGGCAAGTTTCTGAGCATGCGCTTCAATATCATGTTCCTTAAGAACATAGCCAAGAGACATGATGGAAGAAAGTCAGCCATATAACTGAACACAAACAGAAACATATGCACATAAACAGATGCCAAATGACAGCATAGCCACACAGAAAGAGAACATAAGGAACTTTTAAAGCCAGGTGGGGTGGTGCAGGCCTGTCATCCCAGCACATGGGAGGCTGAGGCAGGAGGACTGCCACCAGTTTAAGGCCAGCCTGAGCTACATAGTGAATTCAAGACTGGCCTGAACTACACAGTGAAACCCTGTCTCAAAAAAACAAAAAAAGAAATATTTGAACACCATCCTTTGTGAGATTTATTACAAAGATTTCAAAATCGCAAACAAACAAAAACACCTGAATTTTGCTTGGAGGCAGTGGTGGTGACACTGGCGTCCTAATCCTGATGCTGCCTCATGAGGTCACTGGCCATTGCTGCAGTGAGAACCTGTCTGGGCAGGGGCAGGAATGGTTGAAACACAGAGGAAGAGACAAGGAAGAAGTCATGACTCTGTGACACGTCACAGGCATCTAGGCCAGGCCACAGGCTTGTGCCCTCAGAGAAACAGCAGATCCCGCCCAGCCGGCCCCACATCCACGCAGCGCCTCGAGGGCACAGCCCACTAAGGGCCGTGCCGCATCCCCTTCTCACCAGCTCCACACATCACTGTGCGCTCTGTGCACCGGCCCGAGCATGAAGAGAACACAGCCACAGAACAAGTCTCTTTCCTCACAGCCCTGCACAGGCCTGGGAGGTCATCCGAAAGCAGGAGGCCACTGAGGGCCCGGGAGGGGCCAGGGTCCCCACAAAGCCATCAAGCTGCGCGTTCAATGTGTCTGCGTCCTCATCAGCAGGGTGAAGGTGACCCAGACAGGGCAACACTGCTTCTTCTGCACAGGGTTGCCCGTGTCCTGGGCCCACACAAGAAAAAATGCCAGGTCCAGCCAGAAATGAGCCTCTGGGGTCCCCTGGCCAGGGTGGCAGTGCCAGGAGGAACGAATGAGATGATGCAGAGCCCAGAGTGACAGTGGGCAGCCTCCTTCCCGGGTCTGGGCAGACACACTGGACCTCTCCTTCCCCTCATCACCTTGGCAAGAGCTAACACTACTGACAATCTGGCCAGATCCTGGTCTGCAGGGCTCCAGAGCTGGTTTAGTCATTCTAGCCCCACAAGCTCGAGCCTTCTGAAGTCAGCCTCCATGGCAACTTTGGCAGGCGTAGGTCCACAGAAACACCAATGGGAACCAGAGCTCCCTGGAAAAAGGGCTGACTCCAGGACTGAGGCAGGGAAAAAACTGGGAAAGCCTGAAAGAAAGAGCCTACCAGAAAAGGCTCAAAGAAGGATGGGGACTGTTTAAAGAGCCAGAGAAACCAGCAGAAGAGGTGCTGAAGAAGGGACAACTGGAGCTTCCAAACAAATAATGATGGTGTATTAGTCAGCTTTGCAGTCACTGGGACAAAATACCTAACACCCCAACTTAGCAGGGTTTTTTTTTTTTTGGTACCAGGGATCAAACTCGGGTCCCTGTGCTTGTGCAGCAGGCGGCGAAACCACTGAGCTAAATCCCCGGCCCCTTAGCAGTTTATTTTGACTCAAGATTTCAGAGGTTTCAGTCCACAGTCAGCTGGCTCCAAGGCAGAAATGGCACAGCATTCATCGTTAATTTCTAATTCCTAGTCTTATCATCATCCCAAACTATTCTCACTCATAATTAAAGAAAGAATTCTCAGAGTGCTCCTCTGAGAACACATGACGAAGAGGAGAGGTGCTTTGATGAGAGAGAAGGAAATAAAATTTAGTCTGGCGGTCCACAATGAGTAACTACTGCTCTCTAGAGTGAGGCCTGCGTGTTGGCAACATTTTTCTGCCTGCCCCTTTGACCACACTTCCCTTTTCTGTTGGCCTCCACTCACCCAGTCAACAACTTTCCTGAGCCACAGTGCAAAAGCAAGAAAGACAAGGCTATTAGTTTCATGGAGCTAAGTTTTAGACAGAAAAAGAACAAAAAGAAAAAACTGTCATGAAATTAACAAGAAAATAAAACCACACAATCAAGATAAGGCTTCTCCTGAATTGAACCATCAAGGAAACTCTCTCTGTGCACGTGACATTTCAGCTGTGACCTAACAGCTGCAGCCGACACCACCAACTGCTCCCCCAGTTAATCAAGTCCCTTTCCCTTTCCTTAAACCAGCAGAGCCCAGCCCCAGGAATACAGGCCCCAAATGACAACCCCTGGTCTCCCAGTTTCCCTTGCAGCAAGGGGTGACATCATTCTAAACGATCCGAAGTTCGAGTAGAGGAGAGGGTTTCTAGACACATTTTCTTCCCTCATGGAAAGCCAGGGAGTGTGAAGACAACATATTCTTCTCGTGCTGGTCACAGAAGTCACTGCTACCATACGCTAGCTGAGGGGAGACCACCAAGGCAGCCAGACGAGAGCAGAGAGGTGGTAAGGTCCTGGGTCCTTGATGACAAAGCTAATGCTAAACCAAGAGTCATACACAGGCCGCGTGCTCCTACCATTCACCGGCCTTGGTCAGAAACACTGTAAACATAGCTACCAAAAGATACGAGGAGTGCTGCAGGCGAACACAGTATAACTACACGGAGGCTGTGACCAGTGGCTCCTAAGGGCTGGGTGGGTAGGCCGGGAGCGGAATCCAGGTGGGGCCTATGGGAGGATCCGAAGGGAGCAGGGGTCCTGGCAGGGTCTGCGGTTGGGTCGGAAGGGCGGGGCGGGTCTGCAGGGAGCAGCGGCTCCGGTGGTCTACGGGCCCGCGGGCCCCCATACCCTCCCTCCCAGCAGACCCTTCTCGCCCTGCCCGACTCCGAGATCCGCTGCCTATGGGCCGACACGGAAGCAGAGCCGCGGAACCCACCTGCTGCAGATACTGGTTGATGGTGATATGCGCCATGGCCGTCGCCAGCTGTCGCGGGCGGCGAGCGTCACTTCCGGCGCGCGTCCATCCCCCACCGGGCCCCCGGGCGCCACTGCCTGAGTACTTTGGTTCCGGGTGGGGCGGCGAGCCCGAGCCCGGAAGGGGAGTGCGGCCGGGCGCTGCCCCGGGGTGCGCGCGCCCGCGGGCTCGCAGATCTCAGGGGCCCCGGAGCGGATGTCCGCGAAGGACCGGCCCCGCGCGCTCTGAGCCCTCCAGGACGCCGGCGCGCCCAGGGCGGGCACGGCGGCGGTTGGCGCGGGCGCGCGCACGGACGGACGAGGGCGGGGCGGAGCAGGCGCGGGGCGGGGCGGCCGAGCCATGGCGGACGAGGGCCCGCGGAAGGGCAGCGTCTCGGCGCTCGTGGGCCGCACCAACGGCCTCACCAAGCCCGCGGCGCTGGCGGGGGGCGCAGCCAAGCCGGGGGGCGCGGGCGGCTCCAGGAAGCTGGTCATCAAGAACTTCCGAGGTGGGGCGCGGGTGCAGGGGGCGCGTGGGCCCGGCCTCCGAGTCCCCGGCCTCCCTGGTCCTCCATTCCCGGCCTCCCCCCAAGTCCCCGCCTCCCAGGGTCTTGATAACCGATCTCCCTAGTCTCCGGCCTCCGGGGCCCCGGCCTCCCCGCTGGCACCGGCCTCCCCGCTGGCCCCGGCCGCCCAGTCCCCACGGCCGCTGACCCTCCGTCCCCACAGACAGGCCGCGGCTGCCCGACAACTACACGCAGGACACGTGGCAGAAGCTGCACGAGGCGGTGCGGGCCATCCAGAGCAGCACGTCCATCAGGTACAACCTGGAGGAGCTGTACCAGGTGAGCCCGCGGGTGTACCCAGGCGGAGGAGGAGGTCGTGTCCTCCGCGGTCTTGCGAGAGAAAGGTTGGAGCCGAGCCGGGGCCCCGACGGCCTCCACCCGCGCGCTCAGTCCCTGCTGGAACTCCACCGAGAACTCTAATACTGTACACACTACTGCTTCACTTGCTCCCAGAGCGTTTTTCGGCCTCTTTGTTGTACCTTGTGGTTCATTGTTGCAGACTAGGTTGCAGATTTTGTTACAGGTACACTGAAAATAGTGACACTATTTCTAAGGGAAAAAATGGCCAGAAGTACATTTAGCTGTTTGGATATTTCACTCAAAGCAGACTTTTTGGGTCATTTTATAAAGTAATGCTTCGGTAAGTATTCTAATTTTACGTTTTAGGTAACGAAAGCACATAGTTCTGTTAAAAGGCTTGAATTTAAATTTTTCTCCCGTTTAGACAAATGAGTACATTTAAAAAATTGTAGAAAGTACAAAAAAAGAAACTTTTTTGGATAGTTGCCTGTATTTCCACCACCCAAAGAAAACTACTACAGCTTGAGCATCCCTAATCCAAAACTCTGAAATTCTCCAAAGTCCAAAATGTTTTGTGTGCCAGCATGATGGCATAATTTGGAGAGTTCCAGGCCTGACCTCATGTGACAGGTTGCAGTCAAAACACCAGGGTGGTAAAAATTTATAAAATTGCCTTCAAGGTATGTGAATGAGGCGTATGTGAAACATAAGTGAATTTCACATTTAGACTTGGATCCGGTCCCCAGAGTGTCTTGTTATGTATGTGTAAATGTCATAAAATCCGGTAAAACCTGAAATCCAAAACACTTGTGGTCCCTGTACCGAAGTTTGGTGCACATATATCCATTCTTTATATGTGAGTTGATTATATTTTTTAATCAGTTTTATTAAGGTGTCATTTACGTTTAACATGCACTCCAGTAGGTTTGAACAGACATAGAGCTATTTCCAGCACTGCAGTCAGGATATAGAGTATTTTCATTACCTAAAAACTTCCCCAGCCCCCTGAGGAGTCAGTCCCCTTCCTGCTTCCCCTCCTGACAATCTTGGATTTGTTTTCAGGCACATTTTGTCATGTCTGATCATCTAAATGGAATCATGCCTTTGCTGTCTTTTGTGTCTGGCTTTCAGGAGTGCTTTTGAGACTCACACTGTGCTCAGGATTTGTTCATTTTATCACTAAGCAGTGTGGCTGTACAACACAAATGTTTGTGGACATTTTGGTGTCTAGTGTTTGGTTGTTAGGAGCAAAACCCCTGTGGACATTACTGGGTAAGTGATTATATGGACATCCATTCTCATTCCTCTCGGGAAAGCATCTGGATGTTCTCAGGGTCACATGGCAAGGGTATTTTGAACTTCATGAGCAGCCTCCACTTTCCAAAGTGGCCAAACCTCTTTGTATCTTCACCAGCAGTGTATCGAGTTCAAGTTGTCCCACATCCTTTGTCAGCACTTGGTGCTAGCAGTCTGTAGTTTTAACTGTTCTCATACATGTGTAGTGGCTTTTCATTGCACTTTTACTCTGCATTACCCAACTGGTACTAAGCATCTTTTCCAGTGTTTAGTTGGCATTCCATGTATCTTTGGCGAAACATTTAATTCAAGTCTTTTGCTCGTTTTTTAGATTGGGTTGTTTTCCTATTATTGAATATGTGAGTTTAGTATGTATTCTGGGTAAAAGCCCTCTGTCAATCTTGCACGTCTCTTCTCCTGGTCTGTGGTTTGTACCTTGATTCCCTTATGTCCTTTGAAGGGGAGTAGTTACAAGTTTTGCAGTCCAGCGTATCAGCTGTTCCTCTGTGGGTTGTGCTTTTAGTATCCAAGAAAGCTAAGATCTCAAAGATTTTTTTCTTGAATTTCCTTGTTGATACTTTAGAGGCTCAGATTTTACCTTTAGGTTTTGACCTATGTTGAGATAATTTTTGTGTATATTGTGATCTATAAACCAAAATGTGATTTTCTGTCTAACTGTCCAGTTGTAACATCGTTTATTGAAAGTCTGCCTTTTCCTCACTGAACTGTCTTTGCTTCTCTGTCAGATGTCAGCTGCCCATCTAGGAGTGGGTGTAACAAGGGCGTGCTGGCCTCAGACTTACTCTTTCAAAGTCCTTTTGACTATTCTTGGTCCTTTGTATTTCCATATGAATTTGAGAATCTGTCAGTTTCTACCAAAAGACTTGCTAGAATTTTATTGATATGTGGAATTTATAGATCAGGGCAGAGAGAAGTGACATAGCAACGCTTCTGAGCTGGCCAAACAGTGATCAGGATAGCTCTATGTTCAGGTCTCTCTTATTTCTCTCAGCAGTGTTTTCTAGTTTCAGGGTACAGATCTCATACATCTTCTGTGAACTTTGTCCCTTATTTGTGTGTGTATGTGTTCTGAGGATTGAACCCAGAGGCTTCACACTGAGCTACATCCCAGCATCTCTCTCTATTGCCAAATTGCCCAGGCTGGGCTTGAACTTAGGGTCAACTTGCCTCAGCCTCCCAGGCTGTTATATTCTCACTGTTATAGAGAAATTACCTTTATTTTAATATATTGAGCATGTGTCCTGCTGTGTTGCTGACCTCGGTTACTTGTAGATTTTCCTTAGATTCTGTCAGGTGTTCTGTAGAGACAGGCATGCCGTCTGTGAATAGAGGTCAGTGTACTTTTTCCTTGCTAACCTGCATGCCTGTCGTTTCCTTTCCTTGCCTCACCATGCTGGTTAGAAGCTCCAGGGCGGCGTACGTGGGGACGCAGGTTAGACTGGAAAGTGGCCTCCCAGGCTTCCTGGCTTAGGGGGCCTGCCATCCTTTTGTGTGAGTGTGATGCCCAGTTGGAGGGCTTTCCCTTCTGCTCCCAGCTTGAGAGTTCTTTTTCCTTCATCCCGTGAAAGGATTGATGATTTCTGTTTCTTAGTTTGTTCATTATATTCACTGATTCCTTTCTCAGAAACCAATCTTGCACTCGGGCTAAATCAGAGCTGGTCAGGATGTGTTCTTTTTTATGTACTGTTGGATTCAGCTTGCTCACATTTTGTTATCTTGCTGTTTTCTTGTTACTGTATCTTTGTCCAGCAAAGGAAACTGGCTGTATGAGTTTTGAGAAGTATTTTTCCCCTCCCTGCTCTGGAGTTTGTATGGGGTCGGTGTCATTTCTTGAGGTGCTTGAGAAGATGCCGTGGCAGAGCCACCTGGGCTTTCTCTGAGGAGGTTTATAATGCACCACAGGCGTCCTGCATCCACGTGGGCTGTCTGGCTTTTCTTCGTCCAGGGTCTCTGATCCTCTGATCTCAGCCACTGGCACCGCCACCTGGTACAGGTTTGTGTCTCACCTTGCTCTCGAGTCTTTTTACATCTTCTGTGTCTCTGTTTAACCTTTGGACACGTGCAGTCCTTTATTTCGAGTCAGGGTCTCCCTGTGCAGCCCACGCTGGCCTCGAACTCACAGCCATCCTTCTGCCTTAGCCTACGGATTGCTGGGATGACAGACATGTGCCACCATGCCCACCAGTAGCCATCATTTTATTGTACTGGCCTGTCACCCACCTTTTAGTCAGTCCTGTGTTGGTTTTGACTCGTTGACTGCTCCTCATTAAGGGTTTTGTTTTCCTACTTCTTTTGTGTCTGGTGGTCTTTGCTTGCTGTCAGATGTGGATTCCACATAGTGTGCTGGTGTTCTTCTATTCCTGTAAGTGTTCTTGACCTTTGTTCTGGGCACACTGAAATTAATTGGAACCTGTTTTTGTTCTTTTTTTTGGTACTGGGGATTGAACTTGGGTCCTTGCGCTTGCAAGGCAGGCGGTGGAACCACTGAGCTAAATCCCCGGCCCCTGTTTGTTCTTTCGAGTCTTGCTTTAGGATTTGTTAGGCTGGCCAGAGCATCGTTGTGTCTGGGGCTGGCTGTCCCCACTGCTGAGGCCGGACCTCCCTTGATGCTGTGCCCTGGCTCCCGCCTTGTGGAGTGAGTGCTCGCCTCCCTGGAGCAGGCCCTCACTCGCCTACTTCCTTGGGCCCTGGCGCAGCTTGTAAATGGCTCACGTGGGGAGCAGAGCGCCGGGCTGTCCCCTGCCCCAGAGATCGCTGTCCTCAGAGCCCTGAAGCCTGCTGCTTCAGATATTTTGTCTGGGTTTTAGTTTTTTCTGAAAGAAGCATGAATCCAGTCAATTTACTGCATCCTGACCAGAAGCAAAAATCCCACCAAGTACCTGAGCAATCATAGGTTTTTGATCTAGTAAAACATTGTATCTTATACCTGAGGCTTACCATTCTTTTTCCTGTGGAGACTGGGCCATCTGGTATCAGCTTAGCCATGCCACGTGTGCATCTCAAAATCTGGTCCCTAGCCAGGCATGGTGGTACACTTCTGTAATCCCAGCACTTGGGAGGCTGAGGCAGGAGGATCTCCATGAGTTCGAGGCCAACCTGGGCTACATAGTGAGTTCAAGGCCAGCCTGAACTACACAATGAGACCCTGTCTCAAAAGAAAAAAAAAACAAAAAACATAAACTGGTCCCTGTGAATATCATGAATGTCTTTAGTCGTCCTGGCTGGGGGTCTGTACTGAAATTCAGAGGTATAGGGTTACTTGCTCCACAGGCCCTGTACCAGATGGACCTTTGTGTTCCAGGATCTCTGGTCCCCTGGCTCATGTGGGGCCCTGTGATCCCCCTACCCCTGCAGAGGCACCAGTGAGCTGGGAGGCGAGCATGCAGTTGCTGGCCCAGGTGGCAGTGTGTCTCGCTTGGTATTGCAGAATGGAGTCCCAGCTTGTCAGGAGGGGTGGTCTTGTGTGGAAGATCTCATTCTCACCAGAGTTTGCAGGGCTGGTGGTAATTTGGGGAAACTAGGAAGTTTCATCCCCTGCCCACCATTGGCATAAACTCTGTGGAGCCTGTCAGGTAAGGCCCCCTGGTTGGGGATAGAGGTTCTCCTATCTCTGTTGCTTAGCTTTTGGGTCACAGTACAGGTGAGAAAGTCTCACATGTGCCACCATCTGGGCTCTCCTCGGTGGGGAGCAGAGGGGACTTTGGCTTCTATGGACCTGAGCACAGTCTGCAGGGACTTCCCCTGAGGAAAGTGCATTTGTGTCTCAGGTCCACAAGTTCTGGTCCTCTTGTCAGCTCAGTGGGACAGCAGGGCCCTGAAGGCCATGTTTGCAGGAGCTGTCAGAGGAAGGCCGAGTGGGTTCCAGAGGAAAGCAGAGCCCTCAGAAAGGACCAAGCTGTGTCTGAGGAGAGTCCAGCCGGCTGGCTGTCAGCAGCTCTCAGGGAGGGAGGTCAGGAGGCGTAGGTGTTGAACGTGTTGACAGAGTTGCTAAAACTGAAGTGGAAAAGCCCAGAAAGTGCTGGACAGAGGGACACAGTACTTGCTGTGAGGAGTGAATTGAGCACCTAAGTGGACCACAGCAGGAGACACGCTGTCTCTCGTACCTTGGGCCCAGTGGGCTCCTCTGTAGACCTGTCCTGTGGGTGGGGACCCCTCCCCACTGGGGGCGGACGTGCCACAGTAGTAAAAGCGGTGATAGGTGCCGTTTTGCTGGGAGACTCCCCTGAGCTTCCTCTCACCCTGATTTGATTTCTGCATCCAGGGAGGGGCCGGGGGATCCAGCACCATTAGCGCCCTGTCCCAGTGGGCCAGGCAAGTCCTGTGCCGGGTAGTGCCGGGCCTGCCCCAAGGGAGCGCCGGTTCCAGAAGTCCTGTGCTGCCTCCTGTGTGTGCTGCACTATGGGCAGTGGAGTCACTGTCCCTGCTCCCCTGATCTGTCCTTTTCTGTGGTGGTTCCCAGACTGTGTGGCACGGGGTGTTTGTGGGATGGGGCTTGGGGGTTTGTCACTGCTTCTTCGCCATGTGTATCGTGACTGCTCTAGTGCTGGCCTGCTTTCCCTTGGCTTCAGTCTGTGATCGCTTCCTCTCTGCTAACCTCATGTTCCGCTCCACCCCTCCACTCCCTCCCCTTGCTCTTCTGATGCCCACACCGGAGGGGCTGACCCCCTGGGTCCACCCTGATGTTGTGCTCCCGTGTGACTTGCTAGGAGGAGACGCTGGGTAGGGACGTGTGAGTGAGTAGACTCCAAGTTCTGCTGCTTTCTCACAGCCAGTTAGTGGATTCCGTGCTGCCTCTCTGGCATGGTTGTTTTTCAGCACGGGGATTGAACCCAGGGGCTCTACCACAGAGCTACGTGTGCCCTCGCCCTTTGTTTGAGACAGGGTCTCACTATGTTCCCCAGCTGGCTTTGGACTTGTGATTGTGATCCTCCTATCTCAGCGTCCTAGCAGCAGGAGTTACAGGTGTAGGCCACTGTGCCCAACTTGCTGTGATTCTTAAAAGCACTGATGGTCATACAACACTAACTTGAGCACACATTACCTGGCTGAGTAGCCCCTTTGTGTGTCAAGAGGGGACATTAGAAGCTTACCTGGGCAGGGTTGTGTGTCACGCTGTTCCTGCACAGCGCAGAGTCCCCAGATCCCTGGCAACAAGGTGCTTGTAACAGGAAGCCAGTGCCTGCAGCAGGACGTCCCCCAGTCTTAGTCCCAAGGACGAAGTGGATCTCTGCACCCCTGTAAGTTGTAAGCATGTGCCTAGCAGTGGGCTTGGCTCCCGGAAAACAGTCCCAGGGAGTCACTGTTTTATGAAGGTTGTGCACCAGGAAGTTCGTCTTGAATTTTGCCTAGGAAAATAGGTGTCTTCACGTATCCTGCGAAAACTTCCTCTGTAACAATCATGTTGGTGGAATTCAGCAACCGCTGGGGCAGAGCCTTTGCTGTGCGCTTGTGTGCATCTCCGGAGAGAAGAGGGTAGCAGAGCGGGCGGCCTGGGCCAGGGGCCGCAGCGTGAGTGGAGTGTAGGGACCCTTCCTTCCAGGCTAAGACAGGGTGTTGGGGAGAAACAGATTACAGTGTCTGTTGTCGTTCTGGGTTTCTTGACCTTTGTAAAGACGCACGTATTTTACACAGTAGCTTCAATGTATGTACTTAATGTAGGTTAGTGGGATGTGTAGCAGTTCTGATGTTTAGCGCTGGAATCAGTAATTCTTCATACCGCTGTGGTGAGTGTCTGTAAAATATTAGCTTACCTTCCTTCCTAGAGGAATATACGTGAGTTAGATTTGGATGCTTTTTCTAATGTGTATCCATTCTGTATGTCCTTACATGTTTTTCATACAGTTTTGTTTATCAGTGCCTGTGTGCAGTATCCAATCACATTCCTCGTGGGATCCATGTGCATAGCACATCTCACTTCCTCTTTCCATCCCCTTCCTTCCCTCCTCCTTCCTCCCCCACCTCTTGATCCCCTTCCCTTTTGAAAAGAATCTCCCTCCTTCCTGTTATCTGTCTTTTACTTAGGATTTCTCATATAAGAGAAGTTACGTGATATTTAAACTTGTGTGTCCAGTTTATTTCACTTAATATTATGGTCTCAAAGTGCATCCATTTTCCTACAGTTGACTCAAGTTTATACTTTTTTATGACCGAGTAGTACTCCTTTGTATATAAACACCACATTTTCTTTATCCATTTGTTTGTTGGACATACAGGCCACTTCCAAGGTTTAGCTATTATGAGTTGTGCTGCCATAAACAGGGGTATACACATAGCACTGTAATAGGATGTCTAACTCTTTGTGGGGAGTAGCTAAAAGGGTAATAGCTGGGTCTAATGGAGTTTCTATTTTTAGGTTTTTGAGGACTGCATACTGATTTCCACAGCACTTGGATCAGTTTACATCCCTACCAGCAGTGTAGATGGGTTCCTCTCTCCCCATATCCTCGCAGCATTTGTTGGTGTTCAATTTCTTGATGATGGCCATTTTTTCTGGAATAAGATGGGATCTTAGTGTTGTAATTTGCATTCCACTGATGTTGAGCATTTCTTTTTTGTTTGTTTTTTTGGTGCCAGGAATTGAACTCAGGGCCTTCTGCTTGCCAGGCAGGTGCTGTGCTGCTGAGCTGCATCCCCAGCCCAGCGTTGAACATTTCTTCATGTGTTTATTGGCCATTGGAGAAGTGTCTATTCATTTCCTTTACCCATTCTTGAGTGGGTCTTTTATTATGGAGGTTCTAATTTCTTTTTATGTTTTAGATACCAGTCCTCTGTCTGAGGAATAGCTGGCAAAATTGTTTTACCATTTTGTAGGTTTGTTGACCTGTTGATTCTTGGTCTATTTCCTGTGCAACCTGGGCCCACATGCTTTTTAAATGGCTCAAAACTAGTCACTAGAAAAACCACACTTCCATTTATAATGTTTCACATTTGAATTGAAAGAGATTCTTCCAGCTTTGTACACAAGACTTGAAAGTAAATGTTCTTAGAACTGGTAAAAGTGTGGAATTCTTTGATCTGGATCTTCGATGTGGGTAGCAATAGTAAGTGAATTCTGCAGTACACCTCGCCTTCAGACATAAGCCTGTGTCACCACCCTGGCAGAGGGCAGAGGGCAGGGGGCCAGGGGCAGGGGTTGTTGCTGTTGTCAGGGTGAACGTGCATGCACACCCTGCCTCAGACTCAACAGTCGGGCATCCAGAAACACCCAGCTGTCCTGGAGCAAAGCTGAGGCATGTGAGGTCTTGAGGGCCCTCAGTCTGTCTCCGAGTTAGCTCCTGGGCTGTAAGCAGACCCCTGCCTGAAGTGAGCACCCTGAGTGTGCAGAGGAGGAGGAGGAGGAGGAGGGTCCCTGTGGTTAGAGGCAGCTGTCGAGCTTCACCCTGACCCCGTGCTCCTGCCTAGTAACCGCTGCTTCCTTTTGCCCAGGCCGTGGAAAACCTGTGCTCTCACAGAGCCTCACCGATGCTCTACAGGCAGCTGCGCCAGGCCTGCGAGGACTACGTCCAGACCCAGACCCCCCCGCTCAGAGAATATCCTTTCTTGGCTCGTGAGGTTCTCTTCATTCCCTAAATCTTTTAAAACTGGACATTAATAGGACAAAGAATGAATGAGTATCCTTCACATTAAAACAACAGCCTTTAAATTTGTTCATGTATAGAACAAAAATGTTTAACTTCTCTCATTCAATTTAATCATTTTAAGTGAAGTTCTTAGAATTTAGATTGTTGATATGAATGAAAGATAAGCAGTGCATTTATTGCACATGGTTGAAATACTTAGGAAAAGGTCTAAAATGCCTTTTAATGAATTCTGTCCTTTAATAAAGTCACCTGCATTAGTTTTCTAAGCTGTGGAGCAGCTTCCCACATCAGGACCGAGCTCAGGTACCTGCAGGAGACAGGGCAGCTGCACAGGCTCCTGGCTCTGGGTCACCGGGGTGGGTTCTTCTCTGGCTTCTGCAGGTGGGTGGCACGTGCAGTCCCTGGGCTCTGCTCACGGGGTGCACGCTGCTGCGGGCCGGTAGGAGAAGAGAGCCTGCCTCTCAGGTCAGCTGCTGGCCTCACCTTGCAGGTCACTGTCTGTCTTACTTTCTTGTTGCTGGGACAAAGTACCTGACACTCACAAGTCAAAAGAGGAGAGGATTATTTTGTCTCACAGTTAGTAGAGGTTTCAGTCCATAGTGGGCTGGCTCCAAGGAAGGACTGCTTGGCAGGCAGGAAGCAGCACCATTAAGGGAGGAGCAGGGATATATAACACCCTTCCAGTCCACACCCACAGTAGCCCTCCTCTTCCACCAGACTTCACCTCCCAGCATCACACCCAAAGCCCCACCTATATGCATGAGGCTTTTGGGGGACATGTAGACACAAGCCACAATGCTCTTGTCACTCAAGGCACATACCTGGGCAAGGGAGAGGACAACCTTGGATTTGCTCCCACACCATCTGTGACTTGTGCCCACAAGGAAATCCCTGAGATGACTATGTCCTGTCGAAACCCTGTAATCTGTCCTCAGCCTGGTCCTGCTCGCTTCTGAGCTATCCAGGTCCCTTGGGCCAGCATTAGTGACTGTGCTCTTCTGGGCCTCTATGTCTTCACAGCAGAGCTCCGTGGTGAGACCTGCCCCTTCTCAGGTTCTCTGGCTCAGGCAGCTTGTCCTCCCCTTGGCCTTCATTGCATAATGTTCAGGCCTCCTGGCAGCCAAGAGGTTAGTGTGGCCGGATCTCAAGGGGCTAACGGGCCAGGACGTGGAGGTCGGGTGTGATGCTGGTGCCATCATGCTCTTGGGAATCTGCCAGTGCACACCGTGTCTCAGAGAGACCTGGGAGGAACACAGAGCCTGCATCTACTGAGGCCCACCCCACGGAGCCTGCAGTGTTCCGGAATGTGGGCTGTCTCCAGTCGGCTGCTGTTAATCTGCCCTAATCCCAGTTTGCTTGAAAACCACCTTTTGATCATGTGCTCACATTAACCCCTGCTGGGTAACGCCGCCCTGTGGGCTGTCCTCCTTCCGTCACTCAGCAAATGCCCGCCTCTCCGGTGTACCAGTTCTGGAAATGGAAAAGCGGCTGCCAAACCTGACTGCCACCGCTAGGGAGTCGGAGCCCCATTGTGCAGCTGCGGATCGCAGTGTTTCCTTGGTCTTGTGACAAAGCCACGCCGGCTTCCTAGAAGGAGACAGAAGCATGAGCACATCCAGTGAACCCGTATAGCCAGAACAACGGACCCCAGAAGTGAAGCATTTCTGTCCCACTGTACTGGTTGGGAACAAGAAGAATCTCTGGAACGATGAGCACACAAGAGAACAGTAAGCCAAGATGAAGCAGGTGTGGCTTAGCACAAGCCTCTGTATTCCAGTAGCTTTCTTTTTTGGCCCACACAGCCCTTGAGTTCAGCATAAGCGTCAAGGAGAATGTGGGTGATGCTGCTGGAGAGCTGGAAAGTGGGAGCCCTCAGGCAGGGCCGGCAGAGTGCAGAGGGTGTGCCAGGGCCCCATGGGCCCAGCCTCGCACAGGGTACAGGCTGGATTTGATTGCATGTGCCACTGGAGTCCAGCTTCACTGTGAGCACCAAGACCCTGTGACCACCTGGCCTGTGAAGACGGTTCTGCAGGTGACAAGACACACACCCTGTTCACTGTGGGCACACGCTGAGGTCCCTGTGGTTTACCAGGCCTGGAAAGAGACTGCATGCTGAGGGAGTCCAGCCTCCAGCAGGATGATGGATGCATAAGATAAGCATTGTGGAGTGGTCCACGTGGGCCCCCAGACATGAGTGGAGCTGAGGGCAGGAGAGGGTGGGATAGCGGGAAGTCAGACAGCAGCCTGTGCAGAGGTGTGACAAGGGGGTAGGAGAGCCCACAACACAGAAGGGTCAGGACTGACCCCAGAGGGAGGGCAGAGAAAGCAAGGCCAGACCACCCACCTGGAAAGCCTGGGCTCTTTCTGATGAAGATTTGACAGGCATTTAGGCTGCAGGATGGCAGGCCTCTTGCTGCCACAAAGACAGTGCCTGTTGGTGCCCTACAGTGGACGATCCAGGGCAGCCATGAGTTGAATGAAGCAGCTCTGGCACTGCAGAGAGGCCAGGATAGCTCCAAGAGAATTCTCGGGGCTGATGGCTGGAAAGAGAAACCAACAAAGGATGGACGGCAGGGGTCTGAGCAGGCTGACAGCTGCAAGAGGAGGGAGCCTGTGGAGAGCAGTGCTGGTGCTGGGGACGGGATCCCCGAGGAGCTGTGGGCTGGAGGATGCTGGGGCGCTGCGACCAGGCAAGGGAGGTGATCGAGGTGGAGCAGGCTGCGGGCTCATGCTCACCCGTTACTGTTGAGTGTGTGTCGGTCTCCACGCTGCATACTGGGATGGGTGGTGTGCAGTGCCACAGCCCTGTTCCTCCAGAGCTCATCTTGCTGGAGAGCTGTAACCTAGAAAGGCTTTTGTCACAAGGCATGGCTTCACGCCCTCTCCAGAGGCAGCGCGTTCACTCATCCCTTGCCTTGGGGGGGTGGTCTGGCATTTCCTGCAGCTTGCTTTCTAAGATGAGTGTCATCACTGTTTCCACCCACTGCTTCCTGATGGGCTGAGGTCAGGCCAGGAAACCTTGGGCTGACCAGACATCAGGCAGAGAACAGCTCAGGTGGGACTGTCCCTAGGCCACTAGTTCCGTCCCTCCTTCCTGTGTTTGGTGACTCTCATGCCTTTCTAAATGGATGTCCTGCTGTTGGTAACACCCCTTCCCCAGAATACAAGAGATTCTTCCACATGGACAAATGCACACGCAGGCGTGTATGGACATGCACAGACACACGTGTGCTCAGCGAGGCGCAGCTGCCCCCTGACCAGGTATCATGGCTATGGGACCACAGGTGCCTGCCTCAGTCAGAAGGGCCTAGGGGTCCTTTAAAAATGGTACCTGGCTGTCCCCAAATAACAAACACAACATCTTCCTTCCCCTGATCAGCCTCCTGGTGCTGTCACTTTGGTCGCCCCAGAAATACCAGGCAGAGTTGGCCCAGTGACTGTGCCTCACAGCAAGTCATATACTAGACACTGGAGGATTTGGAGGTCACTAGAGGAGCCTCTACTTTTGGAGCATCTGGGGTGCTGTGGCCACCTCTGAGTGTGTCCCTGTCCCAGTCCTGCCAGCACTCAGACACACACCTGTGATCAACCTGCTGCGTGTGCAAGAGGGCACGTCTACAACATGGTGCCCGTGCCAGTTTTGTCTCCTGGTGAGGAAACTGAGGCCCCTGCAGCATGTGGGTCAGCAGGGCATGTGGAGACCAAAGAGGGAAACTAAACAGTCAGAATATTGATAAAGCTCATGGTGACGTGAGAACAAGGGGACCTGGTTGGGCAAGGGTGTTCGGCATGACCCAAAGCATGCACTGCTTGGTGGGCAGTGAGGACACGGCCCAGGCAGCAGTGTCCCCCTGTGGGCACCGCAAGAGGGTGACCAACCTGTTGGGAGAGCGACTGCTCACCAGCACCCCCCTAGCCCTATGTCAGTGGGTGTCCTTGCTGCTTTTTTTGTTGTTGGTACCAGGGATCGAACTCAGGTCCTTGCACTTGTGGGGCAGGCGGCGGCGGTGGCGGCACCACTGAGCCAAATCCCCGGCCCCTTCTTTTTTACACTGCCTTGTGGCTGCAATCTGTCATGGTTGGTCGTGAGCGTTTCCACATTCCCTGAAGAGCCCGTCTGTCCTCCATGGCTGTGTAAGTCCCCTGCTGGAAGTGGCTATGGCCGTGTGAGGAAGGGCTGGCCACGGGACACCCACCTTGGAATGGTCCGTGACAGCTGGACGCCCACTCCAGCCCATACACCCTACCCACCGCGTGCCTGGCCGAGAGGAGTCTGCAGGTGACACGCCGTGGTGCTCGCTTCCCGTTGCCTGCTTCCTTCACCACAGCAGCAGGAGACTTGAGGATCTGTAGCAATTTTACAGAGCCCTCTCTCCATGGAGACCCTTCCCACTGACGTACTCAGCCTGCACTGTGCATCTCCGGGACACTGGACCCCGCTCGTGCTACAATGACTCTTTGCCACCCCTGAGTCACCTGGTGGCCTCGGATTGGTGTAGAGTTGACCCTGTGAGGCTTACAGGCTGTGTAGACGCTGTGGGCACTGGGTGGATCTCCTCCATATAGCTTGGGACTCTTCATGGGACCCAGCACATGCCGTGTAGATGATGTGAGTGCCAGCTGGATTTCCTTGAGCCCGGGACTCTTCGTGGGGCTCAGTGTAGGCAGTGTAGACACTGAGGGCAGCTGCTGTATCTCCTCCTTGAGGCCCAGGACTCCATGGGCCCAGCACAGGCTGTGTAGATGCTGTGGGAACTTGCTGGATCTCCATGCAGCCCTGGGCTCTCATTAGTCCTTCATTTCAGGGCTGTGGTCGCTGCCAGGGTTACTGTGCTCCATGGGAGCCTGACTTCTGTCTTGCTTTCTCCAGACTGCTCCCAGCTCCTGAAGTAATTGATTCAGAGAAATGCTCTGCACGCTGGATCCAATTCTGGGTGTGTTTGCTAGGGGCCACCCTGGTCTGCCAAGGACAGCTGTGCTCATGGTCCCACTGCCCCGAACTTCCTCCTCCTGGAGGCCTCCCTCTACTGCCAAAGGAGGCACTTACCTGAATGAGCCTCACCCTGGCTCTGTGATTGGGGCCTGTTGTCCACACAGGAGGCCTGAAGCCCCGGATGCCAGTGCCATCCACCCAGATGGGCCGTTCTTTTCCTCCCCCTCGGGAGGTGGGCAGAGCAGAAGGGAGTGACTGGAAAGATGCCTTGCTCTGGAAACCTGGATTCTGGATTCTCGGTCCTAAAACTGCTTGAGCTTGACTTAGGACACCCATCTTGCCCCCAGGCTCCTGCTGCACACAGTGGGCGCTGGCACCTGGGGGCTGGCGATCAGCCGTACTCCCAGGGTCCTGTGTCCTGGCCTCTGTTTTAGCTGGCATTGCAGTAAGTGACGCAGGCTGGGGTAGGCAGGAGGGACCGGGGCAGCCCTGTGTGGGGTGGGCGCGTGCACAGTGCTGGGCTGTGGAGATGCTAAGAGCCATGTGGGGGCTTGGAGGCTCCTGGCCTCAGTCCATTTGGGCCGCTGTAGCAAAGTGCTGTGCAGTAGCTAGGTGGGTCGTGCACCTCCAAGGCTGAGGCCAAGGTTCAGATGCTGGCATCAGGCAAGCTGCGTCCGGCCGTGGACAGCACCTTCTCACAGCCTTCATGTGATGGACGGGTGGGCAGCTCTCCTGCCCCTCTGTCTGGGGTGATGCTGTCTGCTTGGGGTGCAGAGGGAACGGGGCTAGGGTGGAAGTTGCAGTGATCGTACGGCCTGTGTCTTGAGGTTTTCCTTAGCAGATCTGCACAGACTCCCTTGACAGCATCTTGTTCTTGAAGAAGATCAACACATGCTGGCAAGACCACTGCAGACAGATGGTGAGCTCTAATTCCATGTGAAGTCAGCCCAGACCACTGCTTATCTCTCCCTTGTTCGTGTCCACTTTGGTCAGACTCAGGCTCTGGTCCGGCCAGGCGGGTGACAAGAGGAGTGATTGGGGACGCTTTCCCTCCCACCCCAGAACAGCCCACGGGGAACCAAGCTAACTTTAAGAAGCTTAGTGGAGGCAGGGGCATAGCTCAGTGGAGGGGCACTTGCCTACTGCACGGCAGGTTCAGACCCTCGCATTATCAGGAAGAGAGAAAGAAAAGAAAAATGGGCTACAGGGTGGCAACAGAGTGCCTGAGGCCCTAGGGCTGCTAAAAACCTGGGTGAGTTCACAGTCTGAGTGCTATATGCCATAGTCAGGAAATGGCAGTTTAAAAGATCTCTACACTAAGTAATCTAAAATCCCGCAGTCAGGGCTGTTAACATTAAAATGAGGACAAATACTGAGGTGACAGAATTAAGATTTAAAGAATTAGGGTCTTGGTAGGCAGTTTCTCTCCATCAAGAAGCAGTCATGTTAGATTGGAGATGAAGTCTTGATACCAAATGACCGAGTGGCCTTCTTTCTGGTCTGCAGATCATGGTCAGGAGCATCTTCCTGTTTCTAGACCGCACGTACGTCCTGCAGAACTCCATGCTCCCTTCCATCTGGTGAGTGCTTCTGCTCACGGCCCAGCCTGGCCAGTGCGTCCGTGTCGTTGTAGCTGGTGGGCAGAGTGTGCACCTGGTCATGGTACAGACATGGGATCCAGGTGACCTTAGCCTGAAGTGGCAGGCTTTGTCACCTGGGTGCCCTCGAGGAGCAGTGTCCCTCCCTGGCAATCAGAGCCAAAGTTCAGATCTGGCTCCAAGGAGAAGGCGGGGACAAAGTGCCCAGGAGCTGTGTGGGGCGAGGCCATGGGCTGTGATGCTTAGGTGGAGCCCAGAAAAAATGGGTGGCCATGGGCTGGGCCCCCGGAGTGTGCATGGTGACTCTAATGTCAGGCAGATGCATGACTCCTGGGATATCAGCCTGACTGTCAGGAATGGGACAGCCGTGTAGGGAGCAGGCCCAAGAGACTGGCCGGACTTGAGGAGGCAAGGTGTGGCGATCAGTGGAGGGCCGGGCTGGAGGAGGGAAACCAAAGTCCAGTTTGTGTTCACTGTTGGCCAGGGACATGGGGCTAGAGCTGTTTAGAAACCACATCATCAGCGACAAGATGGTTCAGAGCAAGACCATCGACGGAATCCTGCTGCTAATCGAGCGGGAGCGGAGTGGGGAGGCTGTGGACAGGAGCCTGCTGCGCAGCCTGCTGAGCATGCTCTCGGACCTCCAGGTGGGCCGCTGCCTCCCCACCCTGCGTAAGGCGTGCGTCGGGGTTAGGAAGGGACAGGAGAACGTTTGGACCCTGAAGAGAGTGTGCCCCTTAGACTAACACTGCAGTGGTTGCCAAAGAAGAGAAGATTGATTAAAATGCTCATTTTTTTTCAAGTAAAGTCTGTCATAAAGATAAAATCAGGTGACTAACTGGAAAGAAATATTAGCATATAAAAACCCGGGGCTGAGCCTGTCAGAGTGGTGCCCTCTTGTAATCCCAGCACTTGGGAGTCTGAGCAGGAGGATTGCCAAGAGTCCAGGCCAGCGTGTCCTACATAACAAGATCCCATCTCAGAAAACAGTGCGAACCCCACAGAGAGGAAGGACTGACCCCTTAGTGCTGCAGAGCCCCACAGGGTCGGGCGGCACAGCAGTGGGGAAACTGGGTTCCAGCCCAGCCCCAACCCCTGGGGCGTTTCAGGTGCTGCCACTGAGCCCAGTCAATAACTGCTCGTTTCCTAGGTATATAAAGACTCATTTGAAGTGAAGTTTTTGGAAGAAACCAACTGTTTATATGCTGCAGAAGGCCAAAGACTGATGCAGGAACGCGAGGTGAGACACTGCACCTCTGGGCATGCTTCTCCGCACAGCTCCTCGGGCCTCTTTCACACCTGGCCTGCAACTGAACGTCAGGGCAAGCTGCGGTCTAGCCACGTCCCCAGTAACGACCTGACTCCTCACTGGAGAAGGAGTTTCGTTTCTCCCCCTTAATTTAGAAGCTCTTTTTGGCCTCCTGCAAAAAACCCAGAAAGGCCGGGGATTTAGCTCAGTGGTTTCGCCGCCTGCTGCGCAAGCGCAAGGACCCGAGTTCGATCCCCGGTACCAAAAAAAAAACAACTCAGAAAAATAGTAAAGGTCTTCAAGCTTACACAAGAAGATAAAGAGTAAATTCTGAATATGAAAGATAAAAATCCATCTAAATTTTTCATCTGTGCAAAAAGCATTGGAAAAAATTCCAGGTGGAAAAGTACGTAACAGTAATATCACCCCAGCCACGACCCAGCCTCCCAGGCCTGGAGCATAGCCCTTGAGGGATGTGGCCTGCCTGCCCACAGGGTGAGTCCTGCCACGTGGCTCCTAGGGAAGTTCCACCTTCCGGTCGGTGCCACATGGCTGGACCCATAAAGCCCGCCCTCCATCCCCACTGGCAGCGGCTTTGGCCTGCCGTGTGTGGGCTCCAGTGCCTCTACCCCTCCCACCCCAGTGCCAGGTCACTCGCAGGGCAGCACGGAGAGAGGGGCTGACAGCAGGCACCCTGAAGGACAGCAGGGCTGGGCCCATCTAGAGGCGAGTGTTAACTCCAGGCCACTAAACCCCTCCACCCACCCAGGGAGTGGGTTCTCATTTGGCTCATGTGCATGGCGGGGTATTGTTGTCTTATTTTATGAGGGAAACAGAACTTCATTTCTTGGGTCATGAAAAGTCTGTGTTGCGGTACTTTCTTTGTAAGGTTCCAGAATACCTTAACCACGTGAGCAAGCGTCTGGAGGAAGAGGGGGACCGCGTCATCACATACCTGGACCACAGCACACAGTGAGTGTCTCAGTCGGCAGCAGCCCGGCAGGCGTTCTTGCGGCTGGACATGGACGCAGATGGTGCCTGAGAGTGCTTTTGCTCCCGGTGCACTCTGCACGCTCTGTCTGCCATCGCTCAGCACTTGCCTGTTCTCTTCCCACTGTGGAGATGGGTACTCCGTTCACACCAGTGGGGTGTTGTCACGTGCAGCTGTTTCAGCTGTGAACTTTGGTTAGGCATCTTACACGACTGTAACTGTTACCATGCTGCTGCTGCATTTTCCCTTTTCTAAACTCGCGCGTAGGGAGAAGTTAGGGAAAGATAGACTGTGTCTGGAGCTTGCGTGTGGTGCCTCCTATGAAGCACAGAAAAACAGGCACGGGGCATAGATGGGGTGGTCGCACCCAGAGCCTGCCTCTGCTTCTGGGGCAGGCAGGGGAGGTAGGGATGGGCTGAAAAAACAGTGGAAGGAGAAACCCGAGCCCCAGGGAGGCAGAGCCGGGCAGGGACAGACTGGCCTCGGGATGTTGGTGGGCTCCATCAGGGCCCATTTCCTCACAGGGAGGAAGGAGGAGACACAGAGGCCGGGGAGAGAGGCCAGGAAGCTACGGGCAAACCGTGCATATCCTTGGTGCTCCTTCCCCCACGGTGCCCACTTCCAGGGACCTGATCCACCTTCGGAGATGTCAGTGTGGCTCAGGAAGTGCAGTAGTGAGGCCTGAGGATCAGCGGTGGGAGGGAGAGTGTGCTCCGCCCTCTGCCCTGCGCCCGCGGGGCTGTCCATCCTGGCCCCAACCTGCCCTCTTCCGGCAGCCCCAGCCTCTCCCTGCCACTGCTTCTGATGCTTATCCTCTCTTGCCTTTGTAGGAAACCACTGATTGCTTGTGTGGAGAAACAGCTATTAGGAGAACATTTGACTGCAATTCTACAGAAAGGTGGGTTTCCCTGAGCTGTGAATTAAACTGGATGCCAACCCTGACCTCATTAGGAGAATAAGGCCACACTCGGTGCTGTCCTGAGAGAATCACTGAGAATCTTCTCCAGTGGGCACTGTAGCCCCTGACAGGAAATGAGGAGCTAAGGGAGGTGAGGAAGGCGCCAGAGAGCACTTCCTGCCGAAACCCCAGCGGACGCCCTGGCTGCTCGGTCCTCCTGCTCCAGTGTGCTGGGAGTGTGGACCCTGCCGTGGCACCGATCTCGGCCTGTCCCATTTTCCCGCCCACTTGACCTGGCGATGAGCCCCAGGCTCCACAGGGGTGAACGCCAGGTGAGGGACCTGAGCCGGGCGCCTGTCCTTTCCCGGGTTCCCGCAGAGTGAGACATGCAGTCGCAGGCTCCCCAGCCTCCGTGCCAGAGCAGCACATAGTGGCAGTGGTGGCTTGCAGTGTTCAGGAGTCAGGTGAGGCACTGGCTTTGCCTGCACTGTGGGGGCTTCACTCGGCTCCGCAGCAGCTTCGCCCTCGGGAGCAGTGAGCACAGGCCAGCCCCCGACTTGCATCCCTGATGTCGCCTTCTGTAACCGAGGGCTCAGGGTCGCCACCCGAAGGACTGTAGATGACTTGAGCAGCTTGCCCCACTGTCAGACCAGAAAGGCCCATGGTGGGGTGGCCCGCGTTGTGTCCCTGCCTCCTGCACAGGCGCTCGTGCTCTTGACAGCCAGGGCCGGCCAGGTGGCAGGAAGAGAGGGAGCATTGCAGTGGAGCTTCCTTCGGGACCAGCCCTGTGAGCGCTTGGTCCCCAGCTTACAAACAGGAAAACTGGACTCAAAACAGCTTGGTACCAGTGCCTGCTCGTGAGCTGAGAGCCAGGGTTTGAATCTCTTTGCCCCTCAAAGCCTGCGGAGCTGGTACATTTTTGCATAACGAGAGCTTACTTTACTGTCCACCTAAAAACACATGCGTTCAGAATTTGTGTCAGGTAGGTTTTTTGAACAACAGTCATCCAACAAAGAAAATAAAAAGACTTAAATAGGGCCAGGGATGTAGCTCAGTGGTTCCACTGCCTGCCTCGAAAGCGCAAGGTCCAGAGTTCAATCCCCAGTATAAAAAAAAAAAACACTTTATTAGAAATTTGCATAAATTGTTTCAACATATATTTTGATGAGTAAAATTATTACAAGAAAAGTTATATTTGTAAAAAGCTTGCTCTGAATTTTATTAGAAGCATACTTAAAAGTATAAAAGGTATATATTTTTAAATCCGTCAAAAACATTACTTAGGGTTTAAGAAAGGTAAGTTTTAACAGGTTTATTGCCAGGCCTGGTGGTACACGCCTGTAATCTCAGCTGCTCAGGTGGCTGAGGTAGGAGGATCACAAATTTGGGCCCAGCCTGGGCAACTTAGCCAGACCATGTCTGAAAATAAAAAATGGAAACAACTGGGGATGCAGGTCAGTGATGGAGCTACCATAGGTTCCTATCTCCAGTGCTACACAAAAATGAAAAATTCATTTGCACAGTAGACCCAAAGTAATCCAGAGAAATGACAGGCGGTTAGAGCTCCAGCTCAAGGCTCACGATCACAGGCCCAGGTCTCTGCTCCTTCCCCACCTGCCGGGAGAACAGGAGCTGAACCGGCTGAGCTCACAGTGTTCTGCTCTGCTTAGGTGCCACATGAATTACCAGAGAACCGTTTAAAAAGCCACCAGCCAAGCTTTTCTGCTTGTGGTTAGGAAGTCCTTGTAAAATTTACCTGAAACAATCAAAACTTTAAAATCCATGTTATACATGTCTGAATATTTAATGGACTATGAGTAACTTCTCTCTCACAGTTTATGCTTGAGTACAGTTAATCAGTCAAAGACTGGAGAGTTCATGTGTTAGGAATGCATCTTCTGGTGGACTAAACTGGAAGTCCCTTGGGTGCTGAGGGTCCCAGTATGAGCTGTCAGTGTGAACAGTCTCTGCTGCTGCCCCTCGGGAGCCGAGAGGGCTTCCGTGATGTGAGGAGGTGAACAGCACTCTGACACTGGGAGAAGAGGGAGGGACCTGCCATGACCTCTTTCTGTACCGTCCCAGGGCTGGACAACCTGCTGGACGAGAACCGGGTGCCTGACCTCACACAGATGTACCAGCTCTTCAGCCGGGTGCGCGGCGGGCAGCAGGCACTGCTGCTGCACTGGAGCGAGTACATCAAGGTACTACCGAGCTTGGTGTCCCCGCCATGCTGCCTGGGGACATGGGGGTGCGGGGCTGAGGCGGGAACACCGCTGTGTGTGGCAGCGGCACTGCTGTGAAAGCCAGCTGTTCCCATGGACTGGACAAGGGTCTGCCCTTTTCCCGAAGATCGCCTGACCTGTAAATGTTTCCCTAAGGTGAGTTTTCTGAGGTAACGCCAACGTGAGGGCCCCATGCAGGGAGAGAGACATGCGACCTTGCAGCAGCCACTTTTGTTCCTTGTCAATACACCCTGGCTTCCTTCCATAGTCTCGGTCTGTCGCCTGCCAGCTGTACCTCTGTAGGGAGCGCTTCCCGCTGTGCTGTGGCCAGCGGCCTTTGGCCCACACTTGGGTTCACCACCTCTCATCTAGGCAGTCTCTGCGTCTCTCAGGTGCCCGTGCAGGGCCGTGCACAACTTCCTGGGTGTCCCTCCTGTGTCCGTGTGTGCTGCCTCGCAGAAGCAGTGCCTGGGGCTGACCCAGGACTCAGCACTGGGCACCACCTGCCTTGACGGGACACAGACCTTTTCGTGGCCACAGTGCAGAGGGTGCTGCAGCACCAAGCAGCAAGGCCAGGGCTGCCACCACAGTGCCAGGCTGCGAGAGGAGTGCTGTCCCCAAACCTGTTGCTGACTTGGCCCTAATTGCTTTTGTAGACCTTTGGGACGACGATTGTCATCAACCCTGAGAAAGATAAAGACATGGTCCAGGACCTGCTAGAGTTCAAGGACAGGGTGGACCACGTGGTGGAGGTGTGCTTCCAGAGGAACGAGCGTTTCGTCCACCTGATGAAGGAGTCCTTTGAGACCTTCATCAACAAGAGGCCCAACAAGCCTGCGGAGCTGATCGGTAGCGCAACGGTGTCCCGCGCACTTGAGTAGCTCGGGGGATAGAGGCAAAACCCAAGCAGGCATTTTGCCCAAATGCTTACACAGGGAGGGCGAGGGCAGGGTCTTTACCGAGCTCATCTGGACATGCACACCTGCACACCAGGAGGGGAGATGCCCCGGGGATTCAGTAGACACAGAACTTGACCTTGCAGGAGGAGCACAGGACAAGGAAGGGGGCCTCTAGTTGGTCCTCCCGGACTGAGCTCGGAGCTGTCTTCTGTGAAGGTCGGTGCTGGCTCCTGTCCTGACTGTGGCAGGATGAGAATCCTCAGAAAGGGCAGTGAGGACGAATCCCTCTACACAGGAGGCTGACCCGGCCCCTGAGATGTTCCTTAGTCACCATGTCGACGTAGGACAGACTTAGATACCCAGATGGAGTGGGTTGTGAGCTACCACTTTGCATGACTACTGTAGTTTACAATAAGGGAAAAGATTTTCGGGATGCATAAACTCTTACTGGCCAGTAAACGTGTTTTGTTTTGTATTGTTTTTGGTACTGGGAATCGAACTCGGGGCCTTGCACTTGCCAGGCAGGCACTGCACTGCTGAGCTGCATCCCCAGCCCAAAAGTCTTTGTTTTTTTGTTTTTTGTTTTTTGATATCAGGGATCGAACTCAGGACCTTGTGCTTACCAGGCAGTGCAGCCAAAAGTGTTTTTTTAGCTTACAGGAGGAAAGAGGCAAAAAGAGACACAATAACGGACACAGAATTGGTGTGTGGGTTAGCAGTGGGGTGCAGTAGTGCCTGGAGTTTGTTAGGCAATTGGCCTCTCTTCTGTGAATTCAGAATAGTCCACAATAACAAGTGAAAGAGGAGGGCTGGGGATTTAGCTCAGTGGCACCATGCCTGCCTCGAAAGCACAAGGTCCTGAGTTTGATCCCCGGCACCAAAAAAAAAAAAGGAAAAAGCTAGTAAAAGCAACAACCAAGAAATCCACAAGGCAGTTTGATTAGGCTTTTGTACCACACAATAGACTGTGATTTCTGCACTGAAGAAAACGTTGAGCTCTTGGGACTTAGGGCTTTGGAAAGTCCTGGGCTCTGTTGCAGGGAGGTTTCCAGCGCCACCATGAAGGGACACGTAGCGTCCGCCTCATGGGCTCATGCCCTCTTTGGAGCAAGAAGCCCCGAGTAAAACGCTTGTGTCCCTGCATCGATGGTTTGGTTGTAACCACTTGGAGCCCTAAGAAAATTCTTCTCTTTGAGAAAGTCGCCTCTGTGCTCTGGCTCCAGGCCTCGGACAGGGCCACCCCAGTCCCCTGGCAGTGTCACATCACAGCCCAAGTACTGTGTGTAGCTGCTGGTGTCGGTTTCCTGTTTAATCTGCAGTCAGGGAGGGCAGGACGCCGGCTTCCTTAAATACTGCGTCCTTGATGTAGTTACACTCGGGACCATTTGTTCCCCCAGGACCTGAGTGCACCAGGCCTCTGCCCTCTGTCCTGTACAAGTGTTCGAGAAAGGGTCTGGTTGTTGCCAGAAGAAATGAAAGAGACCTTTTTTCTCCAGCTTTGGTTTTTTGGCGGTGCTGGGCGAGGGCTCTGCCCGAGCCACATCCCAGCCCGCTTCTAATTGAACCACTCTCTTGCAGCCAAGCATGTCGACTCCAAGTTACGAGCAGGCAACAAGGAAGCAACCGACGAGGAGCTGGAGCGGATCCTGGACAAGATCATGATCCTGTTCAGGTTCATCCATGGTGAGCGCCCAGCATCCGGCCTGACCCTGGCAGGGCTCGCCGGGGCTTGCTCAGCAGCACACCAGCATCTAACACCTGCCTTGTTCCCCTTTGCTTCTGCTCAGGTAAAGATGTATTTGAAGCATTTTATAAGAAAGATTTGGCGAAAAGACTCCTTGTTGGGAAAAGTGCCTCGGTCGATGCAGAAAAGTCCATGCTGTCCAAACTGAAGCACGGTGAGCGCGGGGTGGCCCTGCCCCTGAGCCAGGGCTTCCCTGCCTTCTGACCTGACCTTCATGTGTCACAGAGTGCGGGGCCGCCTTCACCAGCAAGCTGGAGGGCATGTTCAAGGACATGGAGCTTTCCAAAGACATCATGGTTCACTTCAAGCAGGTGAGCGGAGCCAGGGCCGAGGCACACACCCATACTGCCAGCTGCTCAAGAGGCTGAGGCAGGAGGGTTGCTAGTTGAAGGCCAGCCTGGGCAGCTTATTAGACCTGGTCTCAAAATAAAATTAGAAAAGGTTGGGGTGTAGCTCAGTAGTAGAGCACTTCTACCACTCCTGGAGTGCACGAGGCCCTGGTTTCCATCCCCAGTACCACCAAGAAAACGTTGGGGGAGTGGGTTCAGTTTTGGGGGAAGCAGCCTGGGCCTGGGATGTGTCACATTGGTGACAGGAGCATTGATGTGTTGACATGGGTTTGACACACGTGGAACATGTCCAGGGGTCTGGGGCACCACAAGTGCTAGCATTTGCTGAAACTTTACTTTGGAAATTAAAGTTCTCTGCACATTTCGTCCTGGGTCCCGTTCTCCCAGCACATGCAGAACCAGAGTGCGCCGGGCCCCATCGACCTCACGGTGAACATCCTCACCATGGGCTACTGGCCCACGTACACGCCCATGGAGGTGCACCTGCCCCCCGAGGTGAGTGCGGGCGCCATCGCGGCATGGGCTGCTTCTGAGAACTACAGATGATGCCGAGTGTCGGGACAGCTACTTAGGGACTGGGGGCCGTGGGGCCCTGCAGTGGGAGGCCGAGTCCTGGTCCCTCGCGCCCACTGAAGCACCTGGTCAGATCGGGGAGCTCTTGCCACTGTGACACCTCTGTCCCCATTCTGCCAGCCCTCGGGAATGTCTCGGGAGCAACTTTCTGGTGCCAGCCATGCCTCATGGGCACAGAGCTGGTGCCACTCTCTGCCTCTTGGAGGTCGAGGGCTCGGCTCCTGGACGAGGTCCAGTGGGTCACAGCGGGACACGGGTGCTCCTGGTGACAGGAAGCAGAATCTCAGCCCGATTCTCCCTGTGTCTCAGTGCTTGTCCTTCCCCGTGTGGCGAGGAGGCAGTTTGTGGGCTGATAGCCCAGGCTGTGTCCACGATTCATTCTCATCTGTCAGCTACCTGAGGGTCCCCGCCTGCGCCCAGGGTCCCCTGGGTGAGGGGATCGGTTTTCCAATTCTGCTCTGAGGAAGAGCCTTTGCTCGACCCTGTTCATTTTCTCACCTGTCTTTCTGTCTCGTCACCATGACTCCTGGGTTCTTGCATTATTCACTGGCTGGTGCTCCCACTGTCCCCAGTCTGGCTTCCGTCATGACACATCCTCATTGTCCTTCACTTGGTTTTCCAGCAAAAGATGTTGGGGCTATACTATACTGTATTTTTAAATTGTGGTAAAATACACCTTAACATGTGGTTTCCCGTCTTAGACGCGGAATTAATCCTGTTACCTGTCCCCGCTCAGTGTCGCTTTGGTCCCCTCCCAGGCCCTGTGGCCACAGCCCTGCCTCCTGTCTAGATTCGCCTACACTGGACATTCTCGTGGTGAGGTCACAGGGTGTGGCCTCGGGTCTGTTTCCTCGCTGTCTGTGCTGCAGTGTGTGTCGGTGCCACATGCTTTTCTGGCATTGTCTACATAGACTGCACTTTGTTAATGAGTGAGAAGCCTTGGGTTATTATGACAGTGCACCTGTCTTGGTTACTTTTCTCATTGCTGAGACAAAATACCCAATACCCGCAAGTAAAGGAGGAAAGGTGAATTTGGCTTATGGTTCGTAGAGGTTTCAGTCCATCGTGGTTGGCTCCAAGGCGGGGTGGCCTGGCAGTGGGGCCTCTCAGAGGAGAAGCCGTCCACGGCAGCCAGAAGACACAGAAGCAAGCAAGCGACGAGTGACAGCTGCAGGCATGGCTCTTTGAATCCCTTGTATCTTCCACTTTGATCCTCGCATCCTATCATGGGTCAGCCCCAGCAGCACGAACCCCAGGTCCAGCCACCTCCGAAAGCCTGGCCTGTGGCTGCACGAGGTTTGGGGCATCTGGGCCCAGCCGTAACAGCACCCCACGGGTGGGATGGGTGCGCGCAGGTATTTGAACACCTGTGCTCACCTCTGGGGATGGACCTAGGAGTGGAATTGCCGGGTGGCGATAGCTTCATGCCTCCTTCGTGACCGTGACCGACCCCAGGGTCGCTGCACCCTTCTCTTCCCGTCAGCTCCCTGGTCCCCACCTCTTCCAGCGCCCATTGTCTCTTGTGTGGTCGGCTCCAAGCGTGTGCAGTGATGTCTCACGTTGGCTCAGCTCGAGTTTCCATGACGACAGATGACGCTGGGTCTCTGTTCTTGTTGGCCATTTGTGTGTCTTCTTGGGAGAAATGTCTGCTGGAGTCCTCTGCCCAACTTCTACTTCAGTTGTTGTTCAGTCGTGAGAGCTCTTTATTATTCTGAACGCTTGACCATATCAGATATGCAATTTTACAGGTATTTGCTCTGCATTGTCTTTAGCGTGTGTTTGCAGTACGTAATAGTTGCATTTGTTTTGGGGAATTGGCACGCGTTTGTAATGTATCTTGACCATTTTCAGTCCCTTTTCCCATCTCTAGCCTGCCTCATTGTTTCCTACTATCTCTTAACTTTTTAATTTCGTGTCATAGGGTTATCATATACGAGGGACCATGGGATACTTTCTTCCTGTGTCTGACTTATTTCTCTTGCAGTTATGGTCATCTTCTTTCTTTTTTTTTTTAAAGTTTATTGGTACATTTTAGGTGTACAATATGATGACATTCATCACTGGGACTTTGTACCTGTACATGATGTATCTTGGTTCTTATTTTTCCCCCTTCCCCTGCCCTCCCTTCACCCACTCCACCCCTCCCTATTTATAAAAACTTTGCTTGCATTTTTTCCTTTTCTCATATTTATTCCTTTCCCTTCTTTTCCCCTCTGTCTCCCACTTCCCCTTCCCCTTTGCCCCTTTTCTTCCTATTTCTCATTATCTATTATACCTTTTAATCCTTATTTACACTTTCAGTTTCTCACACCAGAGAAACTATTCGGTGTTTACACATTGTGTCCTGTTTATTTCGCTTAAGAGTATCGCCTCAATATGCATCCATTTAGCTTTAAATGTCTAATTTCTCGTTCTTTATGGCTGAGTACTCCATTTTATTAAAAAAACACATCTTGGGCTGGGGATTTAGCTCAGTGGTTTTGCCGCCTGCTGTGCAAGCACAACGACCTGAGTTTGATCCCCGGTACCAAAAAAAAAGAGGTAAAAACCCACATCTTCTTTATCCAGTCTCCAGTCGATGGGCACTTGGGCTGTTTCCAAGCTTTAGCTATTACAAACTATGCTGCTATGAACATGGGTACACATATATTACTGTGGAATGATTCTTTAATTCTTTGGGGAAGATCCCCAGCAGGGGAATAGCTGGGTCAAATGGGACCCCCAGCCCTAGTTCTTTGAGGTATCTCCATACTGATTTCCACAGTGGTTGCACCAGTCTGTACTCCCACCAGCAGTGGAGAAGGGTTCCTTTCTCCCCACACCCCCGCCAGCATTTGTTATTGGTTGATTTCTTGATAGCAGCCATTCTTTCTGGGGTGAGGTGGAATCTCAGGGTTGTTTTCATCTGCATCTCTCACATGTCATGCATTATCTTGTAGATGACACGATTTCATTCTTCTTTACTGTGAGTCGGACTCCGTTGTGTGTCACTTTCCTGATGGTACTTTAGTCCGTTTTCTGTTCCTAGCAAACTGCCTGAGCTTGGGTTTGGGTGTTCATAGAGAAAAGCCCTTGATTTCCTGCAGTTTTAGAGGCCTGCAGGACCAAGGTCAAGGGGCTGCACCCGGCCAGGGCCGTCGGAACTCACCGGAGGCACCCTGGCTTTCCGACAGACCTTGGCCAGAAGGCTGCCCGGCGGCCGCCACCCATCACAGTTCATCGGGTGTCAGTGGCGGCAGCTCCCCCCCAGTGCAGGGCCGGGTCCTGGCTGTCACCTGCTGCATGGGTGAGGGAGGGTCCCCAGCACCCTTAGGAGTCAGGGAGGGGAAGGTGAGCCTCTCAGGTGTGGCCCAGCTGTGGACCCCGTGTGGCCTCTGTGGCAGGAAGCCCCGAGGGCCGCGGGTGGGGCAGTTTCCACAGGTGGGAGAAGCCAGGAAAGTCATCAGAACACAGGAGCTCAGGTTTCATTCAGCTGTAAGAATCCGAGGCACGGAGCACGCTCTGCTCCATGTGCTGATGGTGTCCCACGCTCGGGTCCACAGATGGTCAGGCTGCAGGAGGTGTTCAAGACCTTCTACCTGGGGAAGCACAGCGGCCGGAAGCTCCAGTGGCAGACAACGCTAGGCCACGCCGTCCTGAAGGCAGAATTTAAGGAGGTACTGCTTATTCTCCCCCATCAAGGATGGTAACAGTTTTTAAATTGTCGTTGAGCTTTGGTAGGAAAGAAGGAAAATTCAACCGCTAGCTTTTCTAGGTTAATAAAATGAGGAACAGTTCAAAGGTTAGTATTCCAGTCTACAAAAATCAACAAGTCAAACGACAAAATTCCATCAGTCTTTTGTCTAATTGATCAAAGAACAGAGGCTGTGAAGAGGCAGCTCAGGAAAGCAAAACTGAAACTCCTTTCCCTAAACATGCACACAGCTCTCTGCTAACCGAGGGCTTGCCGAGTAAAGCACAGCCGGGGACGCGGACCCAGGGACTGGTGCAGGCTGAACCTGAGCAGAAGCAGACTCTGCCACTGCTGGGGGCTGCGAACGCGAGGCTGGCAGCCATAGAGATTTGCCCTCAGTCTCCTCCCTTGTACTTAGCTGTTTTATCTTCCTTTGGCTTCAGGTGCCAGGCGTGGGGGTGCAGGCCTGTGACCCCAGCACTCAGGAGGCTGAGGCAGGAGGATCGCAAATTCCAGCCCAGCCTGGGCACCTTAGCGAGCTCCTGTCTCAAAAATGTAAAAAGGGGGGCCGGGGATTTAGCTCAGGGGTTCCGATGCCTGCCTCGCAAGCTCAAGGACCTGAGTTCCATCCGTGGTACCAAAAAAAATGTATAAGGGCTGGGTCATAGTACAGAGTGAAGGCCCTGGGTTTAATCCCCACTGCCGCCCGACATGCACACACAAAGGTGTCAAGCCAGTGGGCAAGTTGCGACGTGTGCCAGTGCTCTGGGGAGGCTGTTCATGGTTTCAGTCTTTCCAGTCAGGACTCCAGCTAGAGCTGGAAGTTCTTCTCGCTCAGACGTTTTCCCAGGTTGATGCATGATGGGACTGTGGGCTGCAGAGCTGTCAAGGGCGTGCCACATCCTGATGGTGAAAGCAGCGGGTCATCCAGCTGCGCACAGCAGGATCTTGACTTCCGGGAACTCTGCAGAGAGCATCCACGTGTGTATAGCGGCACAGCCGCTGTGAGGCGCATCGCACGCGGTCTGTGGCACTGCACAGGCTCCTACGCAGGGGCCGCCTGTGTGCTCCTGGAGAGTTGGGGAAGTGGCATCGTTGGGCGACCTCTCCTTGCTGCCCGCCCTCTTCATCTCCACAGGACAGAGCAGGTGTGGGCTGTCCAGGACCGGCTGCTGGTGCTGATCCACGTGCTTGTGTTACTGCTGCTTTGGTTTCTTTCCCAGTGGCCAGGACTGACCCCAGACCTTTGCACTGACTACAGCCCCAGGCCCCCACCCCGGCTTTTTAGACATTTTTGAGATGCTTCTGCTAAGTCACTTAAGTTGCCCAGGCAGGGCTTGAACTTCCAGTCCTCCTGCCTTAGCCTCCCGAGTGCTGGAATTACAGGCGAGTGCCACCATGCCGGCTGTTGGGGGCTTTGGCCTGTGCTGCCCCTGCCTGTCCCTGGGTCCCCACTGTTATGGGGAGGCCCCTGCAGTAGAGGTGAAAGTTGGTGAGCAGGGTCGTCTGGCCGCAGAAGAGCCACATCGTGCCCACGAGCACAGCTGGCTCTGGCTCATGGCCATGCACTCCAGGTGCAGCGGGCTGGGAGAGGATTTCTTTTCTGGTTTTGGGGTATGGGGACTGAGTCCACGGCCTCACACACGTTATGCAAGCCTTCTAACACTCAGCTCCCCCGTGCCCAGCCCATGTTTTAAACTTCTGTTTTGAGACAGGCGTTGCTAAATTGCCCAGGCTAGGCTTGAACTTGAAATCTTCCCACTTCGGCCTCCTGAGTAGCAGGGATTATGGGTGTGCACTGCCATGCTCAACTGAACTTTACTACTTTAAGAAACATTTCAAGAGAAGAATTTTTAGCAAGGTGTGAGTTCAGTGCCAGCCTGAGCTATACAGTGAGACCCTGTCTTAGAATTTTTAAGTGTAATACCTAATAACGATTTATTATTCTATAATCAGTAGCGTAATTTCTTCTTACTGGTGACTGTTGGTGAGTTCTCAGTCCCTCGCAAGAAGTTTGATGGGCAGCATGGTCTGTTAGAACCCCCAAGAGCGTCTGAGCACAGCTCCGCATGACGGCCACTGTCTTGCAGGGGAAGAAGGAGTTCCAGGTGTCCCTCTTCCAGACGCTGGTGCTGCTTATGTTCAACGAGGGGGACGGCTTCAGCTTCGAGGATATCAGAATGGCCACAGGGATAGGTAGGCAGGCGGGCGCGGACTGGGCGTGGCTCAGGCCCAGCGCCTGCTCCACGGCGCGTGTGAGGCCCGGCTTCAGTCCCCAGGCTCCAGCCCTGGGGACAGGTGGCAGGGGAGGTCTGCACCCACGTTTCTTCCTCCGCAGAGGACAGTGAGCTGAGACGGACGCTGCAGTCGCTGGCCTGCGGGAAAGCACGGGTCCTGATTAAGAGCCCAAAAGGGAAGGAGGTGGAAGATGGGGACAAGTTCATCTTCAACGGCGATTTCAAGCACAAGTTATTCCGGATAAAGATCAACCAGATTCAGATGAAAGAAACCGTACGTACACGCTTTCTCCTTCCACATCCGCGGTAGTGCTTTCTTGACTGTTAGTTCCAAAGCACGTTCCTAAATGTAATTGGAACACCTAACACTGATGAGAGTACTCGCTCTTACCACCGGTATTCTCAGTGCAGTGAACACCGGGAAAGTCCGCTCATAGTCAGGCAGCCAGACCAGCGTGCACTGGGTCCACATGTTCCATGCCAAGCTGGAGCACAGCAGCCCTGAGCCTGGCCTCATGCTGCCCCACAACCTGGCAGTGCTAGGCCTCCGGGCCAGGTCCTGGGAGGACAGCGCAGGGTCTGTCACTGTGACAGGCGGTGGCTTGAGGAACAGGGAGCAGACCTTCTGATGCAGCACCGTGCCCCAGGCCCATGCCTGCAGGCCCCTGGGAGGCCACGTTCGATAGCTCATGTGGAGGAGCTGCTGGCAATAGCAGGAAGACTAAGAGTGATGTCACCAGGCAGCGCCCAGAGACGCTCACTCACCCTCTGCACCCTGACAGGAAGGTGATCTCGACCGGGGTGCAGCTCAGGGCTGCAGGCTTGTCCCCCACACCCAGGCCGGGATGCCCCCGCTCTGGAGAGTGACAGGGTTGTTTCCGTGTCAGCTGGGAAACAGTCAGCGGGTTGCTGCTGTCCACCTCACTAGATGTTGCGAGTGTTCACCTGTCTTAACAACGCCTGCCGAACACGCCTCTGGCTGCCCCATGAAGCCCGGCAGTGCACAGCAGCCCCGCTTCTGGGAGCTGCAGGCGTGCCCAGCACGCGTGGACGGGCTGTCCCTGAGACCTGCTGGGTGGCAGAGATGCAGGAAAGCCTGAGCGTGGAGGCAGCCGGCCTCGGCGCTGGCCTCTCTGGCAGCGGGGCGAGCTGAGGCCGGGAGGCCGAGGACGCCCTGGTGCAGCAGAGCTTGTTTCTCTGGCTGGCCTGGGGCGCGCGTGGCAGCCGCCATAGTGTTGAGCAGGCGGAGGTGCAGCGCGGACACACAAGGCCTTTCTCGTGTGCCTGTGACCAGCCGTCACTGCACACTTGCACAGGAGCTGCTGCTGCTCTTCACCTTTGGGTGTTTATTTCCAGCTGCTGTACACAGTGCTCCTCAGCGGTCCTGGTCCTTCCGTTGATTTTCTTCACTTCTGTAGCTCATCTGCACGTGATGACGTTTTGCCTGCTCTTTCCAGTGTTGGCTTCAGTCTGTCCCCTGGCAGAGCAGGAACTTGGAAACAATTCTAAGAAAGCGCCGTGCAGCTAGGCTCTCCTCCTCCTCGTGCGGCCCCAGGGTGGGGTGCCCCTTCAGGGTGATGTGCCCTGCTGGCCATGTGGCATGAGCCTGACACCCTTGCCACAGGCACCTGGCCTCCCGTGGCCTCCTCAGCCGCCTCCGTCACTGTGTTTCTGATAACTGCTCGTGACATTCAGGCTCTTATTTTTAAAAGGATTCCATATACGCAAGGCCAGTTTTAAATGAAGAACCAGAGGCCGTGCAGCCTGCAGCAGCCCCTCCCTGGGGCCCTCACGGTGGGCAGCGCTCTCATTTCTGGAACAAGCCCTGATGCTGACTTGCTGCTGGATTTAATATTCTGATATCTGACCAGCATTCTTGCAGATTTCCTATAAGGAAGATAAAACTTAAAACTAGTTTTAAAAGTTTGGTTTTAGAGTTTGCCATTCACAGAAGCTAAGCTTTCCTAGAACAAAGAAGAATGAGCAAAACGGGATTCTCTGTCTAGCTTGTTTACTTCAAGACTGAGTCTCGCTGGGCATGGTGGTGCACGCCTGTAATCCCAGCACTTGGGAGGCTGAGGCAGGAGGACCATCACGAGTCTAGGCCCAGCCTGGACTACATAGTGAGTTCAAAGCCAGCCTGGGATACATAGCAATACCCTGTCTCTAAAAAACAACGCAAAAGACTTGAGTCTCTCATCAAACTCAAGAACATGAAAAAATCCTACTGAAAATACCTCTTCACACTTGTTTCTGTTACGTGCAGGTTGAAGAACAAGTTAGCACTACAGAGCGAGTGTTCCAGGATAGGCAATACCAGATTGATGCTGCTATAGTCAGGATAATGAAGATGAGGAAGACACTGGGTCATAACCTCCTGGTCTCTGAACTGTACAATCAGCTCAAGTTTCCAGTGAAGGTAAATGTCCTGCTGCATGATACACTGTAGTGCGGGGTGGGAGAGGCCACAGAGGGAGGTACTGAGCTGTCCCTGCCTTCCCGGGCCTCTGCCACCAGTTAAGGTGACTCCGCAGATCTCACAGGGGCAGTGATGACTGTTCACGTAGCACTCTCTGGCTGGGCAGTATTCTGCCACCGCCGCTGCATACTAGAGTCTGCCTCAGGTGGCCCTGAACTCTGTTCAGCATCAGCATTGCTCTTCTGTGCATGCGGGGTGATCCGGGAGGGCACTGCACAGTGCCTCCTGGGGTGCACCATGGAGCCCCCCGCAGCCGGCCCAGCCCCGCCCCTGTGCTGCTTAGGGAGACGTCCCTGGTGTGGGCGCCCAGTCGAGATGGACTGGATAGCAGTTGAGAGCCCTCCAGGGTGACAGGTGTACCCCCGTGGAACACAGTGCATGTGCCCAAGCCAGGGCCAGGGGATTCCCTTTGCACACGAAGACCCTGCGGTGGAGTGGAAGTGGGGGACAGCTGGCCAGTGCCTTACGTCCGCTCTGGGTAACCAGGTTTCCAGCCGTGTCTCCTGGAGTGTAGGGCCTGTGACTGAACAGAAGAGTTTGTTGTCCGGAAGACTGAGCAGCAGAGCCAGGTGGAGGCCCTTCCTGGCCTGAGCCACCCTGAGGCTGTGGCAGGATTGTCATCTGCTACTGCAGAGGAGCACGTGAAATCCGTGGTTACACCAAGTGAACACATGCAGCGTGTGTGCTGAGCATGTGGCGATAAAGCGACCTATCTGAGGAAAGCAACAGATTTCCCTTCCACACAGAGGAAAACACATCCCTGGCAGGATCTGCCTGGCGTGTGCCCTGCAAGAGAAGAGCCAGGCACAGATAGGAAGCACTGTGGGGCACTGGGCCGGGGCCGTGCGGCCTTGTCCTCAGCAGCCTTCTGTTCACTCTGGCACCGTCCGTGTCCATGTGCAGATCGGGGTAGAGTGAGGCGTGTGATGTCTGCTCCCACCGTGACGCGCTTCCTGGGTGACGACACTGCCCCTGTGTTCACTGTGCCTGTAACGAGTTTGGTCTCTTCTAGCCTGGCGACTTGAAGAAGAGGATAGAGTCCCTCATAGACAGGGACTACATGGAGCGCGACAAGGACAGCCCCAATCAGTACCACTACGTGGCGTGAGGGCCGCGCCTGCTGTCTCTGGGAAGCAGACACGAGCACCGGCGGCTGGCACAGCAGGGCCACCGAGCCACCAGGCCCATTGCGGCACCAGCGGGCACTCGGACTGGACGGCAAGGACGTGATTCTTGGGTCACCCTTCCCACGCTTGAGGATTTTCGGATGCCACGTGTATCTTTCCCCTCCAGTTCTCCCTCTAGTTCTTTTAGGCATTTGCATTGTTTCTGTTGCTCTGTGCAAAACACCTTCGAGGCTGGACGCGAAGACGTCGGTTAGCAGAGTCCATCCCGGTCTGGTCCGTGGTGTGAGATGGCGCGCGCGGGCTCGACGGGAAGAGCCTCGGTGCTGCGTTCGGAGACAGGCGCAAGCCGAGCCCTCGCTGGCGGACGTGGGAAGAAGCTGGCGTCCACGCTGGCCACGATTGCACATCCTGCGCCCCGGCCTCTTTGTGTCCGCGTTCCTCCGAGTTTGGCCCTTGGTGACCGGTGTTCTGTAATCAAGTTTCTAGGTGAACCCCGTGTGCCAAGAGGACCTGTCCCCGATGTACTCCTCAGAGCCGTCGCCTGCCGCACACAGCGCGCTCCGCCCACCCAGCCGAGCCTCCTGTGCGTGTCTGTGGACGGGGCCACATCCGTGTGTCCGGCTTCCGTGCTGAGACTGAGGCTGGCAGCCCCTGTTCTGGCCCGGGGTCACTGCTGTTTGATTTTAACTGCGGTATTTGTGTGATTGCCACAATAAAGTCTGGTTTGGTTTCCCAGTCCTGCGCAGGCACTGTTCTTGCTCTCTGCCTGTGCTGCCCAGAGTGGGGTTTCTGCAGGAGGCGCACGGCCTCGGCACCTGACGGCGCCCGCAGGTTACTGCGTCAGCACCGGAGGGTTGTGCCCTGTGCCCTGTGCCCTGTGCCCTGCCCGGGGAGGTTGGACAGGAAACAAGTTCAGTGGTGATGTTAGGACGGTGGCGATGACAAAGATACTCTCGTGGTGACATTTGAAAGTACTTTATATTTTGCAAAACAGCATGTTTCATTTTGATGAAAAGCTACCAAAGGAATTTTGATCATGATATAAGTGTTAAAAGCAATATTTTCTGGAATATACCAAGTTTATATAATTTGATTTTATGCTAAATTATCAAAGAATTCTCCCTTTTTGAAACATGCATGTTCAAAATATGCTGTCTTTTGGGTTCCCATATGAAAATCCTTACTCTTTACGTATCATCCTTTCTATATTTGTAAATTTTCATTTATGAGTTCTACGATATGTGGTCTATGAAAGACCAAATAGATTTCTATTTCTTACATTTTAAGTTCCTTGTGTCTAGAGATTAATATTGTAATTTAATATAGACTTACTTTGAATAAAACTAGTTAAGTTGGCCTTAAAACTACATTAATAAAAATTTTTTGGTATGCAAACTATACATTCCTCATAACTCCTCGGCAGCTCTAGTCACCAGTGCACCAGACGAGACCTTCGCCGCTCCGGGACCCCCTGCCCCGTCACCTGCACGCTGCCCGGGCCAGACCACATGCCCTAGTGAGGGGCAGGGCCCACATGCCATGTCCCTGTGCCCACCGTCCTCAGCAGCGTCCCACGCATGTATCGGAGGTTACTGTGGCCAGGCTGGCGGTGCAGAGGAAGGCGTGGAGAAGAGAAACGCCTTAAATTGGAAAGGAGGCGAAACTGCAGACGAGGCAATCACTCGCGTCATCTTTTTAAAAGGAAAGAAAAGTTACGCCAAAATTAACAAAGTCAATATCCTCTCTCGAAATACAGACTATAATGCAAAGAGCATGTTTTCAATTACAAAGAATAAAAATACCTCCTAACAAATGGATGGATCTGAAGGGAAGGCATTAGCAGATTAGGCACAGGGGAGAAGCCAGGAGAGGTGAAAGGCCCATGTGTTTATCACCCTCTCTGGAGCGCCTAACAGCATGGAAGCCGTTGTTCTAGAAAACAGGAGCCGAGGGGCAGTGGGCCCAGTGGGGAGGGACGGGTGCCAGGGTGGGGTTAGGGCAACAGCTGGGTTCTGCCCCTTCTTTATCCCACAGGAAGTCCTGGGCAGTTAGCATGAAAGTTGAGGGGAAAGACAGGAAAACATTTTTGTTTTGCTGTTACGGTTCTCCTTTCCATTTGCTTGTTTTGTGTTTTGCAGTCCTGGGGATTAAACCTAGAGCCTTGCACCAAGATAAATCCCAGGCACTTTTGCATTTTTCATTTTGACATAGGATCTTGCTAAATTTCCCATGCTGAGCTTGAATTAGCAGTCCTCCTGCCTCAGCCTCCTGGGGTCCTAGGATTGTAGGAGGGTGCCACCACTCCCAGCTAGAGATACTGTTTCTTATGTAGTGTCCTCCCACTACTCCTTTGAATTAAATTCCATTAAAAAAACAAAAGATTGTCATTGCCATTTAGTTTTGTGTTTTTGTGGTGCTGGGGATGGAACCCAGGCTGTGCTCAACACAGGCCCTGCAGCTGAGCTCACCCCAGCTCTCCTGACATCTTTCAAAGTCCACAGAGGGAAGCAAAGGGTAAAACCTGAGACCTTAGGGCTAAAAATAAAACAACAAACCAATTAAGGTGCGCAGCACTCCTCCAAGTCAGGAAGAGGCAGTCCGGCCACCCGCTCAGCTGCTGAGTTCTTCCTGGGCTTCCAGCAGAGGTGGAGCTCAGGATGAGCAGGGCCCCGAGGTTGGCAAAGAAGAAGCCACCGGAAGTGGACAGGGAGGCCCAGCTGGGACATTGATGGCGTCTACTCTGGTGTGAGGGCAGGGAGCACGGGAGGAACCCTGCGGGCCAAAGAATCCTGGACAGCCGGAGGGATGTGGCCACTGCCTGAAGGAGACAGGCCGCTGTCAGGGTCTGGAGGGGCCGCCAGGTGGAGGGGAGGGTTGTGCCCTTGGGGTGGGCATCAGCGAGGTTGGGATAGGCACTGCGGAGGGGAGACCCTGCCCTCTCCCAGGCCCAGTGTGGAGGGGCGGCTCACTGCCATCCAGGGTGTGAATCTGCAAAGCCTGCCCACCCTGGGCCCTGGTGGTCAGCCCTGGCGGTAGAGGGTGTGGTGACCGGGATGACATGTCAGAGCAGAGACAGGTCAGCGGTGAGGAGGGGCCGTGGAGTGGTGTGCTGTGGGGCCAGCGCTGCATGAAGGACGGGGTGTCCTGAACCTTAGGGTGCCCCTTCCTTGGGCCAGCCAGTGGCCTCCACGGCATCTCCCTCATGGGCAGTGACAGCCCATCTTGTCCTGACAGATGGCACAGCACCCCTAGTGTCCATACATCCAGGGACAGCTACAGCAAAAGGCGACCTGCGCGTTCCAGTGCAGAGGGGACACTGGACTCTACACTGCGTGAGAACAGGAGGACGTGGCACAGCTGACCTGGGCCGGCCTGGCCACTGCCCGGGTGTGGTGACCTGTGAACACTGTGAACAGGGACAGAGGCACAGCAGCTGGGGCAGCGTCCACACGAGGCTTCTCTGCTTCCACTGACACTTTCTTTGAGCTTAAGCCCACTCCTTTGTGGATTTCAGTCTTCCTTTTTCTGTTTTCTTGATTTGTTTACTAAAACAAGCCCTTTGATAACACTCAGGGAGGATCCATGGAGACATTTTCTTTTTTTTTCTTTTTTTGGTACCAGGGATCGAACTCGGGTCCTTGTGCTTGCGCAGCAGGCGGCGAAACCACTGAGCTAAATCCCTGGCCCCACGGAGACATTTTCTTAATCCTTTCCTGTTTGTTTGTTTTGGGTTTTTTTTGCATCAGCACCTAAGTGCCCAGCTGTTTAGGAATACTAGGCCCATGCTCATTTTCCCCAGAACTCGGAGGCTGCAGGGAGCCGTCTTCTCCCTGCCAGCTCACAGCTCGACACCCTTGTGTGACTGCTATGTCCCGTGACCCCCGGTGCTGTGCCAACCATAGCCTGACATCAGCACAGGGCAGTGGGCCCTGGTGTCCCTGTCCATTTGTCTAGGGTCCCTCTCGTGGCCTGTGTCACAGGATAATCTTGTGTTCTGATTATACAACTTTAATAACAGACTGTTGTGTTTCGTTTTTTGATAACTGGGATTAAACTCAGAACCTGATGCTGCTACATCCCCAGGCCCTTTTTTATTTTTTTGAAATAGTGTCTTACTAAATTGCCCATGCTGCCCTTGGACTGAGATCCTCCCGCCTCAAATTCCCACGTAGCCAGGATTACAGGTGGGTGCCACTGTAACGTAATGGTTTTTGCACCTAGCTTAATAACAGACTTTTTGTTTTATGGCTACAATGTCTTCTTTTTTTTTTTTTGGTACCGGGGATGGAACTTGGGTCCTTGGACTTGTGCAGCAGGCGGTGAAACCACTCAGCTAAATCCCCGGCCCTACAATATCTTCTTGAAAATCTGAGGTGCTAATTGAGCTTTTAAAGTTCTTCTCCCTTCCCTCCTATCTAGGACAGGGTTAGCAAACTTTTTCTGTGAAGGGTCAGAGAGTGGATATAAGCTGTAATGGAAAACTATGGTGCATTTTAAATTTTAAAATGTATTACACTAAAAGACACATTGCCACGAATCCCTCTCAGAATCCTCCCCCTTGCTGTTGGCACACTCATCCCACTGTCCTCACCACTTTTTGCAGCAGTGCAGGAATCCTGCATGCTCCTGGCTGCCTCGATGTCTTGAATGGACTGAAAACATCTCCCTTTTGTGGTCATTTTGACTCTGGGAAGAGCCAGAAGTCACACGGTGCCAGATCCGGTGAATACGGTGGATGAGGACACAGCGTCATGTTTTTACAAGCTGCCTTCCCGTTGGATGGTGCTCAGTAGCAGCGGTCACTGGATTTTTGATCACACCTGATAGAGACACTCTGGACTCCAGAGCTGCTGCAGGAATCATGGCGTAAGTGTTCAAAGTGAGAGGGAGAATGTTGAGGGACTCATGGCAGTGTGTCTTACGGGTGGGGGCATGCACAGGCGTGTTGCGTGTCCCTAGGACAGCAGCACGTTGTGCAGAGCAGGGGACAGATCCCCATCCAGGTGAAGTGAGGAGAGAAGCTGAAGAGCCTCTGGGGTCTCCACTGGCAACACAAGGTGGAAGTTAACTGCTCGGCACAGGGGCCGCACCTGTGAGCTGTGACATGTGGCTTTGTTGGGACTCCACTCTTCCCCAGTACAATCAGAGCTTTCAAGGCACTTCAGAGACAGCCGTCCACTCTGGTCAGGCTGGACTCTGAAACTGGAAGACCCAGGGCAAGACCTGGCTCTTGCCTGCGATGCACATCTTGGGCAAATTCCTTAAATTCTCCTTCAACTCTCTGGCTACTCAGAGTTCGGCACACAGAGCCGCTTGCGTCACCACGCCCATGTGACAGCACTCCACGTACGCGTGGAGACGTGTGGAGCAGCCCAGGGCAGATGTGCCCTGCCATTCTTCGGTAGTCAGCAGAATCCGGAAACTGTTTGAAATGTAATGAATTCCCTATTCAGTGCAAATGCAGTCTAAATGAAGGCAAACTATCGGCCTTTCCTACAGACAAAAGCTGAAGTGCTCACCTGAGCAGGGCTCACTCTGAAGGCCGGGCCACAGCTTGTCTGCTTGTCTGGACGGTTGTTTGGTAGATGTACAGCGTTGTCAAAATTCACCCGGCTAAAATGGGTGTCTCTGTCTTACACAGATGAACCTTAATGCAGTTGATTTTTAAAGTCAAAAGAAGAAAGGAAAATGAAGGAGCCCTCTTGCCTGGCGCTGCCTGGATAACAGGGCAGTCAAGGAGACTTTGGCTCAGTCACTGAGATTTTCTGACTGCTGCCATCTCGAACCTGAAGGCTCCTGCTGTGGTCAAACAGAAGCAGAAGAAGCCACATAAAGCCTTCACAAACATCCTGGGGCCACGCACTTCCTGCCTAAGCTAGGGGTCTTGTTACCCCGCTGGCACCTCATCCCACCAGTCTTCCCCTGAGCAAGGTGTGCTTCTGCTGTTGCAGCCAGGAGCCATCTTGACCCCTCCTCATCTACTTCTTACTAAAATCAAATGTAGAAGTGGCTTGTGTGGACTGCAGGTCCCACGGCTGTCTCCTGTGTTAGGAACAGGCTCTGTTGATACTCTGTTCACTCTTAGACAGAACAGGTCCTAACAAGCCCCGAGAGGCCTCAGCGCACAGTCAGGGACCGCGGAAAAGGACAGAGGTGGGATTCTATAACTTGTCAAGCTGCCAGTGCCTGTGAACTCTTTCTCTGCTTTCTAAGAAGGTGAAAGTTTTGGTTCTCTGTCTCTGAGTGTTCCATTTTCATAACCTTCTAAATTAAAAAAAACCAACTATGTTGTAAGTACCTCAAGGAAATCTGAGGCTGAGGTAGGAGAATCGCTAGCACTCCAGAATTTGAGAGGTAGTAACAGCCATTTCAGCAGCAGGAGCGATGACAACACCT